AGGCGTTAAAGGCAGAGGACCTCTCAAGCTCACACGGGGCCAGAGGACGGCAGAGGCGGGCGTGGAGGAAACACGAGCGACTGATCAAACCCGGGTTCACATTCGTCACCAAAGCGACCGCTCATGTCACGTAAGTTTGAACAAGAACAAATTGCAATTGGCACTTTTTAGAGATAATTCATGCTGAATTCCCGTAATATACGCTAACAATCTGGGGTGTAAAAGTTAAAATTCTGGATGATTCAGGGACAACAAATCCTGTGTTAAAAACAAAACATAAGGTGACAGATTTTGGTCCTTTCTCAAATGAGTGGTCGCTTCACAAAACTCATGGCTTCAGTGTAGTGAAGATAGGCTAACGGAGTACGTTTATTGGGATAGGCACGACTCCGCGGTATTACCTAACGTGTTTATCGACCCACTGTGCTCCACTTTGCACACAGTTTTGTCCGAACCCACGCCTGCAGCGTGGAGGGAGGTCCCTGCATGTATTAATAAGTGTAGCAGTGCTGGAGGCTGGACACAGGTCCAAGATGGACACTCGTGGTTCTCCAGAAATGCAAACGCATGGAGAAGCCCTTTTTTATTTTTTTTATGGTTCTCTGGCCGCAGGAAGAAATGTGTGTTCTGGCCCTGACAGCATCACTTCAGCCCCACGGGGGGCGGGGGTCATGCTGCCAGCGCCGTATGCAGCGACCACGCCGGGGCTGCACACGGTCCCACTGAAGGATTTTGAATAGGCCTGATAAAATTGGAGTGGCTTTTTGGATTTTTGCCACTTGTTTGGGTTGAATGAAACCGTACATTAAGGAGTTACATGCTGGTTTGAATCTTGTGTTTTAGTGCCTTTGACTCTCCACCAAGTTTGCATAAAAGCAAAAAACAAAAACAAAGAGATAAACCCTAACAAACGGTGTGAAGGGTTACAATTTTATCCCAACGGAGATCTGTTTCATAATCTGATGGACAGATGCCAAAATGCATACCTAAATTCAACATGATCAGAGGGTTGAAACAATTTTTTATTTTCTAAATTGGCTGGCCAAAGCTGATCTTCTAAACTGAATTAAACAAAGAATGAACAATCAACGTGGTGAAATCAAAATGGGACTTATTTTTATCACACTCTTGTGGGGCAAAAAGCCAATCACAATAGTGCATGACGTTGGTCACTCAGGTCCTTATTGTTTTAATGCTTTTGAATTTACTTTTTACGTAGTTTTGGGGTTGTGGTTTTTGACATTTTGATTTATTTATTTTTCCTTTTTGCACTGCGGTGGTGTCTTATTTTTCTCCACTAGTGGAACGGATGGGTGAAAGACGATCACGCTTTCAAAATAAGAGCGCTCAACAAATTCTGGGCTGAAAGATATGAAAAGATATGAAATTTGATGGCCTGAACAAACATTTTTTTTTACAATGACTTTCTGACCTGACCTGACAACTTACTGCGCAAGCGTTTTTGTTTGTGTTGATGTCATTGTGTGTCCCAGTTGATCGTTGTGTGTGTGTGTATATTTGATGTGCGTTTCTGGTCATTTATTTACAGGCAGATGACCACAAACACGACCCGCAGCGGACACAGGATAACTGTGTCCGCTGGATAAATTCTGGATAGATTCTTGCTTTTCCTTTTTTTCAACAGGCTGAGCAGTGCATTTAATGACAACTAACCACTAACAAACTGACACATAACACACCATTGTTTCATTTGAATAACTTGAAACTAACGAACCGTTGCTGTTTCTTTTGGAGCAGGATTCCACAGGTACAGACCGGCTGCTGGAAGTGTGAGAACATACGAGTGTCGACAATTTTACAACCGAGTCTGTTATGTTGTGTGTTCTGATTTTTATATTGTTTGCCCAAACACCATTCAGCACAAGCTGGTCGCGGTCACTGGGGCTCGTGAGCAGGCAGCGGGCGAATGCAGACAAGGCAGACAAGGCATACCTGCCTCTGCCCATATGCAGGCACTGGCTACTCCAGACGAGATGGAGCTGTGGGCGAAAAATGGCCTTGGTGGGTTGCTGGGTAAACCTCAAACCGGGTTTGCCACAGCATTTCTTCAGAGACTTTGTGCCTTTAGCACATGGCCGAGACCATGCCTGAAAAGGAGGGATGTGTAACTTAAATTACACACAATTGAGGTTCTGCCAAACCTTTGGCACAGAACCCGGGTAAGTTCCAAATTATTCCTTAGGCTGCCCATGCCCCGCCCCATCGCACCATGCCAAGGTAAGAAATACTGTCTGTCTGGTTCTGGTGGATCTCTGGTCCAAATGGACTGAAGCATTTGCATGTAAACACGCCACGAGCAACGCGGTGGTGAAAGCTCTGCTCACAGAAATTGTGCCACAATGGGGTGTCCCGGAAAGAAAAAAAAATAAAAATAAATAATAATAATAATAATATATAATTTCTAGTGACAATGGCAGTCACTTTGTAGCAAAATTATTGAGGAAGTAGGTCACTTTCTGGGCATTGATATAAGGAAACATTGCGAGCGAGAGAATGGCACTCTGAGGTCAAAACCTAAACCCATTCGAAACCCTCTTTGCCAGACCGCCCAACTTGGGAGCGGGACCCCGACCTAGAGATCTGCCATGCACCTTTTGTGTGATGACGACATGCTGTCCTATTGTAAAGAAATGAATGCACTACTGTAATCTATTTCTGCCTAGGTCAGGAGCGTCCTGCCACAGGCGGTGCAGGCGGCTCTGCACGAGATCGAGCCATACGACTGGGTCCTGGTGAAGGAGACAAGACGGAAACATGGATCCCATCCTCATCCTCCTGGTGACGGACACGGCCGCTAAAGATCGCAGAGAGGACAGCTTGGATCCACGCCAACCACTATCGTGCAGCGCTGCCACCGAGGGCCATAGACGAGGACACCGAGGGTCGGGACGGAGCAGGCATATTCACGGCTCCCTAAGCATAAGGGGCCGGCCGGCGTGAGAACTCCGTCACTGGAGCAGGCCCACAACAACAACAACACCCAGAGAATCCCAGCGTTCCCGAGGCGCATCCCCAGGAACAACACGACGTCCCATCTCCCTTGCCCCCGGACCCCAAGGTCACACCCCGAAGTGCCGAGGCCAAAGCCCCAACGCGATTAGGGTCTTGCCGCTCCAAGACCGAACATCGCCATGACCACTAACGCTTCACACACGCTCAGAGGGAGCGGTACCCCTGAACGCTCGTGAAGCATTTCCGCGGAAAAGACTACAGAACCCCCGCGTAGCAGGCTAATACCGGCATGGGCCCGTGGCATATTATGTTGGACACACTGTCCGCACTCTTATCGCTGTCCGGATCCATTGTGTTATTATAATGTGCTCTTTCTTTTACTGACAAACATGTTTCTTTTCTTGTCCACTTTGGACAGCAATAATTTAAGTGTTTCAAGCTTGAAGGTGATGTGATTACGATGCCTCTGGTATTTAACTGATTAATGCAAAAATGGTTTTGAATTATCAAAAGAGGGGAGTGTAATGACAGTTTTTAGAGTAATTAAATTAGAACCAGTCGCAGCAAATACACGGACGACTGGGCCTTTAATCAATGCAGAGACGGCCGTCTGACGCCATGCTGAGTTTGCAAAGGCCTCTGCTGGCTGCTCCTTTCACACCTAAGACAAAGGCCTTCCTGTGTCTTGCGCTAAAACAAAAGGTGATGTTTGCATGATAATCTCAGCCCATGTGACGTCACGGTTTTGGGGCCCTGCTGTGCGCCTCCTGAGTATATGTATTGGTACAGTAGCTGTGCCCCGGCAGAGCTCACGATGCAAGACTGTATGTCGGCTCTCCGCATATATATGTGTAAAATAAATGTGTTTACATCTTTGATTTAAGACAAATACCTTTCCAGCTTTTTCCTTACTATGGATAGAAACTGCCACGACAAGGGTCAGTGAGGGGCTGGTGCTATGAGACTTGGGTGGCATCTCTGACTGCCACCCCCCTGACCCAGAAATGGATTAAAGGGTAGAAAATGGATGGATGGATGGATAATTTTTAAGCTGTAATTAACTCGATTAAAAAGATTAATCGTTTGACAGCCCTAGTTTTGATACATTATTTTGATTCTGTTTTTGTAAATTATGTGTGACTGATGTCTATTTCTACTATATTTAAATCATTACACTTTTTTACAGAAACAACTTTAGTCAGAAGGATACTCGAGTAACACAGAAGCAGTTATATACATCTACTGTACAGTATATTACATACAAATAAACTACAATCTTATCTCTTATCTTATACAATTGGGCATGATTTTAACAGATGTTTGCGATTAGAGGACAAACCATGATAACAAAGATGTAAGAAATGTACTTTATTTGATTTATTTACACAAACATAATATAACAGCACTATACTGAGGCTTTGTGTGGAGTGGCGCAGAGTGGAGCAGAGTGAAGCAGAGTGAAGCAGAGTGAAGCAGAGTGAAGCAGAGTGAAGCAGAGTGGAGCAGAGTGAAGCAGAGTGGAGCAGAGTGAAGCATAGTGGAGCAGAGTGGAGCAGAATAAAGCAGAGTGGAGCAGAGTGGAGCAGAGTGGAGCAGAGTGGAGCAGAGTGGAGCAGAGTGAAGCAGAGTGGAGCAGAGTGAAGCAGAGTGGAGCAGAGTGAAGCAGAGTGAAGCAGAATGAAGCAGAGTGGATCAGAGTGAAGCAGAGTGGAGCAGAGTGAAGCAGAGTGGAGCAGAATAAAGCAGAGTGAAGCAGAGTGAAGCAGAGTGGAGCAGAGTGGAGCAGAATGAAGCAGAGTGAAGCAGAATGAAGCAGAGTGGAGCAGAGTGAAGCAGAATGAATCAGAGTGGAGCAGAGTGAAGCAGAGTGGATCAGAGTGAAGCAGAGTGGAGCAGAGTGGATAAGAGTGGAGCAGAGTGGAGCAGAGTGGAGCAGAGTGGATAAGAGTGGAGCAGAGTGAAGCAGAATGAATCAGAGTGGAGCAGAGTGAAGCAGAGTGGAGCAGAATGAAGCAGAGTGAAGCAGAATGAAGCAGAGTGGAGCAGAGTGAAGCAGAATGAAGCAGAGTGAAGCAGAATGAAGCAGGGTGGAGCAGAGTGAAGCAGAATGAATCAGAGTGGAGCAGAGTGAAGCAGAGTGGATCAGAGTGAAGCAGAGTGGAGCAGAGTGGAGCAGAGTGGAGCAGAGTGGAGCAGAGTGGATCAGAGTGAAGCAGAGTGGAGCAGAGTGGAGCAGAGTGGAGCAGAGTGGAGCAGAGTGGAGCAGGGTGGAGCAGAGTGGAGCAGAGTGGAGCAGAGTGGAGCAGAGTGGAGCAGAGTGGATAAGAGTGGAGCAGAGTGGAGCAGAGTGGAGCAGGGTGGAGCAGAGTGGAGCAGAGTGGATAAGAGTGGAGCAGAGTGGAGCAGAGTGGAGCAGAGTGAAGCAGAGTGGAGCAGAATAAAGCAGAGTGAAGCAGAGTGAAGCAGAGTGGAGCAGAGTGGAGCAGAGTGGAGCAGAATGAAGCAGAGTGAAGCAGAATGAAGCAGAGTGGAGCAGAGTGAAGCAGAATGAATCAGAGTGGAGCAGAGTGAAGCAGAGTGGATCAGAGTGAAGCAGAGTGGAGCAGAGTGGATAAGAGTGGAGCAGAGTGGAGCAGAGTGGAGCAGGGTGGAGCAGAGTGGAGCAGAGTCACACGCTGTAGGAGATGGTGCAGATGGATGAACTGTACTGCAGCTCGTCCTCTGGAGCCTCCAGACTCAGCTCATGGAGACCGAGTCCATCCAGACTCAGTTCATGGAGACTGAGACCGTCCTGCTCTGACCTCTGACCCCCAGAGAGCAGCCGCAGCAGGGTCTGCACCTGCGGCACGTCCATTACTGTCTTCTTCAGAGTCACGATCACTATGAGGCCGAGCAGCAGGTAAGCTGTGGAGAAGACAGAGGTCATTCTGCACCAATGGAGCCGTTTCAACAAATAAATAACATCTCCCACTTAACATAGATGATGGATAATCCTATAGTAAATAGGGACGACTAGAAAGATTAGAGGTTGAGACAATCCTGTTCATTTTTGTGCAACGACACTTTAGCACTTTACAGCCGCAGCCGCTCCACTGTGGCTCCTGGTGTTCTCAGAGGTCTCCCATCACCGTACTAACCAGGCCCTGCCCTGCACAGTTCCAAAGGTCTGACGGGATCTGGCTTACGAATGCAAATACGGCCATATACCCTCGAAATAGGCTATAAAAATTGTGCCTGCAAGAAACTGGACCATCAGCTTGTGCTCTCACCAAAGAAACCCAGAACAAATCACCCAAAAGAATTGAGACGGTGACCTAAACTCAGGATAAGATTTGAGTTTTTGTACGAAGAGCCCGTTTCGCAGACTTACATGTGGTGAGTAGCTCCAGAGCCTCCCTCGCTTTCAGGCTCCAGTTCTTTCCCAGTGCGCAGCCGCCTTGTCCCACGGTGCTCAGGACCACGAAGCAGAAGAAGAGAGCGTCCAGGAAACTCCAGTCCGGCTCCACGGCGGCGATGAGGAGGGCGGGCAGGAGGAAGAGCAGCCCCAGCACCAGCACCGACAGCAAGGAGGCGTGGAGCAGGGCGGCCCGGGACACAGACAGGCCCCAGAGGGTGTGGAGGTGGCGGACAGGGGCGTAGGTGACCACAGGGAGGAGCAGGGCCTCGGACAGGAGCCCCAAGAGGAACAGGGTCAGGGGGATGCCGATGATGCAGTACAGAATGCAGAAGAACTTGGACTCGTCGGACTGAGGGTAGTAGACGTCAGAACCTGCGGTGTCCAGGGTCATGAAGCAGTCGGATTGGATTATTCAGAGGGAGAAAATACATTGGATTCAAACGAAAAGATGCATTTAGGGGCGGGTTAAATGTATGGACGTAAAAAAATGTCTATTATTAATGTATATTGATGATTTGGGGCTATATAAAAACACTTTTACACATCTTTAATTGCCAATTTAATTTCTACATAATATATCCTGCATTTAACATGTTTGCACACCTCTTTCTTTGCACAAATCATGGGTCACATCTGGGTATTCATGCCAGACATGTACATTTATCCTGTGTGAGATCAATAAAGTCTATCTTATCTTATCTTATCTTGTTGAATGGAACTGAATAAATGACTCTGGTGTGTTGTTTGAACATTACAAACATATTGTCGTCTCATATTCCCAAAATCCATAAACTGGTCCTAAATGAATTGTTTTTTCCATGGTCAGGGACAGGGCCTGGCAGACCTCAGCGATGCTTCATGTTGGGACCTGTCTCCCATAACTGAGTGTCCAAAAAAGCAGTATATTACCCAATGCATTATTATAACTACATAGATTATTGGTATTTACACGTGTACATAAATATCTAAATGTGCCTATCATAGTTTGTCTATGATAGGCAAACTATTTATTTATTTATACATCACATTTCATAAACACAGAAGTGGGAAAAACATGGATTGTGTTGTGAAAAGACTGGAGATTATTGTTTTTTATTATTGTTGAACTGCAGATTAACTGAATTTATTTCATTGAGTGCTTTAAACTCAAGAGACATATTAATTGACATGTAACTATAAAAAAAAAATCTTTCATTTTTAGTGACTGGGTGTAACTTTTGCCGCCTCCAGGGCAGGACTCCCTTGATAAAGAAGTCCTTAATCTCACTGGGACTTTCCTGGTTAAATAAAGGGTAAATAAAAATATGACACTAAAACATAATACAAAAAAGGACATTGCTTTCTTCAAGGAGTGAAGATTAAGGGTTAAGATACTAACACTTTTTTTTTTAAGTCCATAGTAAGACAAGATATAGGACAGGATAAAACCAAGTCTTACCCATAGTTGTGAGGGTGACGATGACAAAGTACAGCGATGAGGTGAAGTCGTAGTGGCGCTCGTCTTCCTCAGCCTGGAGCACGGCCACGTTGGTGTGATGCGCGGTCAGGGCTCTCCCCAGTAGATGCTCCAGTTTGGACTTCTGGACACACGGGTGCTCCTGGAGAAAGGTCCTCCACAGATCGGCCACCTCCGCCTGCAGCTCCCTCTCCACGGGCATCTCCAGAGCCCTGAAGACCACGGCCCCCAGCACCAGGAACAGGACGTAGAGGAGAATCAGGCTGGGGAAGGCCGCGGCGTGCCAGCCCCGAGAGCAGCCACGCCATCGGGCCATTGTGTTCGGGAAGTCTGCAGAGAGAAACCAGACACTCCAGCTGCAGCGTGAAATATTTAAGAGCAGGTTACAGATCCTGAGGCCTGAACCGAGAGAGATATCTGTTTGAGTTTCACAGTTTACAACTATTTTTTTTCATTGAACTCATTTGTTGGTTTTGAATATAGGACAGTGCACATTAATCAACAATACTATAAAAATTAAATCCAGACTCAAAACTCACGTTTTCAGACTTTCTTTCCCCACAGTCGCTCCAACACCTATGTCCAGTTCTGTTGTTTTGTTTTTTAATAATGCTAATGTTTTATAATTGCACCCTGTTTTTAAGCATGTTTGTACAGTGTCCTTGGGTGTTTTGAAAGGCGCTTTTAAATAACATGTATTATTGTTATCATTAATTTGTCACACTGCAAATAGAGAGAAAATATGAGGTATTAATATTGCTTAGAACAAGTGTACTAACTGTATCTTAACTCGAGTACATTCTGAAAAGCATTAAAACAAGATTCTCCAATGGGACAAAGCCGTTTGGTCTGATTTTGAGAACTGTGGTTTTATTTTCTCATTCCAACAGAGACAATTTCTTATCTTTTTAAAACAAGAAAATGTAGCTTTGTCCGATTGGCAAATCTTGTTTTAAGGCAGTCAGAATGTTCTCAAAATAAGTAAATTTGAGCTATTTTCTCAAAATAAGTAAATTTGAGCTATTTTTGACTTATTCTTAATCACTTGGTGTATTAGTTATAGTATACAGCTAACAACTGTAGTCCCAAGGCTCTGCTCCTCATTTTTAAGTTGGCCAAACTGAGATCCATAAAATAACCTTTTTTCTTGATGTCAGAGATTGAATATTTTTACAGTAAGTGAAATTTTGTGGGAAGACAAAATAGATTATGATATAGTAGTTTCTATCACTCTAAAGCAAAAATCATTGTATTGCACAACAGAGACTTTGGAGAGAGACTACAAGATGAGACAAGATGCATTTAAAAGATTTACTAAGTGCAAATCATGATCCCTGGGGCCACAGGGCATGTTAGATGTGAGCGAGTGAAGAAAACCTAAGGCGGAGATGGTTATTTATGTGTTTATGTACTATTATGTGTGCTCCATTATTACTGTGTGAAGTCTTGCCCATGAGTTGAATATATCCTAGTTTCAGATCACTAGGAAAGAGATCCCAGCATCAAACTCATGACTTAGATCAGATGCGTCCATACTTTTAGTAGGAGGGTTAGCAGTAACAGTTTTGACTGGATTCTGGGCTTTACATTTTTTTTGTCTATTTCCATGATGATTCACGTTAGACAGACCTGCAAATAGCGATAACTATCTCACCGCAGCTACTTTAGCACCAAATATGCAATTTTGTGACACAATCAAAACACAAATTTATATACTAATGAAGTAAACAGCAATATTCTAGAGGTTCTAATGTGGTGGCGCTGAAGTTGGCTGGATGACTCTGAACTTTTGTTTCAAAGACTACACTGTAAAAAGCGATAAAAAATAAGCCAAAAAGTTCTCAAATTTGGTACACATTTATCTTAATTTGAACACATTCTGACTGCTTCAAAACAGGATTTGCCAATGAGACAAAGCATAATGATCTTGTTTCATAAATACAAGAATGAGAAAATAAAGCAACAGTTCTTGAAATACGACTAAATGGCTTTGTCCCATTGGCAAATCTTGTTTTAAGACAGTCAGAATGTGCTCAAAGATTAAAAACCACTCAATTCAAGCAATTATGTCAAATTTTATAATTTTTTTTACAGTGTACTATGTGTTATAAAGGTAGATTTTTGATTAGAAATAAACATTATACACACGTTTGAAAATAAGAGTTTAATCCAACCATAGTCCACTTTCAAAATATGGAGAAAAAGATACATATTTACAATGATTATACAAAAAGGTCCATTTGTGTCTCTGTTGTAGAGGTGACTACATAGGAAGCTGGAGGGAGTAGTGCGAATGAGCCCAGCGCCGCACGGGTTTCCCCACTCTGCCGATCACGGACAGTTTGTGTGCGTACGCTCGCGGTGGGATGGCGGACAGCGGCGGGTTTGGGGCGAACGTGGTCTGGAAGGGGCGGCGGCCTTGGCTGTGGCGGCCCATCTGACGTCCGCCGATCAGGAAGGAGAAGGCTGGAGGCGTGTTCTGGGAGGAGGTGAAACGGGCCTTGGGGAAGATGTCCCGGGACGGAGCGGCCGAGCGCGGACCGGAGCGAGACGAAGAGGAGCGCGAGCGCGGCACGGACGAGGAGCGCGCCACCGACCTGAGAGGAGTGGACAAAGCGGAGGGTTAGGGGTTTGTGCTCAGAGATTATGATTATGTGTTGAGTCAGGGGAAAACATACACATCTGGAAACAAAAGTGAGTGAGTAAACTTTAACACTTTAACACACGTAACGACAGAAGCAATCAAAATAAAATAATTAATAAAACTAGTATTGAAACTAGATCCTCATTACAGAAATTATATATTTATGGAAAAAAAGTCACAAACAGGACAAATTGAGAGATTCTCTGGGCATTTTAGAGGAAGTACTAAATAATATATTGTTATTATGTATTGTTACAAAAATGCAGCTTATTGTTTTTTATGTTATTGCTGTGGTATAAAATCATCATAGTATGGAGTCCCTCTCTTTGTATTGGAATTGAGTTTGTAATTTAAGAATATATGAGGATTTTCCCAAATTTTAGGAAAGAACCACCCTCTCCACTTTTTGCACGAGCACGTATCACCAGAATGATTGACAATTGGGAGGACCAATAGTCTTGATGATCCACCCCGAAAGTAGAAAATCCTTATATACCTTTAAGTAAAACGGATTTCACAAAGCACACCGAAAGCCTTTTTGCTCACCTTCCTGATCCTGTGGCCGCCAGACTCGGAGGAAGGGGGTCTGTGTGGGGGCTGCCATCCTGCCTGGGGCTGATGTTGAGGTTGGCCGTCAGTTGGGGCATCTTCCTCGTGGTGTCCGTGTTGGATGTCGGCCCGGGCGCTTCTTTCTTGGCATCGCCTGCCTGGGATAGGGCACAGGGGGGGTAGCTCCCGAACCCTGGGCCTGTACTGAAGCGGACGGCCAGACTGTCCCCAAAGAAGGAGTAGAGCTCCGAGTACATGTCGGGCAGTGGCACCGGGGCCCACTCCTCCCAGGGGCAGCCTGCGCCCCCGGCCTGGAGGTGACTGGCGATGCCCAGAGCCGCCTCAGACAGGGGCTCTGGAGGGGGGCTTAGACCAGGGGAGCTCATTCTGTAGCCCAGGCCTCTTGTCGTGGACCCTGGCAGCCCACTGGAGCCTCCTTCTGCAGGCTGAGTCAGAGAGAGGGCCTTCATCTTCAAGAGGCGCTCTACTGCCACCTGGAGGACACACAACACTGATTGATGGGGCTGGACCATAACTTATGAACATAATACAGATTCAGTTTTTTGCTATTTGAAGTGAAACCACATTGGAATAACTGTGCAAGACTTCCCCAGTGTGCACCAGACACAGCAGATAGTACACATGCAAGCTCTTACCAAGGCCTAACATGTATATACATGTATAACTATTTGTTTTGTTATGTTTTAGTGCATGTGGAAAATCAGGCTGCTTATCTGATAATGTTCACATCCAGGTTTAGCAGTGCATTCAACTGAGGGGATGTTTTGTCTTGTTTCTTGCACTTTGAGTTGCCTAGTGTATGAACTGTGCAATACAAATAAACTTGCCTTGCCTATACCCACAAAACACTATACTGACCAAGATGGCGCCATAGACTTTATGCCCGTCTGCCTTAACTTGGGCATTTGAAACGGAGTAGTCGTCCAGAACAGCCTGGAGGTTGGCCCAGTACGCAGGGAGGTGTGGGAACAGGACTCTCTCCACAGCCTGTCACGAGGTCAAATCAGTTACTCACAAAGAGTTTTGAGACAAACACAGGGGACCACGCCACACAAAACAAACGTACTTTCCAGCCGAGAGCGTGAAGACCCACCACTGCCCCGTAGTGAGAGCAGAGCGGCCGCACAGGATCAGACAGGACCTTCTGAAGCGACAGCAGGATCTGGTGATATAAACCACTGACCAGATCTCCGTGAGTCCTGGAACATTCAAGAGTCCAGATAAGTAAAGGCAGGTATGACAGATTCAATAGTGGTGGCAAGGAAAATATATTCTGTTCAGTATTGTGATATTTTGCGTACATAATTTAAATCGATACAGTAAAGTATTGCAATATTTAATTATCTGTTTAATTTTAGGGTTTTCTCTGAGTTTATGCAGGTAATTTACATCTGAGGTTTATGTTACTCTATGAAGTCTGCTTGTTGTGACTTTAGTTGATTTGAATAATTAAAATGTTCTACCCTCAGTTTTCTATCCAAAGTTTTTGCTTCAGTTACTGTGTGGACCTTAATAAATATGATGTTTGAGTAAAACAGTCTTATACCTCACGGTCAAATTTTGGTCATGCCTTTGAATAACACGAGAGACATGAATTGCAATATGTTAAGAATCGCAATAATATTGAATTGTGGCCCAAATATAGCAATACTACCCAATCTTCATATTTTCGCCAATCCCCACGCCTAAGATCATAGTTTCTCCTCCCACTCACCAGAAGATGTGGCTGAGGAGCAGCGCTGCGTAGTCCCTGAGCGTCCAGTGGTCGTTGAGGGGGTTGATGGAGGCGGCCAGCGGCTCCAGGATGCAGTACATGACACTGGACACCAGGCTGCGCACATACGAGCCCAGGTAAAGGTACGGGTTCTGGACCAAGCTCTTGACCATGTGCAAGAGCCTGTTGAGCTGCTCCAAGTCGTGGCTCACCGACTTTACCTAGAGGAATGACACGTACAAAAATATAAAATGTCAAGTAATAGTAAAAGTATGATCTCTTTTTATATTTGATAAAGAGCAAATTGTAAATGAAACAAGAAAGTGCAATTGGAAAACCCTGCAGCACAAAAGTTAATTATTTTTGGACATTAAAATGATAAAGAGACAATGGTTTTTTTGTCATTTAATGTTTTAGAATCCAAAATAACTAATTTTCTAACACACAGTTACAAATTCAGCCATGTAATTGTAAACATCGTATCTGAGAAATTGACAAAACCAATTTATAACGAATATATTTGCAAGGGGAACTCTGTATTGGGGGACGATAACCCTGTCTGAAAAAATGCCCATATAAGGAAATTGGCACCACTTAGCAAACGTTCAAATTTGACTAGCATAACATAGCCAAATAGTTGTACAATGACTGGATGGATCTAAAAACAACTTTAGGTCTGTGACTGATGAGGGAACAATATCGCAACATGGCTAAAAACTCAAAAAAAGTAGATTTTTCTGATTATCATACGACACATTTCAAACATTTTAGACAAAGGTAAAAGTCAGACATACCCCACTGATGACGTAAACAAAGTACGGCAGAAGAGCAGCGATCTTAGAGTTAGACTGAAGATCCAGAAGTGCTACCTGAATAATCACAAATGAGTAAAGTAGGAATACTCATAAAAATGTGCTTGTATGAACTAAAGTGCCACCTTCATCAGATGCAGGTCCTCGCCCAGAATGGCCCTCGTGATCTGCTGATAGTACTTCAACAAGTCCTCTGACAGAGACTGCACTGCTGCGGGGACTGAGAGGGCAATAAGTCAGGAAGAGTGTTTTATCATTACATGGAAGTTTATGTAAGCTCTTACCAGTTCCTTGGGGCTCCAGGTTTCCTTTTCCATCCAGATACGAGACATTCACTAAAACAACAAAAATTATGTTTAATATAATAAATATTTAAAATCAGGTCCTTTGTTTATCTCAAGAGTTATGTTCTAAAAATTACAGGCAATAAGCAAAATCCGTGAAGAGGCAGCTGTATATTTTAGAGACATTAAACCCGTTGGGCGTAGGTCTGAGCGCTGCTGCAGCTGTCAATAATACAGCTGCAGAGGACACTGCACTGAGGAGCAGGACTCAGGCGAGAGAGACCAGAGAGAGAGACCAGAGAGAGACCAGAGAGAGAGACCAGAAAGAGAATTGAGAGACCAGCGAGAGAGACCATAGAGACCATAGAGAGAGACAAGAGAGAGAGACCATAGACAGAGACAAGAGAGAGAGACCATAGAGACCATAGAGAGAGACAAGAGAGAGACCAGTGAGAGAGACCAGTGAGAGAATTGAGAGAGACCAGAAAGAGAATTGAGAGAGAGACCAGAGAGAGCCCTCTGAACTAATCACCATGGTGCACATAAGACCAAAAAGTTTTCTTCTGAATTGAAATAAAGGTCATGTTATACTAGCGGTTATATGATGTTGTATTTGATGATATGTTGGAGTGTACACGGGGCACATGAGAAGCACGCTGTAAAAACACCACAAAATTAAAAGGCTGCGAAAGGTGAACCGCGTGATAGCGAGGGACCACTGTATCTCCACTGTATCATATATTTCGGCTTGTTCCATCACAGCCAAAGCTCTTACCTCGCACCATCGTCTCTGCGCAGCCTTTGGGGATGTTTGTAGCTAAGGCCAACTCCACCAGGTTGATTTCTTTGTCCTCTGTGAAGAAAAGTTCTCCTTCTTTAAGTGCACGAAAAGGCATCGCATCCTGAGCCCCGTATCCACAAATGGCCTATGGGGAGATAAGTAAGCACAAAAAACCATGTCAGATGCATCTTCACATGTTTAAAGCTGGGGTACCTGATTTTCAAACCATAAACAATAGAACTATCTTTTAAAAAAAGTAACCTAGTTCCTGGTGCCACAATTGTTTGGTCCTATATACAACTTTTCGCAGCTTGTTGGTGACATTGTATTGTTTTTGTATGGGTTCTACTTCATATCGCTTATGTTATTGTTTTGTTATGGCCTATGCTCATCAAATGGTGGGATAAATAAGTCATCTGAATCTGAACTAGTTTTAACACACAAGTATTTTTGAGCTCGGGCACATCTTTTCAGACAGAAAAGTGAAAAAGACAGGACCACACTGTTTCAGCCAATCAGTTCTCATCCCAATCAGTCAAAGAGAAAACATAAGAGATTTGTGGTCGGATTTGTTCACAACGTTTTACTTTCGTTCTGCGTCTCGCTTCTGTCGTCACTGCGTGTGAAATGAATGGAATTACTGGTACATCAATGCGCTTTGATTTGTGAAATGCCCCGGATCAATAAAGATTTCTTACTTACTTTCTGTTGAACAAACACTATGGGAGTTATTGATGGAAAAAGGTACCCCAGCTTTAAGCAGTAAAATTCTAGTTCACATACAGACCTCCACATTACTCCATCTCAGAGCTCTGTTGAAGTCTTCCACTGTCAGCTTCCTCCTTTTGGCATGTCTCATGAACTGGGAGCTACTCTGTGAAGTCACAAAACACAGAAAAACTAAATACTGATTACAGTTTTGCAAATGGAAATGTGAAATCTGGCCACCACAAAATGCACTTGGGACAAATACTAGACATAATATTCAAGTGATCAGGCCTTTAAAGTTTAATGTCACGGCGACTTAAGTCATGTCTGTGTTGTTTGGACTAACTAACACTTGTGGGTCGGCGTCTTTGTTGTGATGCAAAGTGTCATATAAAATGTTTGTTCTGTCTCCATTCTATCAGGAAAAACTGAAAAACTGGGAACTGAAAAAAAGGTACATTTCAGCTTAAGATCCCGTCGAAGTATCTGTCATTTTTCAACAGAATGTTTTGAGAAAAGAAGTGAAAATGGTGGACGTAGGTATATGTTTAATAATACACACACACTTCAGAAATGTAAGTAATAATGGAATCGGACTTCAATTTTAATGGCTACATCAAATCAATAACATATTTTTACCATTAGAAAAAGATGACCAGAATCAAATATATAGTGTCTAGAGTACGTAGAGTAGGTCCAGTAGGTTGGACTACTATAGTGGCCTGTTTAGCTGTGTATACAATTGAAGGATTGTATATCTCTCTACGATTCTAATGCTTTGTGTTTGCTTCCATCTTGTTTCGTTAACTCATTCACTGACAGCCATATATAAAGCAGCATCCCTCATACTGCCAGAGATTTTTGATATTTTTGATATGAGGTTTTTCCAAACCTCATATCAATGTGAGCCCTTGGTTGACACAAGTATGAAACATACCAAATGAAAGCTCTGCCTCTTGGCTTTCATAGTTTTTTAGCAATTGAGAGTACAAGATGGGTAAGTTTCACACAAAAAGCTGTTTCCTGACCAAGATATGGAGAAAACAGCCTTTTAGTGAAACACACATTTTCAAGCATGTTTTACTGATATTTTACAATGTATGACAGTTTCTTATTATGACACAAAACAGAAACAATAATTAGAATTGTAGTTTTATGTATCATTATTTTGGAACAAATTAAACGTGCAAACTCAAAGGATTGTCTTATGTACACATAAAATATTCAACTTGTATACAATAAAAAGCATTTACAGGTCTGAAATGTTGACACAGGACGCACAAGAGCCTTGACAAGCCATAGAAAGAATGAGTTGCCTTGTGGATCTGTACAGAGCTATACAAATACACTTATATGAATGTGAGATGTGACTCTTGTGGACAGCTTTTTGATGTATTTGAGGATTACTGCAAAAGGAGCCATTTTTTTCAGAGTCGGATTGTTTGAAGCGGACAGACCTGCGTCGCTTCCCGGAGTCGGTAACACACATCCTCCGCCAGAAGAGCCGCCAGGTCGTCCCCGAGCTCCACACCCGCGCTCTCGGCCATGAGTTTGACAGAGTCCCGGGAGATCTCCGCGAAACGCCGCTCCTCTCGCTCCGCCATGATCAAGGCGACAGCTGCAACAAGCAAGAGACATTAGAAATATACAACGCGGCCAGATAAAGAAACTGATTTGCAAAGATCTGCGTCTTATAGTTTGTCAAATCCCAACCATTGGCCTCGTGCAGAGTTAAAACATTACATGCGAGGGGAATACCAGTTGTACTTACACAACCTTCAATGAACTGCTTGTTATTGTTGGAAGTCTGGCACACAATTATGACGTCATCTTGATTTCCGGGACAAAAAAAAATAAAATAAAACTCATGCTATGGTAGATTGTCAGCAAGAACAGTTTACATTCAATACCTAAAATTTTAGTTATGATCGAGAAGAGTAAAGTTAAAATTGAAGCGAATTTGGATTTAAGTTTCAAGTCTGAGTTACTGACCATCATGCATAAGTCATTTACAGACCTTGGGTACATAAAGTATTTAGTGTTTCAGGTTCATGTGTATTCCCCAGAAAGATAAATTAAGTCTGGAATGACTTGACAGTTACCAGGAGAGATTTCAGCAGCCCATGTTCTGTCAAGTGACTATAACTAAGAATGTTGCCATTGTAGAAAATAAAAACCTAAGCATGAAAGCCAGGCCAAAAGAGTAAGACAAGATTTGTGATGTTAAAAGGGTTTATTCATAATACTAAGCACAAGCATTAATTACTCAAAATCATTATGTACAATAGTTAAGATTTTTACATTGACAAAGACCAGTGGTCTACATCTGAGCAGTTGCAAGTCCATCTTGTCCTGAAAGAACCCTTTCAAGTTTATAAAAACAAAAATACACATCTGAGGAATTATTAAAAATGTTTAAAATGCTAAGAATGCTACAGTCTGAGGGAGGTTAGAGCGCCCGGTTGTCCCAGATCTCCTGGGCCTTTGTGCTTTCCAGTTTCTGCAGGTGCAGGGCGAGGGGAAGCAGCAGCTCACTCAGGTGCTGGCTGGAGAAGGTGAAGGCGTTGTTCGCAGTGGCATCTGGACTTGGGGTTGTGAGAGGGGAAGTGGAGGGTGGTGAAGAGGAGGTTGAAGAGCTTGAAGATTGTGAGAACCAGGGAGAGGGCAGCCCACTGCTGCCCTGGGATAACCCAAGGCCAAAAGGGCCAGGACTGGGCTCTGCACGAGAGATCTTGTTGGGAAGGCCATGCTGGAAGCGACAGCGAGTGCCATACAGACAGAAGCCAAAAGAGCTGAAAGTGCGGCAGAGTGCTCCTCTGGGCTTCCAGTCCTTGGAGTGGGGCGGCACTTGGGGACTAACTGGACGAGGACTCTCAAGAGCCTTCTCCATGCAATGAGAGTCAGCAAGACTACCGCCGAGCTCTCCCTCAATATGCATGAAGTTACAGTGGGTGCCAAAGGGACAGACACCAAACGCTCTGAACGTACGGCAGGGGACGTACTTCTTGCGGCGCTGGCACGGCCTCTGCTCCTCAGGTTTGTGCACAAACAGACAGCGGCTGCCATAGTAGCAATAGCCAGTGGTGTGGTAGCTTCGGCACAGCTCAGTCTTGTATCTGGGGTGTCGAGAGGGTACATGGAGCTCATGCAGGCCATGGGCAAACTGACAGCGCTCAGCGTACTTGCAGCTGGACGAGGCAGAGTAGCTGGTGCACAGCTCAGTCTTGTAGCGAGTGGAGCAGACGAAAGGGAGGAGAGGGGGGGAGGACTCCACCAAAGGCAGCAGGGCTTTGGCGAGGGACAGACCACAATCTCCCCCAGTTTCCTCAATGGACAGCAGCTTGTTCGCCACATCTTCATGGTACGTAGGCAGGAACAAGTCGTCGCTGCTGGTCTGAAAATGACAATGTTTTGAAAAAGTTTAAGTAAGGTTTCTTTATACAGCCCTTTTACAGACAATCAACTAATGACATCTCTGCACTGGCCCGGACTGGCCATCGGGAGCATCGGGAGATCTCCCGGTGGCCTGCGTGTCAAAGTGGCCCTATCATCACGGTTTTTTTTTTTTTTTTCTTTTTTTTTTTTTTTTAATTTTAATTTCATCCTCACGGTCTTTGCAAACTCCTACCCTGCCTGGTGGCCTGGTCCAATGAGCAAGGCCCAGGCCAAGTGTTGTGCGTGAACGAGTTCAAAAGAACGCGTTCATTGAACACGCTCATTTTTTCGTGAACGTTGAACTGAACGCAACACATTTTTTAATAAAGAACTTGAGCGTGAATTAGTTCATATTATGTGTCATGAACGGCAGACAATTTGTTTTCCATTTAAAACTGAGTGAAATCTGTTTTCTCTTTTGAAACGCAACGAGAGAAAGTTCCTCCCTCCTGTATTCTCCGCACTGTTTCCGCCGAAAACTAAAAATTCCTACGGTTTCCACCGTCTGTGAACGCACCCCGACTCAGTGTACTTGCGGTGCGGCGCTATATGCTAGTGCTATTCATTGGTTGTTGGACTCACATGTGCCGTGATGAAAACACAGGGGTAAGTCAGTGACACAGGGCCGTTTACATTTGACATAAAGTATAGACACACGTTCTGCAGCGCATTACAGTTTGTACTTATGAGCAGAGATGGGACAACTCAGTTCCCATTGAAACCCATGTAAATCTTGTCTGCATTGGAGTCAAAACATCCTGTGCAGTGTACAGGATATAATATATATATATATATATATATAGCTCGTAGTGAAAAAAAATATTTATTTGAATATCTCGCAAAAAGTAAAATGAACTGAACTTTGAACTAGTTCAGAATTAAAATTGAGAACTTCGAACGTGAACTGTTCACTTTGAGCATGTATGAACTGAACTTGAACTAGTTCAGAAAAGCTGTGAACTGGCACAACACTGGCCAAAGCTTTACTGTCATTGGGCCAGAGCAAAATTAAACAAATGTGACGTCACACGTCGGCTACACAGCCAGGCCAGCCTAGCAGTGCACCCAGTGTAGCTTCCCCGGTTCAAATGAGTGGTCTCTCCAACTGATGGTTCATACACGTTTTTATTTTTCCTTTTATATGAGCTGTAACGATGTGATTTTACCTTACTACTTTTTTAACAATAATTGATTAGCTTGTTATAGTTATACACTAATGAACACTTAGTTCATTGTGTGTGTGTGTGTGTCTTTATTCTCACTAAACTCCATAAACGTTACGTTGCTAAGCAACGTACAACAATCCTTAAACGTCCGAGATTATATAAACAGCCAATATAAAAAAATATAAAGAAAACAAAAGTTTTGACAGTCAATCTTAAAACTATTAAAAGAACATCAAAATACAATGACAAAAACCCAAATTTAGAACCTTGTTTGGCCTGAATGAATGAAAAGCTCCCGGCCTGAAATGTTGTCCCACTCCGGCCCTGTCTCTGCATTGCATCTCATCAATCGATGCAATGCCCCATTTACTTGACCAAACTTCTAAACATGAGATTGAACCATGCAATTTAACTGAGCAAAACTAGAAAACCAAAATGAAAAATACAAATGTGAATAGATCTTATACTGCCATAAAAAGAGCAGATATTTTGCCAATTGTTCCATATTTTTCGGAATAGAAATAACATCCATTTTACACAGCCCGTACCTCAAACATAGTTGCCGTATGAATGTTGATCGTCGTGAGAGGGGACTGAAACGTAAGTGCTGGCCCTGCAGTGGACAGTCAGACCCGGGTCGTGTGGCTGTGGCGCGGTCAGGGCGTCAGGGCAGGTGCGGGGAGGCTCTGCTGCTCTGTGGTGGAGTCGCAATGACGAGGGCGCGTGCAAGTTTTATTGAGGTCTCTTGATGAGCTCACGAGCCTCAGGTGTGCGCGCAGGAGTCACGTGCGCTGCATACGCGCACGTGTGAAAGGAAGAAAACAAACTAAACTTGCTTTGGAAAAGTTTGGGGCCAGGCAATTTAAGATATCATTTGCCTCCCTAAGAAGTACTGTAGGATCACTATTTGAAGAAAAAGTACCACCCTCCATGCTCTCTCTCTCATACACGCACATACACACACGCGCTCTCTCACTCACTCACACACATGCATACAGTACACACACACTCATTATAAACGTTTTGAAAAAAATCCAATGCATTTTAGCGATTGTATATATGTGTGTATGTGTTTTATACCATATAAAATAGCAGCAATAACAGTATTTATACTAAAGTTCTAGTGTATGCAGTTTCTAGCTAAACCCCAGCAGGTGGATTGCATCTGCATGGTGGACCACATGTCAGACAGAAAAAATCAGAAAGGGCAAGCACGATTTGCGACTCACGGCAACTTCCGGTGACTCGCGTGACTCAGGCGCTGTGAGCCGCGACTCAGCAGCCAGAAGTCGTGACTCACGGTTAAAAATAACACAATTCTTTGCTTCTCAGGGGTATCTGGGAATGATCAATGAGACAATATGGATCTGGAGGCATTGTTTACAAGTAATCAGTATGTTAGACACTCTACATCAGCTAGTATGTGTTTGTATAGCAGTCCATGTCCGTTAACCACTGACTCAGGCGCTGTGAGCCGCGACTCAGCAGCCAGAAGTCGTGGCTCACGGTTATCAATTTAACTTTTTAGGGGTATCTGTGGATTATCAATGACACATTGTGGATCTGGAGGCATATATTTACAAGTAACCAGTATGTTACACACTCTTGATCATCTGGTATGTGTTTATATAGCTCTCCATGTTCGTTAACCACTGACTCAGGAGCTGTGAGTCGCGACTCAGCAGTCAGAAGTCGAGGCTCACAGTTAAAAATACCACAAATCTTTGCTTTTTAGGGGTTTCTGGGACTTTCTATTGAGACAATATGGATCTGGAGGCATAGTTTACATGTAATCAGTATGTTACACACTCTTCATCAGCTGGTATTTGTTTGTATAGATCTCTATGAACTGTTCACCACTGACTCACAGCTCCTGAGTCGCGGCTCAGGAGCTGTGAGTCGCGGCTCAGCAGTCAGAAGTCATGGCTCACGGTTAAAAATACCACAAATCTGTGCTTTTTAGGGGTATCTGGGAATTATTAGGGGCAACAGTGACTCAATTGGCAGAGCTTTGGTCTTTGGACCTAATGATCGTGGGGTCGTGCCCCCACAACCACCTGCTCCCACTGAAGCAAGACGCCCCATCGTGGTATCTTATATACAGTCATGGGACCTCATGAATGAGTATGAGTACAAGTATGTGATAACGGCACAATACTAATATTGGTATTGGTGCATCCTTAGTAAAATAAACAGACTATAAAAGAAATGTCAGGTTTACAGTCATAGTGCAAGTGGTTGATTAAGTGATACAGGCCTAAATACAGATTATTACATGTATTTGCAGGGCTTATTTCATATTCTAATGAAAAATACTTTTTAGGAGTATTTATGAATTATTAATGTATCTGGATGAACATTTTCCATGTCCTCAGTGCCTCATACATACTTTACCAGCTGATATATGTTTGTATTACTCTATTGTTAACAAGTGACCTACGAGACATAAGTCAGGACTCGTCTGCTGACACCAGGGGGCGCTGTCTAATCTCATGTTGAATCCTGCACGACGTTGGACATCTCGCTTGCAATTTAAATTTCACCAAAATATTGAGGTAAGTTATTTTGTTTCGTTTTTTGGAGTCTGTCTTTTAATCATTTTAAAGGGCATGAAACTTGTGTAAAATTCCTTGGTTGTAATTCTGTGGCTTCAAAGAATACACAAAACTTGCAGATACAGAGCAGAGTGTATACTCCATAGGACAAAAGATGAGGCAAGGTGTATAACACAGGTTTGGTCACATAAGAAATAAATAACTAAAAAACCACTGAGACATTATTATTTGTTATTTATTAATAATGCTAAAGGCATTTGAAAAAATACAAACAATACACAAACAAACACAATTATAAAAGCCACTTGTACCAATTTGTCCTTATAGTAAAATAATGTGGATGACAAAGTGAGCCAAGAACCCAGAGTAGAGATTTCTTTGTCTTTGAACAAACACAAACATCAGGGCATTTCATTTCAGGGCATTTTCATTCTAAAAAAAATGATTATTGTTAACTTTGGAGGATAGTGTGCTGAGGTGGACTTACTATTGTAAATAGAGAATTAAAGAGAAAGACCCTAATGACATAATTTTATATGATCATGTTACCGAACCCAGATGTTCAAAATACAGAATTCAAGTAACTTCTGTTGTGGTGAAATGTTTGAAGATGCTTATTTGAGCCTTTGGTGGCCCAGCGGCTGTATGACTGCTGCACGGCACTTTCCCTCATAACTGCCTCCGTGATCATCCTGAATCAAATGTTTTAGGGTTTCCAAAAGTGTAGCTCCCTTATACCCTTTAAACATCTGATCCTGGAGCATTATACAGGATACAAATGCAGTGGAAATACAGGTGTCATGCTGCAGCCATCAAGACATGTTTTTCTCCTTAATGCCTCTTTTCTCTCATTTCTTTTCTGTGCAAAAATTAAGTGTAGTTAACCGGTTATTCTTGAATTACAGAACTACTGAGACGACACATCAAGATGAGCCACACACAGAAGAGAAGGAAAACAAACTTTATAAAAAAATGCACAACGTAATTCACTTTAATAGACCAATTATAAAGAATAAAGATTTGGTTTAGGTTTGATACATTTCAGTTTTGCACTTGGCTGTAGCTAATACATTTGCACACATTGCACTATAACATGAACATTTGTTTCCCCACAACCACATGAGCTGTTACTTTGTCTCCCAATACAGGAACATATACAGCTCAGTCATGAATAGCAGCAGAGTGGTGCCGCACATCACTGGAAGGACATGTTGAGCTACGTGCTAATGTGTAGAATAAGCCCACACCTGTTCACTGTCAATCAAAAAGGTGTTGCTGCGGGTTCGAAGTAGTAGGGTCATTCTGCGACCTGCAGGACAGAGGCGTGTCGTGAACTAGGCGTGTAAACTATGCCTCCAGGTCCATATAGTCTCATTAGAAATTCCCAGATACCCCTAAAAAGCAAAAATATGCTGTATTTTAACTGTGAGCCACAACTCACAGCTCCTGAGCCGCGACTCACAGCTCCTGAGCCGCGACTCACAGCTCCTGAGTCAGTGGTTAACGAACATGGAGAGCTATATAAACACATACCAGATGATGAAGAGTGTGTAACATACTGGTTACTTGTAAATATATGCCTCCAGATCCACAATGTGTCATTGATAATCCACAGATACCCCTAAAAAGTTAAATTGATAACCGTGAGCCACGACTTCTGGCTGCTGAGTCGCGGCTCACAGCGCCTGAGTCAGTGGTTAACGGACATGGACTGCTATACAAACACATACTAGCTGATGTAGAGTGTCTAACATACTGATTACTTGTAAACAATGCCTCCAGATCCATATTGTCTCATTGATCATTCCCAGATACCCCTGAGAAGCAAAGAATTGTGTTATTTTTAACCGTGAGTCACGACTTCTGGCTGCTGAGTCGCGGCTCACAGCGCCTGAGTCACGCGAGTCACCGGAAGTTGCCGTGAGTCGCAAATCGTGCTTGCCCTTTCTCGAAAAAATGGCAACAGAATTGTAATGATTTTAAAGTAGAAGTAGATTTTAAAATAATGTATTAAAGCGGGAGCATTGGATTTTTTTCCCTTGTAAATCCAGATTTTCTTCTTAAGCATTGAACCTCATGCTTACTGGAAAGATCAATTAAGTCACTTTGGGCCAACAGTAGATAAGAAAAGGCCAATCTGTAGTTGTGCTGTTGATTATATTCATGTGAATGCGAATGACTGACCGACAGCTTTAACTTAAATATATAAACAGTCTTTGAAAGTTAGGATGAAAAAAGAATGGCCATGCGACCCATGAAATACCAGTCATACTTAATTACTGATTAAAATATCATCTAGTATTGGCATTACAAGTTATAGTAAAATACAAGTAATACCTCTGCTTTATTTCTCCACGTTCTGTGTTTTCTAATGTAATAGTTTATTGTAGTTAAAATGTTAATTGCAGTATTTCTATAATACACACGCACACAATGTTACACAGAAAATCTTATTTATTTAAGAAGATACATTAAAAGGAAATGGACATCAGAACAAAAAATAACTTCAGTTGTAGGTTTCCCCTCTCCGTACAAAAATCAAAGCCCCATGCCTGTAGTTCTCAGTTCAAAATGTCCCCCACCTCTGAAGAGTTACCTGCCAGAACCACGTCCAGCACATGGGAGCAGAATGACACACTTCAAAACGTACAAAAGTGTTTGCACTGTTTTTTTTTTTTACACATTTGCTACAAAATTAGCACTTCAATTTCATTTGATTAGAAATATTACAAAGCCCACATTGGGGCCAGACTTTCCTATAACTCCACTGTCTAATTGAATTGTGAAGTTATAAATTAGCCAATCAGCATTTTAGTGCTCACTTTTATTTATATTATAAACAGCATATGTAAAATTTAAGTTAAACTACATGGGACATTTTCTTTCAGACACAATCATTTCATTCAAGTTAGACAGTCTCTCACAGAAAAGATTAAGGCCAAATGAAAACGTTAAAACGATTCTCATAAAATAAGTCTTAACTTAATCTGACGTTCCTTAATCTTCTTCTGTAGCCTCCACATATTGCTTTTTATTCAGGTTTGGTCAGCGTGTTGATCTAACTTTTCATTGCTTTTTCTGTGGTCTTTTCTTATGTTTGAACACGTTATGGCTTGTACATCATACAGGCACAAAGACAGTCCTAATTTTTTTGTCAGTGGGTAAATCTACGGGAACAGATATCCGAGTCTTAAACTAAGCAAGATTTTCCTTCTACTAATCTATAATTTCTTTAAGCTACAAGGCCTTTACCCACTTTGTAAGAATGGGAACAGATGAGCAGGTCAAGCAACATCAAACGGTCACAATTTTGAGTTGAAAACGCTCCAACTTGTTTATAAAATGTTTGTTTGGAGATTATATATTAAACGTCACATTGTTTTGTTTGTCATATGGAGGAGGCCCTGTAGCCTAAAATCACTAAAGGTAACAAGTTGTCACTGCAAATGAACTCTCAGACCACATAAACAGCTGAGGACTGTCTCGCTCTAGGCCTTAGCTGCAGCTCCGACAGATGCACACTGCCCCCTCTCTGAATACTGGAGGTATGACCCCACATGATGCATATATTTACACAAAGACAAGGGAGAACATTGTGTGCTTTGCCATCATATTGGGATGAAAATATATGCTTTAAATTACACATGTAAAAAAATCCGGTGTTATAAAAAGGCAGACAATTAAGGGTGTGAATAAAAGTCTGGACAAAGTCAATTTTTGGGGAGTAACAGAAGTGAAGGGGACAAAATGGAACGAAGTCCAGACCCAGCTGTCCACTGTCCTTCAGTCCTCCAGGACAATGGGCTCGCTGGTGCTGGAGGGTAGCAGGGGCATGGCCAGGGAGCGGGGCGGTGGGGGCAACTTTATCCTGACTGGGAGGTGAGGCTTCCTCGCTGCTCGCCGCATCTCAGACTGTGTCAAGTGTTTCCGTAGCGCTCTGGACCAATGGCAAAGGAGCAGATCCTTGTTAGATGAATGGTGTTCAGCAAACATGAGACTGCTGTGCATTAAACCGATAAACTACCTGGTATCCTTGGTGGCCACAAACACCACAGGGTTGGGAGCCTCTCCTTGGTTCATTTTCGGTCGCTTGATGACAGATTGAGAACCTGTCCTTAGCCCTGAAGAATATGGCCTTCCATTGGCTGGGTAAGGAACTCCGGTCACCTGTGAGAAGATACAAGGATCCATAAGGGGGTATAATTACTCTCTCCCTCTTATATACACACAGCATGCTTTGTTACTCATTACATTACATAAGTGGTTTATAAATATATATAATTTTTATACTAATTTAAAACATACACTGTCAAAGCCTCTCTTTCCCAGCAGGCCTTGCCCCACACGCGGCTGTGTGGCTTGGTTTCTGTTAATGGGGGTCGGTGGTCCCCTGGAAGCCTTGAGTTTTAGAGGAGCAGAGATGGCTGCACAGAGGAGCTCACAGTCAGTAAAGACAAGAGGAATAGATCACAGTGAAAGGTGTGGAGTCGTACCCAAGTCTTTGACGATGGTTGCCAGTGACGGTCGAGGGATGATTTTAGTCTTGATCGGGGTCTTTGTGGCTTTTGGCAGCCTGGTCATACCTACAGAGAGACTTGGTTAGACCACAAAGTATGAAAGGTAAATGTAAGGAAACACACAGGACGTACACTCAGCCTTGACGGCGTTGGCGTTGATGGAGGCGTACGGTCGGCGTGCAGCTCTCCGCGGCTGTAGGATGTCCTCACACACTCGTCGAGCCACACGCGTCAGTTTGGTCGTCTGAAGGATGAAGGTCTGACGGTTCTTGGCGAGAAGTTTGGCTCTCCCTTCGTTTCTAGTGAACGGGGACATGCCCTGCACCTCCTGGCGAGTCATGTGACCTCGAGGACCAGACTCCTTTATGGAATTGACACACTAAATGAGGCGGCCAAGGGCTAATGCAGTTTAATATTACCCAGAGATGAGACTTACAGAGCCTCCGCGGGCTGCTCCCTCCAGTTGTGTGGGTGTCTTCAGGCCTCCGTACTTCTTCCAGTAAATCCAACACGCGGCACAAAGCCTGCACTGCATGTTGGGAGGGCCCCAAGCGTACCACTGAGGAGACTGAGCCGCTGCGAGAGGAAACCCAAGTTTAATACATGTGTGGGCTGATATTAAATTGTGATTCAATCAAAATAATAATAATAATAATAATAGATTATTATTTGTATGGGGGTAAGGCTTAGGTCTTTCTGCTCAAAAGGAGTGGGCTGAAGCAATAAGCTTATAAGCAAGTACCCCCACCCCCGAACTCATTACGATCAGACGTTTCATAACAATAATAGTACAGAATCAGAGCACAAAAGCACACAAAACAAACTTCATCCTAGATTATTGAATATTCAATAGTCAAGAATATAAAAAGAATAAAAGAACAGATCATACAATTAGCAATGTCATATTGGGAATAGCCTCACTGACCAGAGTGAGTGAGTGAGACCAGAGAGACCTGTTTTTTACTGCTTTTATGATATGCAATAAAAATGTCAGTGAAAACAGTCATAATAATATACAAAAATCAAATAGAAATGCATAGAGAAAAAAAGCTTTACATATATATATATATATATATATATATATATATATATATATATATATATATATATATATATATATATATATAAAAAAGGTAAATAACTTACTGTGGCAGCTCTCACAACTGAGGCCTTTCTGAAATCCAGCAGATCCGTTCATTCCTGGTTTGCTTCCTGGTGCCATAATCTGGTTGGGGTTAGGTTTGGTGCTGTGAACAGACATCACCATCAGAGATACTTCTGAGAAGAACAATGTGTTGCAATTTTAATGGTCACGCACTAGGTGGGGATGTACACCTGCTTCAACTTGCTGTCGGCTTCTGCTGCTTTTAGACGTTTCTGATGATAAACAGATGATAAAGTGACAGCAATATTAAGTTAAGTAGTAATATCCAGCTGAGTAGTAACAGCAGGAACTCGACCAAACCTGGGCCCATTCTGTTTAAGTCAAATTTAAGATACACACACATTTAATCAATATTTTTAATGCTGCTGTAATAATAATAATAATAATAATAATAATTTAATTTTGAGGCAATTTGTGAATCTGGGAGATGCGTATAGAAATATTGTACTGACATCATTAGAGTAGTTCCATTGATACAGAGCAGGGCATAGAAAACCACAATATTCATTTTTGTTACATGTGGTAAAATTTTAAGCTTCTAAGGCCTTCTGTCATTTAAAACATGTTAAATGATTGCACGACTCTGCTTTTTGATCAGGGTAGCACCAAACATTTTAAACAATAGAACCTCAACATTATAATCAGCTTTAGGCTTTAGCTCTAGCTCTAACCTGTAATATGCTTTTGAAGTGTTGATAGTTTACGCACCTGCTGAATGTAGCGGTCTGTAGTTTTCCACATGTAGTAGAACTGCACCACACTAGCCAGAGACTTCCACGGCAGCTGCAGAGGAGAAAAAAGGTTTAAGCGTTCCATCCAGGAGAAAACAGCACAGTGTTATGTGGAGCTTACAAAGTCTTGGCGGATGTCATTGAAGTCTTTTCCATATTTCTCCAGGGCTTCTTCGAACAGCATGGCCTCAGATGCGCTCCACTCCTCCATTTCATCTCGACAGAGCACTGGGCCGCCCTGAGGCACCAGTGTGGACATGGCTTTGGCCAGGTCATAGCTGTTCTTTTGAAGGGTGTCCATAGCATGGAACTGAGGACCAAACACATTTGAATCATGTCTAAATGCTTTTACTTCAGTTGTTGATATTGTCGGTGGCCAACTCTCTCACCAGCGTGATGTCTCTGGAGGCGGCGGCTGCACTCATGTGCAGACTGGGCTGTCGGATGGAGCTGCTGCAGTCCAGCGCTCTGGCAAAGGTGCCCACAGCCCTGAAACAAAGCACATGTCTCTTTAAACCATTTGGACAGAAATCCTGTATGTGCTTTCCAGTTTCCAGAGGGGCCACTCTAGATTTATTGCGGTAATTTAAATAAAGGTCTTTCACATCATCTCCGCTACCTCCAAAGCATTTTTTTTGCAGCTCTTCCATTATGCCAAAATCACAAAGAACTGAAGTTACCTGCTAACAGCTACATAAACAGACTTGGTGATCAACAGTGTATGGAAAAGGGGCCCGTGATTGGTGCTGAGCACAATGGTTAACTGTGAGGTGGACCCATTATTGGCGTACTCATCACATTTATAATTGGTACTTCCATCACCCTATGTTTCAAGTGTAGACGGACCCGAAACCAGCTTAGGTTTCATTTAATTTAATTTAGTTTTTATTTATTCCTTTCATGAAAATGCTGTTGCATTTATCAGCTTCATAACATAATATACATTTATTATACATTTGCATGATACATTTCCATGATTGGAAAGGAGCAGAGAGGAAGAGTTTAAGTTTCGGACCATACATAGTGTCTATCAAAAACTCTGTAACAGACTCTGTATGGTAACAAGCTGAGACTGTGGTGTGTACCTTGCCACGACCAGAAACTGGTCGATCTGTGAATCTTTCAGCAGGTTGTCGGGGTCCCACACCTTCGTTTCCAGTTTCTCCTGCACTCTGGTGTCCGATTCATCTGCCAGACAAAAGAGCAAGTTAACTACACGACACAAGTACTGGTTTAGTGCCTCACACTCAAACATACCCTCCGCCAGCATGTCTGGGATTTCTGCCTGGTATTTAGAGCCCACTCTGATCTCCCCTTGGTCTGCGAGCAGTGTCTTCTGGACAGGATCAAACACCAGCGAGTAGAAGAAGCAGTCCTGAGCAGAGAACACAGTCATCACACACTGCAGCTGCGGAGCGAGGTCTGAGGCTCACACCACTCACCTCTTTGTCCAGGTACCCGGTCAGCATGTCCGTCTCATTGAGGAGTGTCACGTTACATTTGCCCCTGAGGAAATGTAGACAGACAATGTTATTAAAAATTCAGATTTTAGGTGAGACAAAATCACTTATGATGCGAATCCAAATTACCGTATGTGTGTTGCAGGTAAAGACTCAAACTGTCGGGATAGGAAAAGTTCTCTGTGCTTGAGCTGATGTTTCTGTGGTTCTGCGAGAACAGGCTGCTTTGACTCTTCCTCGAACTCCCCTTGAAAACAAAACCATACACATTAAAGAGGAATAAAAGTATATTTTAATTTCCCACATAAGAGATCAAAAACTTTTTTCTCTTTCAGTAGTTAATTGTAGAATATAGTTATTTTCCTCATTGTTAAACCTTGTGACTGGGAAGTCACCACACACTGTACATTTACACTTGGCCACTAGATTGCGCATTCCTAATTTGAAGGCGGTAATTTGTGGCAAGCTTTGGGGGAGGGGCTTGAGGGCTCCATCCGCGAGGACTCCGCCCCTGCACTCTTCCACGGGAAACCCTGTGAGTGAGGCCAAGGTGGAGAGAAAAGCACAGATAGCTGCAAAGTGGAGAGGGACGCCACCTCAGGCCACACCCCCTGTCTGTTAACCTCTCACCCCCGCAGAACACCCCCCACCCCAACACCCCCGGTCCGGCTAGTCCCTGCCAGACTTAGAAGGAAACCCTGTTGTGCCAAACCTGAGGTGCCCCTCCCCCCTAAACATGTATCCCCTCAAGTCCCTCGCACACACACACAAATCAGGGGGAGCACACACACTTGTTCCTCACAAAGGCAAGTCAGAATTAACCCATTCGGTGCCTGAGATCAAGGGCCTCTTTGTTGCCTTGGAATCGATGTGACTGATGCAGATAGAGCCAGGTTTAGTGATAACATGAGCAAGAATAAGCCGGGCGCTTCTTGAGTGCGTCAAGCCAAGCTCTGCCCCACTGGAGCTAGGCACAAACACCACTCTGTGTCTGGTCAGGGCTGAGTGGACTTTGAAACAGAGCTCTGAAGGGACAAAATGAACCAAGGCAGAAGGGGAAAGGGAAGGAATCCAATACTTTGAATATACATGGTGGTTTAGACCATTCGCCTATGGCCAGTTGGAAATGGTTGCCAAAAGATATGGATTGCACAGGTCAAGGTCACTCTGAATCATGCCATGCTACATGAATGTATTCCAATGAGGTTTTACTGCAAATGGAAAATACAATTCATCTGAACCTGAACGGAACCTGCTTGTACAGTTCTTGAGAATACGGGTGAACAAGAGAAGAATTGCTTTGACTATATGGAGTTTGGACTGGTTTTGTTTTTTCAGAGTCAAAAATTCAAACTTGAATGGCAGCAGTAATATAAGTATTTGAGACACTACTAAAATACTGTTAAACTAAATCCCACAAATACAATTGAATTCAAATAACCCCAGTCCACTTTGATTTATGCAACCAATTAGATTTCAGTTCATATGTGCTGTTGCAACTCGCCTGCACTTGTTTGAGATTATTATTGCTCCGATACCAGTATTGGTCAAAATATCCAGTACAACACTACTATAGGCAAGCACTTGGTAACACAATAGTTATACATTCAGGACTTTCTACAAGATCTTAGATTCATCCGATTAATGTAAATACATGTTTTACTATGTCTACATCATCTGACTTGGAATCACCAATGGGATCAATTACATAGTTATTGTATCTAGAGAGAGGTCTCATTGAGTTAGAGAAATCACACTGGTACAGCATAGGCCAATAAATAATTAATTTGTTGACTGATTAAGCGAAAGATTTACATTCTATGGAATCGGACCAGCATGTTTAGACTTTGCTAGGACAAACATGAAAAATGTTCGAGGAATAATATTCAATGAATTTAAGGCCATGCTGACCTTGCTTATATTTAGATTGCCTGTCATTTTTTCTACAATTCCTTTAAAATCTATTGATACATTGGAATCTAACGTAACAAAGACAATACAAGTCAGTGCAAGGCATTCGTTAACCTTTGCGTTTAGATTGTTGAGTTTAATATTGACACAAAACATTAGGCTTTCAATCTGAATCCTTATTTTAACCAGACTGAGGCCAGAGCTAGTGTCCGATCTACTGTGTGTGGTGCATTGATTTGTGCTGGGCTTTTGCAGACGTCTTTGTCTAAAGCCTCAGGAGGAAGAGAAGGTGGCGGGCTGCGGTGGGGAGTGGGGAGTGTCTGATCAGACATCAGTCGTCTGCATACCATTAGCACATGCAGACCCCCCCCCCCCCCCCCCCCCCCCCCCACGCTGAGCCCAGTCTGAGGTGCAAGGAGCTGCGTGACACACAACAACGCCTCATCACCACCATTTCAACGTAATCCATGATAGCTCTTGTGGAACCCAACCTACATATTTTGTACTGTGGACCCCTGTTACATCTGTATTACTGCTACACATTATTATCTGAAGCACTGAACCACTTTGTTTTGCCCACATTGTTAGTACAGGATCTATATCTTAAGCATGAATCATTTATATCTTAAGTGATGACATGTTCTTATGTACATTGAGACAAATCATATAAGAAGCCACGTCTCCTATTGTTGGATCTGGAGGGACTCGATAATAAACCGTGGACAGGTGCAATTGCCGCTGCCTTGACTTAATTTCTCAACACTCTCATACCCATAACCATGAGCACATTTCTTACATATTTCATTCTGCTTTGTTACAAGAGGCTGTGTGTAATAATACCCACTTGCATTGCTATCGGCCAGCGTGTTGAGATTTCCTGAGATGTCCCTCCTCCTGAACAGACACACCACTTTGGCTTCCACGTTGCCATTGGCAGTCTGCAGGGAAAAGGAACGCGTCAAAATAAACTTCCAATGGACACACACACACTCCCGGAAACATTATAGATTATGGCTTTAGGCAATGTTTATCAGATTAAACTATAAGTAAGTCATCTTTATCTGTAAAGTGCCTTTTTTTAAACATTTCACCTAAAACATTACAAAGATGTTTTGACTGTACAAGATTATTGGTTAGTTATCGCAAACATTACATATGTTGAACATAACATTAAACAAAATATGATGATCCAGGACACTCGACATTCAACATTTATGGACTTTATTAGAATTTACGGACATTGGTCATCTGCTCCTTATCGACCAATGTGTTTTTTTATCTTTGCATTTCTTGTGTTTGAACTGTTTAATTTGCTGATCTGTGTTTGGCGAAATTGACAGTTTTGTAAAGTCCTCAAAGATAACTACTGTTGTGATTTAGAGCTATACAAGAATACATTGAATTGAATAGATAATAAGTGGAGATGTAAGTATAAAAACACATTCAAATTTGCAATATACAGTTGTAGTTTACAGAACTAACTTGAACAACTTGACAGAACTAACCAACATTGATTTATTTTTAAGCCCAAGACTGTGATGGGAAAATATCAGCTATTGATAGTGCGGATGAGGACAAAATGCGCAGTTAGAGGGTTATATAAACGGTTTTAATCCTGAGACTGTCACTGGTGCTGTGGGTTATAGACCAGCGACTGTTATTATACTGGCCATAATTAACGCTCTCCTTACAAAGTCCAGCTGCTTTCCACATGCAGTCTCAGTCAAAGCACAATGAATCACTCAATGTGGATACAAAAACCTGCACCCAGTCGCAGCAAAAGGAGGGAAATTGAATCATGGAATCATTAATGTATATTATCAGGTGTTTTAACAAGAAGGAGCTACCGGGACAATGCAATTTCATGTTCAGATTTGGTTTAAAACATACAGCTATGAGTCGATTGGGGCAAAGGTTTTGAACGAGACAGGATTTGGACCCAACGGTGACATATGCACAAAAACAAAATTGGCCAAAGATGGTACCTTGTTGAGCTCCTCTATTCTCCGGATCAGGTATGGGTTACTGGAAGAGTTTTCAAAGTACACGTAATCTGTAAGAGACACACAACACAAGGCTTTTAGGTTGACTGAAATTAAACAGGAAGTGGTAGTGATGGTCAAAATCAGCCCACACACCATTTATTTCCTGGTAAATGTCAACTACTCAAACTTGCGGCCTGTTACTTGAACACTCACTGTTGTGAAAACCTCAACCTGGCAGCTTATGCGACTGGTGTAATGTGAGCAGCAGAAGCACTCAGCTGTGTATATGGCACTAGTGTGAGCTTTCATTTAATTACACAAACACGTTCTGTCAATTATATTAGCAGTTGTGGAAGCCTAGTGTTTGTATTTAACCCATATTAATGTTTGTATTTAACCAACATTTAGACATGTTTGCTCATAGCTCTCACAGTATTATCCAAATGACCCATGGTGCTTTAAAATGACAACAGACAGAGACTCAGATTGGAACATGCAAATAAAAAAAACGCACATGAAGCCACATGATGAAACAGGCAAATTCAATGAGAAAAAAAAACAAGTTCGCAAGACCTGCTTTTCATACTGGCTGAAATGCTAAGATTCATCCAGATAATAGGGCAAAACTCTCATCAACAGGCAACCAACACAAACACGCAGCTGATTATGCCACAGGACACTTAAATCAAAACCTGTTGTCTATTGCTCAAGACTGAGCTCATGCCAGCATTTCCCATCAGGCCCCATCTGCTCCTCCCACAAGCTCGTGCGGACAGAGCCTGCGGGCGACACGGGCTGCCTCAAAGCCACTACAAGGCCGGGATTTTGTGCTCTACTTAGCAGCACAGTGATGGAGAGACAGAGGGCCAGCATCACCTCACTGTTACATAAGACAGGGAAAGTGCTCGCTCATGGCTCTGAAGTGACGGAGCAGAGCATCCGTGTAATTCATGTTTCAGGGGCTGCGCTTTTCTCAAGTGTCTTCTTTTGGAGGGAAAGGTTTGATCAGGGAAGGAACACACTATACATGATATGCATTATGAGCCTTTTTCTAAATTCAAGATGGTTTAACTGGGAATCTGTAACAAGAGACATTCTGTGGACTCCTCCAAGCTGTCTGAGGCTGTATGACGCATGTCAGGACAGAGCAGATGAAAATGAATAAATAAAGCTTCTCTTCTGCTCCATATCCTTCTGGAGTATCTTCCATAATAATGCCACACGTCTGTGGACAGAGATCACAGCACAGCCCTGACACTGGAGTGTCAGTGTGGCGGCAGGCAGCACGAGTGGCGCAGTGTGGCAGCCGCTCCAGGCTGAATGAAGAGGAGGAAGCCCTTTGACTAATCTCAGGGGAGGATAATGATCTTACGAGGGAGCTGAACACAGTGTGCTTCTGCTAATGTAGGCCCTGCTCTTACTGACGAGCTTTAGGTCTGCAACAAAGGAAAACCTCATTCAATAATTCAATCAATACTCATCAACACACAGAATAATCCCAAAGGATGCAAAAACGTGACAGACACAGAGAACACCAGGAACTACTTGAGCAATACAGTTTGTGCAACACTGAAATTTCCCCACTGTGGGACAAATAAAGGAGCCCTTCATTTGAATACTGTGCACATCTATAACTAACGTGAGTTGTGGGGGATCCGAGATTGACAAAAACAATAAAAGTAAAAATGTGCAATCAATGGGATGAAATAAAACAAAAAGGTAAAAAGTGAAAGTGTCAGGATTGAAACTGGTTCTTGTGAGTTAAAACCAGTTTCTAGCCACGTCTCACGTTGACAGCTCAAACCCAAACAGCAGCACAACACTCTACTATAGCACACGCTGCCAGACAGAAGCACAGCTGCCAGAGAAGCATGTCCAATAATAAACACTCAGGACTGAGTTAAGTAGCTAACTAACTTGAGTCTGTCCAACATTTATAACTGCTACCAAATGTCCCTTGTGTCTATAAACATGTAGCTGGAGCAGGATCACAACGTGCGCACAACTTTGCACGTAATGTTTAAGAGTCTGTCAACTCACTGTCAACATCACAGCTGCAGGTGTCATCCAGGGGAGACGCTTCAAGACAAACACCCGGCCAGCGCGGGCAATGCAAGGGCATGAAGATCGAGCAGATGGGCTCTTGACATTAACCCACCCTCAGTACAGCCACAAGGCGAGGTGAGGGCGAGATGGTCAATGTGTGGATGCCGATTGATAGGTGCTAACGATTAGCATTGCGAGTTCCTGTGCGACAATTTGTGCCATCTCCAACAGCTTAAATGCAATAATGGGCAAACACTATCAAATGGTAACTTGCACTAACGTCTCAATACGATCCGATTTCCAACTTAAAGGACGTAGCACAACTCTGCTTCACAAGTTCTTGATTTATATGAAACTGAAGTCAGTGTAAGTTTACACAAGCCATTCTTTTTATTTATATGCACAATAAAACACCCATTATGATCCTCAGCAACAAAAGTGTAAACTAGCACGTGTTTTCCATCATGTAAGTAATGACATTTGGACGCTCCTGCTGGAGTGGACAGTACGTACTGGCGTTAGCTTCAGCTAGCTTGTGTTAGCGGCTAGCTGAAAGCTAAGCGCTAGTTAGCCACCTAGCTCCTGAACCGAACAATCACGTTGTGGGGGTGTCTTCAAACGTAAAACAGCCCTTACCTCCAACTCGGTACATGTTAGCCGCCATTCTCTCGTCGCCTTCTGGAAAGACTATCCCAGGGAATAGTCCGTGTGGGTCGAACAAAAGTCTCCGTGGGTCTATTTGATCCTATCCTTCATTTATCGCAGACACCCCCGCCGCGAAACAAAGCCGGCTCCTGGCATAAGCCGACGAGTGGTGGCTAAAAGTTAAAAGTTCCGATTGTAATGCTCCCAAACAGTTTGTTCTTTGTTATTTGGGCCCCCAGACGACCTTCTTCTCCTCTTCCTCACTCAGTCATTCACACAGTGCTACAGCCCGTCTCTTACTCCACTCTTCCTCCCATCCTCCGCTCCCAGCTTCATCCTCCTCTTCTTCACCTCCGCTCAGTTCAACACATCGGATCCACATACACACACATACACGTACACACAAACACACACAAATACACGCGCACACACACTGGCCCCCTTCGGTCGTTCGTGTGCAAATCGTCATCTTCGGAGACTTTCGACAATCGCCAGCCTCACTTGCTTTCTTATTATAGACATGCAGAAGTAATGACTTATTTATGACAACTTTAGAGTTTCAGTATTAAACTTGCGTTCCACGTCATTTCAGCTATTATTTCAAGCCAGAGATATCAATTTTCTAAGTGATACATTCAAACCTGCTTGTGAATGAATATATTGATAAAATATATCCTTTAAAGTCATTAGGTGCGCTCATATGAACAGGTTTCAAATATGAGCATGGAAAGGACAAGCAAACATAAGGCCTTAAATGAGCCTACTCTTTTCTTGGAAGTCAATTCTGATTTGCGAACTTCCTTATCTGACAAGATGTGGTTATGTCTACTGTCTGTACAGCATAAAATAAAATGTGAGCTCCTGGGGCTTCTAACTTTGGAGCAATGCTGCCCACTAGTGGTGTAGACGACACAGCACATTCAGCATTTGTGAATTATTTTTTAAAGATTTTTTTTATTATCTGACAATAGACATTTATATACATAAACACAACGTATGTCAAACACCTTTATAAGCGCATGGTGCTTAATAGAAACAGTCACAGTCTTTATGTCAACAATATACATCTATGCAAGCTGTAAAGTCACTGATGCAAACATTTTTTTGGTAAACAAGATACAGGAATGTTCACACATGGCATCAACATGTCATCTTTATAAAACCCTGCTTGGGGTTCAACAGTCCAGAGCCACGATATGAAAAATGTCCACAGGCAAAGATTGACTCATGAAAGCAGTGGTCACTCTGTACTAAGTGACAGCAGGTTCTGGAGAACTGGTGGAAGTAGACGACAGAGATGCCAGCCTCTCTCTGCTGTCCCCCACCTGCAGAACCTTCCACTGCAGAATACACGTGTCTTTTCCCCCCATAGAAAGAAGGTGAGAGTCGCTGTAGGTGAAGCACACGTTGGTCACATGACTGCCGTGGCCCTCGTACTTGCGGCTTGGTGCCTGCAGAGCAAAGACATCAGTCCAGTCAAATCTCTTTGCACATGTATCGTGCTGTATTTATGACAAGGGGTTTGGACAAAATGTTTTTCAAATCAATCACAACAAACAAATAACAGTAAAATCCCATATTCACATAAAATCAAACTTTATTTCAACATGGATGCATGATTTTGTGGAGCAAACATTTGCGTCGAAGCCTTTCACTATATGCAATAATTTGAGGACATTTACACTGAAAAAAGTGATACAAAAAAAGTCTAAAACAATTTCAAATTTGGCAATATGTAACTTAATTTGAGCACATCTTTTGACAACAAAAATAAAACATTAGGGAGACATTTCTCAAATTATGATAAAAACAATTGATTCTAATATTTATTACCTCATATTTCATTATTTTTTGCAGTGTTCTTATCAAAAGAAATAGTTTTGAATTGTTATTTGTTTGTCATCACCACTTCAAAACACAGACTATGGGCAGAAAATCACAATAATCAGAATAACTTTCATAGGCACCATCACAATGCACTATAAGAGCCCAGACTCATACTTAGTCCTCCACCAAAACCTTTTCTTTTCAAAACATACACACAGTGCTATTTATCCTCCAGTTTATTTCATACAGTCCCAGCAGAGTAGAAGGTCTTACAGAGGGAGAATTTATGAGGGCTCACCTTGGGCTTGGGACAGGGGTACTGGAACAGGTGCACTTTACAGAAGTCATCCGCCACAGCCACCACTCGTTCACTGTGAGAGCGACACAGGGCGTTGATGTCTGTGCCGTCAGAACCCTCCAGCCACACCCCTGAACACAGCAAAGAATTACAAATAATCAGCCTCATCAGACATTACTTTAGTGTGTCGAGAAATGAGAAAAAGGCAGCATCTCTCGCACTTGTTGCCCGGTTTATTTTCGATTCCAAGATTAAAGAATTTATATTGCCATTTGCAGTTAAACCACTTTGGAAAAACTGTGCAAGACTATCAGTGTGCACCAGATTTCTTTCAGATAGAACAAAAGATTATATGATAGATACTGTATTGATCCCCAGCAGGAAAAATTCAGGTGTCCAGGAGCAGAAACACATCCATCCAAACAAACACATAAATACATAAATTATAAAAGTTTTTTGTCATGGCAGCCACTTCCATTGCTGTCTGTCTTGTCACCTGCCCCTTTGCGAATTTCTCACCAAATATACGTACACTTGCGATCACACACCAGATCCATGCCCTCACACGCGCACACACACAGACATAACACCCACCTAAAGAACACACACACACACACACAAACGTACTCGCACACACACCTTTTGCTTCCTGTCGCATGCTTTCCTGCTCCTCGTTTCTTTGTTGCTTATTACATTTTATCACATTGTCATATGTTTGTCTCTTTTTTGTATTATTTAAAAAAATGTTAATAAAAAACAAATAAATAATTGCTTCTGTGACTAACAAACAATAATTAAACTCAGACATGTGTGTTTCAATATGACGCAGATGCAATGTGGATCCAAACAAATATATTCAGTCCTTGATATAATAATGTTTAGCAGTAAAAACAGATTTAGAAAAGTCCACAACATGCAGGTCAGATTCCACAAGTTTATATTCAGTGTGTGGTCCTTACCCATGACGTGAAAGCCCAGCACGCATGTATACGAGGCCCATTCCCGGTCTTTACTCTCATAGCGATTTCTTAAAAGTTTACAGCCTCCCGCAATCTCCCCTGTCAGAGAAAAAAGGCTTGAGCTTAAGGTTTATTTGAAAGACGTGCAATGCGGTGCAACACACTCACAGTAAAGGATTTCATAGTCCCCTGAATTAGACATGATGTACTTTCCGTCTTTAGACCAGTCCAGGTGAGTTATGAAACTGGAGTGGCCCTATGAAAACAGAAGACATGTCTTTTTAATCTGGTAAACAGGCATCGTAAATGACAGGCATCGTAAATGATATCTGATGGTGCATTCCTCTGTCCTGGAGGTGACCTGCTTTATGTACATTTATATATGTAATGGCTTAGCTTGAAAAGTTGCTCCGTTTGGATTAAAACATGTACATTCCTCAATTATGGATGATTTTAGTGCTTAAAGTAGCAATATGTAAGATTTTCATGTCAAGCCATCATTAAATGGCCCTAATCTGTCAAAAGGCATTAAAAAAATCAATGCCCTTTTCAAATACTTCTTTAACGGACAACAGTGGTTCAGCAGAGATTTTCAGATTTCAAAATTAGTTTTACAGCCCCTAAATATTGTTATTGTTTTCATTTCGATGTCCCGCCCTCCACCGTTTGACCAATCAGAAAGCCAGTGATCGGTTGCCAGAACTCACTGCGTCGAGCTAATCTCACTGGTAAAGTACCATTATTGTTCTTTAATGACAAAACAATAAATAAAACGAGGATTTCTATTGTGGCTGTTGTGAAAAAGTGTTGGTTATAGATTTGTTGTTGATAAACTTCTTGTCTATTAAGCTAATATGGTCCCAGCTGGATACGTCTGCATATCTGGCAACCTGAGTCAAGGAGAGTGGAAGAGGTTGCAGTACCACTTTTGGCCAGATTTGTACATACTGCTCCTTTAAAAATTTATTCAGGCTTGCTGCCAATTTGCAATTGAAGTTTATTGACAAATTGTAGTCAAAACAACATTTAGCTACTTGAAACAATATATGAATTGCGGAAATGAGTGTGATATAACCTTCTAATGCTTCACAACAACTTTACACTTTGTACAAATGTTTTCCCACAGATGTAAAAAGTCCTTTTTTTAAATAATTTTTTTTAAAGCGCTTCACAATTGCATGTTTCCCTCTTACTACTCACACAGTGATGGGAGTGGTTTGAACATATTTGTAGTGGTAGGGGAAACTGGAGCACCTGGAGGGAACCTTCGCAGATACAGCGAGAACATGAAAACTCCACACAGAAAGACCCTGTGCTGTAAAAGTGCTGTTATGTAAATTTAAGATGTTTCAATGGTAATATTATAACAAATAGTCTCTCCTTTTGGCAAAACCACGACCAATAAGATTTGTTGGTAGATCAAACAATGGCAAATGTTGATATTAATTTTGTCCAATCAGGAAGTTGTGATTATGGGGCGGGACTAACAAACGCTTGAGTTTTAAATTTGTCTATCTCTTTTGAAAAGTCACTGACGTTCACTAAATGTCAAAGTAACTCAATTCTCACATGGTACATTACATTATGAATACAGTTTTAAGGTAAATAGATGGATTCTGGATTTCATTAGTTTTGCAGCACTACACTCACATTACATTTCCCGAAGCGCGAATAGCGTCGTCCGTCGTCCGTCACGCTGTAGATGTAGATGAAGTTGTCATGAGAGCCAACCGCGAGGAAGCTGCCATCTGAAAACACAGCAGCCCTTTCACATTTACAGGGGATTTCCACTTTGTCTTCCTGTAAAAGACCCATTTTGAGAAATCTGGCACAACGTCAAGATTCTGGATTGTCCAAAGCAGCCTGTGTTTTAGCAGTGCAAAAAATGATCAAATATGAGGTAATCTTTGCTTGAATCGGGTGGTTTTTGTCTTAATTTGAGCACATTCTGACTGTTTTTAAACAATATTTGCAAACAGGACAAAGCCATTTAGTCTTATTTCAAGAACTATTGCTTTATTTTCTCATTTCAAGACAGAAATTTCTTGTATCTTTTTAAAATAAGATCATTTTGCTTTGTCCCACTGGCAAATCATGTTTTAAGGCTCGTTCAGAATGCGTTCAAATTAAGATACATTTAGCCAAAATTGAGCTATTTTTGACTTATTTTTCATCACTTCTTGCAGTGTGTAATTGATAACGAAATAAGTAAAGTATATTTGTTTCTATATGGTTTTGAGGAACTAACCTGGGGAGTACCTCATCACAGAATGTTGCTCGTTCCCATCTACAGACTCAGAGACCACCTCCCTCGTCAGCAGATCGAGAACCAGCCACCTTCAGAGAACACACTGCAGTCACTGGTCGCGACAACACCAGATAATATCATTCATCAAAAGCCCTGGGAGTAGGACAGGGGTCTCAAACATGCGGCGGAAAGGTGTTGTGTGGCCCCCTAGTGGACATCAAAGTGGACATCACTCAGAATCAACCTTGTGCGGCCCCCAGATGACTGGACTTGGAATGTAGAATTAAATCCCTATTCATTAAAGATTTCTTAATTTCTGTCAAGAGAGTGTTTCCCGTGTTTTTGTCAGTCCTGTTCCTGATGAACACGCGACTAAGATTGACCCACTGCAGCGTCATCTCTCTTGAACTTTTAATCCAACTTTCTTTATTAATTTTCCAATAACAAATAACACATACTGCATTTAAATATTGAACAACAAGGTACCCCCCCCCAGGTCCAAAATAAAAATAAATAAATAAAAGAGAATTATTAATTGGAATGATAAAAAATGAAATTAAAAAATAAATGTGAATATATAAAAAAACATAAAAAATATATATAAATAAAAACTATATATAAATAAAAAAAACTATATATAAAAAATAAACTAACAAATAAATAAATAAACAAATAAATAAATAAATGAATAAAATTGTCAATCATCTCTCTTGAATTTTTAAGTTGGAATGTAGAGGAAGAAAATGACTCAATATAACAGTACATAAACAAACCACACATATCTTACCTTCCTGTGCTGAGGCCGATGGACACGACTGAGCTGACCGGGCTGAAGTCTACACATAAGCCGTACTCCTGGAAGAAAGATCTAGTGTTACTTATATACAGCGTTACTTATAGGGGGCGATACTGTGCAGATTTGGCCGCGGTCTCACCTCCAGCGTGGTGCACCAGTCCATCCTGTGGCTGTCGGCGTTCCAGAGAAAGACCTGCTTGTCGTTCCCACAGGAGAGGAAGACGTCCTGAGAGGGGTGTGTGGCCAGGCCCCACATCTCATCCACATGGCCCTAACACACATTTACTACTATGACTACAGAGAAACTAGAAAATCTACCAAGAATGTCATGCACTGCAAAAAGTGATCAAAATGTATCTCAATTTCAACACAGTTTTTCCAGACTGTTTCCTGTTTCTTGCGAGTGCGCACACCTGAGTTATGGATTTTCTAAAACCTAAAAGGGCTGAACAGAAAATGCCAATTTCCCGTTTGCCGCACACTCTCCCTGTTGTGACAAAGAAAAGAAAATGCTGGATGTTTGGTTTGGTGGAGAGGCGAGGGGAGGGTAGAGTGGTTTTGAGTTGGTGTTATGGCTAAGCTAACAAAATCGCTTACTGCACCTTTAATACTGGAGATTAAAGATTTGCCACTGGAGAAAAGAGGAGTCTGCTTGGTGCCGTGCTTGTTGCTAGCAAAAAAGCGATAACAAAAAATGGTTATCCCTGGACATACCACTTTGACGTTATGGTGGGAAATATCAATAGAAATGTATATGATGGAAGAGCTGACGGCTTCAGTGAATGACACACACGGTTGGTTTGATTCTTGTTGGATTAAGTGAGTAACATACACCAATGTAACAACCCAATTTATTACAAAAAATGTAAATTATTGCAGATTTTGATTTTTTTTTCTGCTTTGTATTCATCCAACACTCCCTGTTCTCTAAATGTTCTGTATTTGTTCTGTATAAAATATGAAAACACATACAAAATATTTGCCAATGGGACAAGAAAAATTATCTTGTTTTTAAAAGATACAAGAAATGTCTCTCTTGGGATGATAAAATAAAGCCACAGTTCTTGAAATAAAACTAAATTGGCTCTGGGTCATTGGCAAATCTTCTTTTAATACAGTCATAATCTACTTAAGTTAAGATAAAAACCCCTTGATTTAAGCAATTATTACTTCATATTTTACCATTTTTTGTAGTGTGCTAAGTCCTACCTGTACTATGACCACAAAGCCGTCTGAGAAGCTCCCTCTGAGAATAGCATTTCGGGTCGTTCCCACCAAAAGTTCTACGTCGTCAACATTGACAATAGTCCGAACTGCTCCGAACTGCTCTGGGATCTGTAGAAAAGACACATTTGTCCAGACGTCTCCGCTGTGAATGTGCTTAATGCGTGGATGACGAGTGGTTCACCTCACACTCTCGCTCGGGGGCCAGGTCTGCGCTCCAGCGGATGATCTTGCGGTCTTTACCCCCTCCGCTAAGCAGGTCTCCCCCCGGCAGCAGGCAGAGGGTGAACACGCTGCCTTCATGGGCCCTGGTCTGACGCATGATCTGGAAGGTCTCTGGGAAAGAGAAAGGGGATGTCAATTCAAGTTCAATGTAAAGACTGATGACCACACATGTCATGTATCTGTGCAATAATGTCAGAATGTGCAAATTTATCTTAAGGTTCGAACAAACCTAAAGCCTCATACAGACATTTTTTATGTTTATGAGACTCATGTGAGCTCAATACATACATAATATTATCTCATGTGCAACTCTGTGTAATGTAGTACACTAATGTATACACAGACCTTTAGCTCCTTTGCCGAGGGTTTTGGTATCAGCAGCAGATTTGCCCCACGTCAGAATGTTCCCCTCCGAGTCTCCGCTCAGGACGTCCCCGGTCAGACTGAACACGAAACACTGGATGAACTTAGGCTTCTTGTATTTCTGATCCCGAGAGAAGAAAAAAACATGAATTGGATTTATTGGATTTTACTTATGAAATGTGGATTTAAAGGGACATTAAGAAACTTTTTATGTGAAAAAATAAAAACATTGTAGAAGACCCAGTGGCTGTATGAGTGCTCAGAATAATAGTGGTCTATAGGATACTAATATTTTGGTTTTCTCTGCTAGGACCACCACACCAAAAACCAACATAACAATTGATCCTGGACCTCTGTAGACACGACCCTGCTGCCCACTCATAAAACATCTTCATCTACATCATTATCTGTAACTATTGTTTTTAGAATAACACAGAAGAATTGAATAATCTCAGTACAGCAACTGCCATATCATTTCTGCATCATAGAAAAACATTTAGCAAAGATAAAGTTTCTTCCCTGAATCCATAAGAATAATAAACCGGGCCTAATTCTGAACATTGTGAAGAACCTTGGTCTGTAAAATGTCAAATAAATAAACATTACTGACCTAATAACTCTGTCTCTCTTTTTGTGTTATTATTCTGTTATTGTGTGAATACTGAATATCTGCTGCTTTTCACACACATCTGCTTAACATTTTAATATCAACTAACTTCTGTTTTTCTTGTATATATGTTTGAGTGCCTGTGAAGGTGACTTTGACATTGATAGTGTATATTAAATCTTTCCTACTTCCCAGTACAAGGCCTGATTCTCCCTCACTAGTTCCTCGTTTCTCTATTTAGTGTAATAACCGGAGCTGCGTAATTTGTGTGACGGAATACATTTGAGCAGGTCTTACTCCAAAGATCCCCTGCTTCTTGGTGAACTGTCCGGAGCTGAGGGTCCAGAAGTAAACATGGGATTTTCCACAGGTGATGATGTTGCTGCTGTCACTGGGGTTGAAGTCCACGGCGAACACAGCCTCGTTCGTACTCTAAAAACAGACACACACACAATTTTAAACACTATAAATAACTTGTAGCGTTTAAAAGCAAGAAATGGTCAGTCTTAAACTATTCTGAAAGTACTAGAACTCAAAATTCCCCCACTGTGGGACGAATAAAGGTTCTCTTATCAAATCCAACTCCCAAAGCTGTTCTGACTGCTCCCATTCAAACCAATGGAATTCTGAGAAATTCCGCCCAAAAATGCTTCTTTTTTCCACCAGATCTATTAAAAGCAAGAATTTTATAAGTTTTATTTTACCTTCATTCACCATTAATAAGTGCTAAAACTGGTGAATAAAACTTGAAATCCCATGCCAATGCAGCAGGGTGTAAGGACATTTATGGACATTTATTATATAAACAGTTATGGACATTGGTCATCTGCCATTATGGAAATATGTGTTTTTTTATCACTGCATTTTCTGTGTTTGAACAGTTTGAAATTGAATTGAATGGAAATACAGTACAGCAAAAACAGATTAAGCTAAATGCTAACTGCTGCAAGTAAACAATGCGTTGCTATGGTGACTAGCACTTTCTCTTCTCTGTCGGAGAGAAATAGATAATAGATAAGATACTTTATTGATCCCAGATAGGAGAAATTACGGTGTCCAAGTAGCATCAAAAATAAAAAATAAAATTGGTCATTCTAAAAAGCTAACAATAGTAATAATCAGCAACAGCCCTTCAGGTATAAACAACAAATCCAAAAAGGCAAAGTTATGAAGTCCAAAAATGTACATATGTCGAGCAATTTCGCTTCCAAAACTAAAAGCCGCCAAATTGACTGCTCTGGGGGTGATGGTGTTAACTGGACTTCAATGGACCATTTTTCGCCCGAGCTGCCGCAAGAACAGTTTCGACTCGGTTGTCAGGGCAACGGTGTAAATATTTTATACGGCGAAATGTGTGGAGCGCTTATGTTCTGTGATTTCTGTAATGCACAAACTGGAACGCAGCCAAGTCGATCCTCTGGGCTTTGTACAGTATGTGGATTAGTGGGAGGTGTGTATTATACAGTATATGGGGATAGAGAGCGTCCATCAATACAACAGATATTTAGTTTAGTTTAGTCTTTATTTGGGAGCGACAGTGCCCAGCAACATTAAGCTCAAAGATAGATATGTTCTGCACCAGATTATAGCTATAGCTCATTTCCATCTGCAGGCCCTGGTTAGATGATAATAATAATAATAATAATAATAATAATAATAATAACAACAACAACAACAACAACAATAATAATAATATCAAATCAAATTACAGCAATAGGAAAGTACAAAAACACATATAATACACACACCAACACACATTCAGCATCATACCTGCACTTTACAACCACACGTCACATCATATAAAATCCCTAATCATAAAACATACATACATTTCATAGTCACTGTCACATAGTCACATGGTCATGGCTCTAGTCACATGGTCATGGCTCTGTGTGTTTTCATATCGTTGCCTTTTCTGTGTTTGAACCGTTTCATTCTCTGCCCGGTGTTGGCAAATCAATAGGCCTGATTGTGAAAAAGAGGTAAGAAGAATTTGAGGAGAATAAAATCTCATCATCACCAGTGGGGGCGGATCCTGAGCTCGTGCACTGACAAGCTTATAATTGACTCCTTTCTGGTGGTGGTGTACAGGAAATAGAATTATCCAGTGCTTTCTAAGGCCGCCTTCTTTCCTCACGAAAACTGCTTTACAGGATGGTCCAAAAGTCGCCTCTAGGTTCAACGCTACGTTCCAGATTCTTGTGAATGCTGAGTGGACCAGCCTAGTTTAGCCGCTGTGGACTTTTGAACGCACTGTGTTAGCTCATGCCGGCTAACGCATGCGATAATGCGTTCTTTCACATTTTCTTGCGGGAAGGGCCACTCGCAGTCATTTTTAAAAAGACGGCAGGAGGGAAACGTGATAACACGGCGGAGATAAGCGTATCTGCGTCCGTTAATATTTACAGTCTATGCTCAGAACTCTCACACATGTAAAAACTGAGATTCTCCCATCCTGAGTCCTAACCAAAAATAAGAATAAATACCTCAAATGAACTCAAATGTGAGGTAAAAAAGTGGTTTTCTGGGATGATGCTGTAATGATTGCGTTCTCTCTTGTCCTGTCGCATTGATCAATTCTACCATTACAAGTTCCTCCTTATATCCATGAACAGGTGATGGTCTATGTCTGTGTTACTCTACTGTGTTATATCTCTGTCTTACGAGTACTTTCCGATGCAACAGCCTGTGAGTCCAAGACAAATTTCCTTCGGGACATATTTTCATTAATCCTGAATCTTGAATATCCACATGTGTTTTCTCGTGTGGGTGTAAAAATGGTGCAGGCTGAGAAATCCTACGGCTGCTTTTGTTCTCAGTGTTCTCATGTTGATGTGGCACGAGCAAGAGTACGGCAGATCGGTGGTCAGGCCAAGTCCAAGGCACGCTACACAAACACACACGTTCACCCAGCAGGAACAGCATAATTATACCCCCCCTTCCTCCCGCCCCGCCCCACCCACCCCCCCTAGAACACTGGAACAGCCCTTCTGCCTCTGGGGAGGATCTGAATGCACGGCCGGTCGCGTACTACAGTAAAAGAGACAATTTCTTAGCTTGGATTTTCGAAGGCTCCAAATCAAAATGCACTCCACGACTGCTGTTTTTAACTTTGTATATTAACTGTATTTTAACTGTTGCTAAATGTACTTTTTACTTGATATGTAGGGCAACTTTGAGAGTCGAAAGAGGCGCCCAAGAAATAAAAAAATATGATTATAATTATTATTATCATCATTGAAGAGCACAGCACCCTGGGCAATCTAATCAGACAATAAATGTGTGTCCAATCCCTACTAGTTCTTGTTCCTTAAACTCCAACTCTGACTGTAGCCCCAATCACATAAAAAACAAGTCTTTTGTATTTCCCTGCACTTCCCTGTGTCTCTCTGTACTGTTCACATAAACACACATCGGGAAGCAGGAATGTGTGCTAGACATCAGCACTGCAAAAAGTGATGAAAATAAGTCAGAAATTGCAAAATGTATCTTATTTAGAGCACATTTTGAAATGTTTTAAAACAATATTTGCCAATGGGACAAAGCAAAATTATTGTGTTTTCTTGTTTTAACACAGTCAGAATGTACACAAATTAAGATAAATACCACTCGATTCAAACAAATATTACCTCATATCATATCATTTTTTGGCAGAGCAATGTCTAATTCCCTTTAGAATCAGCTCTAACTAAATAAAAAAGACGTACATTGGCCGCTATATAGACCACAGGGTGCAATTAAAACATTAATAAATAAGTAGTGGCTTAAAGTCCAGAAAGTCCAGAAAGTTCCTCATCTCCATATTCCATGTCTTTACCTTGACCTCCGCTTGTTTGGTGCCTTTGTTAGCGTCCCACACCGACAGCATGTGTTCGTTTGAGTCGTCGATCACACATAAGGATGCACCCGAATCCTGGACAAAATAAAGAATTCTCGTTTTAATTTTGATTTTAGACACAAGTTTAACAAGCGTGTTTGTTGCGTTAGCTCCACTCACAGCGGATGAAAAGGCCACAGACCCCACTCCTCTCTCAAACGTGCCCAGGCCGATCTGCTGGAGTGTGGCCAGGGTGGTGGAGTCCCAAATGTGAACGCACGGCAGCAGCGGCTAATGCAGGAAGGATATCAGTAATAATCGAGTTTCAGATGTACAGGTATTGAGAGTAAACACCACAATTTAAGGAATATTTGTGATTATTAACCAAAGAACAGTTTTTTTTTTATTTCCTTTGTCAAACATGTTAAACTCATTTTCCAAGTTCATGCACTTGAATTGAAGATGGTTTTTGTGGGAACAAATTTGCATAAGGAACAACCTTACTTAAAGCTGGGGTACCAAGTTTTATTTTTCTTATCAAAGTCACGTGTAAAAGTAGGAGAGTCTTGTAAAAGTTTTATTTCACCAAATCAGACCACAACATACCGTCTCTATCTTTTTAGAAAACATTTTATCTTTTGCATGTTTAAAAGGTATAGGAGGATTTTCACAAATTTTAGGAAAGAACCGCCTTCTCCACTTTTTGAATAAAACTTTCTGGTCTTGTTTGATGAGCACATAGCACCAGTATGATTGACAATTGGGAGCAACAATAGTCTTGATGATCGACCCGGAAGCAGAAAATCCTCCTATATGCCTTTAAGAAAAATAGCCCTGTGTGTCACAATTTGAGAAATAGCCCCGTGAGTCACAATTTGAGAAAGAGCCCTGTGAGTCACTATTAATGTTACTTACTTTTAAGTTTGATTTTAAGATGTGACAGAGGCCAGAAATACAAGAATGCTCCATAGTTATTGTGGTTAGAAACTGAGGTACCCCAGATTTAATACAACCTAAAAATAAGACCGCAATTTCACTCTAATGAGGATTGAATGCTACTGTGTTTGGAATAAAACTAAAGTAATAGGATAAAAAACATCATGCTGAAATGAGTACAAGTATCAATTAACCTAAACATTCAAAAGACCAACACTTTTGTAATCAAGGTACTTAATCTACCTTGTCTTTGTCCACTCCTGCAGTCTGACCAGAAGCTATCCGCACCTTGTCTGGATGTATTGCGAGACTAAAATAAAACATAAATAAGTTCAGTGACTGTTAACAAAAATTATGTTATTAAAGGTGACTGGTGTGAGACCGACCAGCGCACGCAGTCGGTGTGTTTGTGGTAGTGCCTCTGCGTGCGGTTGTTAATGTGGTAGAGCACAACCACGCAGGCGATGAAGTACACCGCCTCGCCCGTGGGGAGGAAGTACAAGTTTGCACGACAGTCCCGGCCCCTGTAACCGTAACTGGAGGGCAGAGTCAAGGACAAAACACACACACACACACACACACACAGAGAATCCTTGGGGGGGCAGTAACTCAGTTTTACACTGTCTAATGACCGGAAATGGGACAAAAACACTAATCAGGTTGTTAAGAAAGCTCGTCAGCGTCTCATCTGTCTGGAAATTCACCACAAACTCTACAATTCTGCTGCACTTTAGCCCTGCACCATGAAAGTTTTGCTGGTTTGGTTCTGTGACTGTGTGGTTCGGTGACATCACAACCAAAGAAAGGAGAGCTCTAAACAAGTAGCAGCTCTCTAAATATGTTTAATATTTCCAAAAGGGCAGCACAATATTGGAAATGAGAGTGATATTCATTAAGATGATATTATTGCAATGTTTTTTTCTTTCACCTAAAATTGCAATCTGCATTGAAACACAAGAGGCAAATAACAAAAACATTTATGAAATTCAAATGCATATATTTATATACTTTTGTTTGTTTGTTGTATTTGTTGAATGTTGATGTGTCTGTGTTGTTGTCTTCAATAAAGGTTTTCATTTATTTATTTTTTGCGCAAAAAACCCCCCAAAAAAAAACAGTAGCTCAGTTGGTAGAGCATTGCCCTTTGGGCCTGAAGGTCGTGGGTTCGAGCCCATCACAAGACCACTTGCAGGAGGATCAGTGAGGGGCTGGTGCTCTGTGAACTGGGAGCTCTGACTGCCACCCCACCGATCGTAAAGACTTTATTAGAACACTAACTTGTAATCTAAAAACCCCCTGTGGACTAATTTTGAAATCTAGAACATGTGATATTATAACATTTATAACAATGCATCTGGTTCGTACAATGTTATAGTAACGTCCATGGTGGAGTCAATATAGCAGGGAGCGCTGTGGAGGTGTTGAAAAAGAACCAATAATCATGAATCAGGTGTGGTGCAGAGGGCACCACACCGTGCCATGTGATACATTTATTTTGATTTATTTTCAATGATTTTGTACCATTTCTGTTCCAACTATGTCCTATTTTTTTCTACAATTTAATTATCAAATGGACTGGCATATCCGTTGCTTACAGTACAGACCAAAAGTTTGGACACACTTTCTCATTCAATGAGGTTCCTTTCTTTTCATGACTATTGACCGTAGATTCACACCAGGCTGAGTAAGGGCTGTTTGACCAATAAGGAGAGTGGTGGGTGTTGGGCCAGATGACCTCCACAGTCACCGAACCTGAACCCAATCCAGATGGTTTTGGGGCTGGACCACAGAGTGAAGGCGAAAGGGCCAACAAGTGCCTAGCATCTGGGGGAACTCAGACCATTTCAGGTCAATAACTCTTGAAGCTCATCAAGAGACTGCCAATAGTGTGTGAAGCAGTAATCAGAGCAAAAGGTGCTACTTTGAAGAACCTAGAATATAAGACATATTTTCAGTTGTTTCATACTTTTTTTTAATACGGACATAATTCCACATTAGTGAATTGATACCTTCAGTGTGAATCTACAATTTTCATAATCATGAAAATGAAACACTCTTTGAATGAGAAGGTGTGTCAAAACTTTTGGTCTGTACTATACACACATTTTATTTTTAGTTTTTTTATATTAAAGTGACACTTACAGGCACGCCAAATATAATAAAAATAAAATAAAACTGTGCATATTACCTAAAACTACTACTTTTGTCAACTTATCCAGTTAATAACATCCAAGAAGATGAACTTAAATAATGCATATTGAGAATACAGCCCACAAAGACAGAATATAAGTGAAATGCATGTGCAGAGGATACACCCAGTCCAGCTCGAGCCTCTCGGAGGGCGTGTCCATCTTCAAGTCTTCATAGTTGTGGATGTTGGAGGGTATGTACATGGTAATGGGCCGACCACGGATGAACATTTTAATAGACTGCCCTGCCAGACGTAAAAGACAAGAAAAACACGGTGAAGCAAACGTTGTTTTAACAGTCTATAAGGAGAGGAAATGACAGTCATACCTTGGCAGTACGTCCCTCTCCTGGATCCTGAGCCTGAGAGAGAAACCCAACACTTTGAACACCATGCTTAAATTTGGTGTAAAGCTCATTCACTGACAGTAAATATGCACTGGCTCATTCTGTGAACTGTCCTCATGAGCAGCAGAAGGTGTGGGGGTAGAGCAGAGGGGGTTTTTGGCCTCAGTAGAAGTGTCCGTCGTCGGTCTGCTGGGTTAAAAATGAGGTGCAGTCGGGCTAACCGCAGGATCGCTCCACCAGGCTGTGTTTAACTTCCCCAGAACCTTATAAATCCTGCTTCAGAGGAGAAGCTTAGGCTCGGTTTGGCTTATCAACTGGACGATGATGGTTTATACAGAGTTTGTTATGGTCAGTACCAATGACTACTGGCATTAGAAATTGATTAGCCTGTTTCTGTTCAATTGAACTCCAAACGTAGTCTGCATGAGCTAAAACTAGTCTCCTAACCAAGTTTAGTCAAAACAGGGTGTTTCTGAGTGGACTATATTCTCTCTGTGTCTTCGTACGTTTCCACCAGGTACTCAGTTTTTCCCTACCACTAAAAACATGCACAATAGGTGAAATCCTCCAGCTCCACTAGTCCTGACCAAGCTGAGCATCAACATCTGAGGACAGGTCCCAGGGCGCTGTTCAACACTGACCACTGCCCCTGACCTACGTCCTAAGGGCATTTGCAGGACGGGTTTAATGCAAAGGACTAAGTTCCTACAGAGATAAATAAAGTGTACTTTTAATTTAACATTTCATTTTTGTTCTGAAATGACAGGACCTTTCATTTCTCATAAGAACACAATATTAAACCTTGGTTAAAAGTTCAAAAAGCCCATTGTGTTTAATAATATCACTGTAATTGCAAACACACTATCTGTCGTCTCTTCCAAGTCTCTGAGCTGCAGAGGCCTGAAGGACCTCAGCCTGAGCCAGCTCTCATGAGCTCCTAACCACAGTTGTGGCTTGTTGGGAAATGCACTCATTTGTGTTGGACTGGCTCCACATGAGAGGTGCGGAGGGTCTGTGTGCAGCACCACACACCAGAGACGCAGAGTTCAATATAGAGATCAAAAGCATCTATCAAGGAAAACATGTCTGGAAGGGATTTTGGTTTAAGGGGGAAAAACCTTGTCAGTTGAATGCACTCGTTTCGCTCAAATGTCAACTGTCAAGTAAATATAATAAATTGTGATACTGTCAAATCTGTAATATCTGCAAGAACATGAAGCTCCTGCAGAACAAGTCCCTACTGAAAAAGAAAACCGTCCAGGACCAAATACATGAGGAAATATTTGATCCGTATCAGCCCGATATCCACAGCTCTTCTATTGTTCTTATTCTATAATTCAAACTCTTATTGAGGACAACACCAGTTTAAGATTTATGAACATCTATCAACGTTTATGGACATTGCTCATCTGCCCCTTATGGACCAATGGCTTTTTTTATCAATGCATTTCTTGTGTTTGAACCGTTCGATTCTCTGATCTGTTGCTGGCAAATTTTATAATATACAGTTAAATAAAGTCATCCGAGAAAACTACTGTTGTGAATTAGGGCTATACAAGAATACAGTGAATTGAATATCAGATGACGTGTTAGGCTGTCAACACATTTGTGGTGTAATGGAAAAAGAGCCACATCACCTGCATTGGATACGAGGTCCTTGGTGCGCCTGTGGAGAGAGAGGACAGATGCACGGTCAGGTCAGTCGCATGCACTCGAGAGGCTTTTCATGGGAAAGGAATGTTATGATCCATGCAAGGCCACCCCTTTTTCACCACTGTGTCTTGATGAGATACGCGAGAGGAAAAAGTGAAGGCGGCGACAACTGTGTGTTGGGGGGCACTCACGTCTCCAGGCTGGGGGAGCGGGTCAGGAGGTTGGCTGAGGAGGCGGCCTTCTTCTCCAGGCGTTTCCTCGGCTTGTCACTGATCGTCTTGTCACTGTTCCTTCTGACCCTGGACTCACCGAAAACCAAATCATTAGATCGGTAACTGTACCGCAAAAAAATTATAAAATTAGAAGGTGATGAATGCTTGAAAAGAGTGGTTTTTGATCTTAATTTGAGTTCATTTTGACTGTCTTAAAACAAGATTTGCCAATGGGCTCAGTAATATAGTCTTATCTCAAGAACGGTCGCTTTATTTAAGTCAAATTATGTTTAAATTAAGATACACTTTGCCAAATTCAAGCAATTTTTGACTTATTTTTCAAAACTTTTTGCAGTGTGCGTACTACATACAGTCCCTTTAAACCACATTAACCATACTTTCTGGACTATAAGGCGCACCACCTGAATTTGACTGTTTAACTGACAACAGTGTTAGAATTTACTAAAAAAGACAAAAGTTAAGTGATACAATGATCTCTTGATATTCATATACTGGATACTGTTCTATTTTTTTATGTTTTTCTGCCTTGATTTCATTGTAAAGCACTTTGGTTTTCTGTCTCTATGATCTATATTAGCAAACAGAGCAAAACAGCTCTTTCGATGATTTGCGTCAATGGATTTCAGTTTGAGAAGTGAAAGTGAATCATAGTCCATCTCTTCTTCCTTCACGACACATCTGCATGAAAAATACGGCCAGTAAAAACAAGGAAGAAGAAACCCAAGAGTGAAGAACAGATCCTTGCAATCCGAGGCAAACGACATCTCCTAAAACGTCATAAATACATTCAATTATTTTGAGTGGAAAAAAAAAAAATCGCTAAAAACGCTAAAACCGATGCATCATTGTTTATTTAAATTTTCTGCATACGTTTTGTGCTCTGCTACAGTAAACCGTAACTTCACGTCATTTTTTCTACTTGGATAAAAAGCGTTTTCTGCACAGCTAATCCCAGAGACATCCCTCAAGAGACGCAAAGAGGGAGAGAGCAAAAGAGAGAGAGAGAGAGACGACGGAGAAAGAGAGACACAGACACAAAGGGATTGAGAAGGGGGAGAGAGACAGACAGACAAGACATACATACAGAGAGAAAGAAAGAAAGAGACAGAGACAGACACAGAGAGATAGACACAGAGGAAGACATAAACACAGAGAGAGAGAGAGCGTGAGAAGGGGAAAGAGACAGACAGACAATACAGAAAGACAGAGAGAAAGAAAGAGACAGAGAGAGACACACAGACAGAGAGCGAGAGAGATAGACGCACACAAAGATAGACGGCGAGAGAAAGAGACAGAGAGAGAGAGGCCATGGCTTTCAGCTCTCAGCTTGTGTGGAAAAACAGATTAAGACAACGCTCACATTTTTGGGATTTCAAAAACTTGTCCAATTTCATAAACGACTTGAGCGAGTAATTATGTGAGAAGTTGCCTTAGAAAAGATGATGAGAATGCTGTGTGTGTGGAGCGAATGTTGAACAGAGATTTGGAATCACACAAGAGACTGATCGGTGAGAGAGAGTAGGGCAGCACGATTTAAGTCTCTTGCAAAGAAACGGGTAAAAGATGGAATACAAGGACAAGCAATCATATAAAATTGATTAAATTATGGACAAATTATCTTTATGAAATGAATGTCACACATTTTTATTTTGTATTTGTAAAAAACTGAACTGATCTGAAATTATCTTGAATTTAATTGAATGATTGGTCAACGAAGCAAGCATCTTTTGCCTTGTTTTCAGCGTTTAAGATTACGAGTCGTTTTCAATAATATTCTCAAATTAACGTAAAATTCTAGTTAAACAACTTCATTCAAGCATTTCCCCACTAGTGTTTTATCATCCATATTATTAACAAAGGAAACATTGACATTGAAGTTCTTTATGGTAGAGAGGTGTCAGGTCAGAGAGTGTTTGCGTCTGTGGTGAGGCCCTAACGGGAGGGTGGGACTTACAGGGGCACCTTATCTCCCTCTTGGATGGGGGATAGAGGTGCTGAGCGCGGGTTGTGCTGGTCCGAGCTCCGGCCCAGGGTGGAGGTGGGGCTCTGTTCGTCCGGAGAGGAGCTACAGTCCTGGTAATCCTCTCTCTGCAGGGTCCTGATGCTGGAGGGCTGGACCGGCTCCTCCAGTTCAGAAGCCCAGCCCAGCTCCTTGTCCTGCCCCTCTCCCGCCTCATCCTCCTCGGGTTCCTCCGCCTCCTCGTCAACGCTTGGGACTCGGTGCAGTTTGGTGCGGCTGGACTCGGAGAAGGACCGGTTGGAGTCCCCTGGGGGCAGTCCGTCTTCCAGGTGGAGGCTCCGTAGGCCCCTGTTCAGATCTAAAGTGAGCCTGGTGTGAGGAGGCGTCTCCAGCGGGAACGAGGCTTGTTCAGTCTGGGTGGATCGGTTCTGAGTCTGCACGGATGAGAAGGCGGGCTCTGCGGACGCTGGACCCGCCGAGATGCCGTTTGTTTTGTGAGCTGAGATGTTGTTGGACTCGTGGCTGGAGATAATTCACAAGGGAGTTAGAACTGAGCAACCACAGCATCACACTCGAGAAAAAATACCACTTCTATAAAAATAGCACAAAAAAGTCTCTCTTCAAAGCAGTAGTTGTGCTTGAAAATGTAGGAAATGCAAGTTTGTTTGTATAGCATAGTTCATGCACAAGTGCTGAACAAAACAAGAAAGAAAGTCACATAAGGCATTAAAATCATAAATAATCACAGTATATTAAAAAGAGTAAAGGTGCAATCCCTGTTTTTAACTTGGATTTGAACATTGTCAAAGAAGACTTTCAGGAAGACTGTTCCAGATTTCAGCTGCATGAAACTACAATGCTGCCTACCTATGTTTACCCGCCAAAGCCCAGTCCCTGTGCTCCTCAGAGTCTGAGTTGGTTCATATGGCACTAACATGTCACAAATGTACTTTGGTGCGAGGCCATGGAGACTTGTATAAAAGTCTACAGTCTAATCTCTGGGCCACAGGAAGTCAGTGCAAATGCACACACCCAGCAAGAGATCCCATTGTTTTGGCCATATTTTAGTGAGTATGAATGATAACACACATGTTTCTTTCACTCATTGTTATTGGTTGTGTGAAACCACATATTCAAATTAAAACATTATTGAGATGCCCAGGAAAATTTTCACATGTCAATGCAAGTAAGTGGGAGCTTTTTACAGAAGAATGTGCAGCTTTACCATCAGAGAGGATAAAGAAACTTCATCCATAAATACCACAAAAGCAGTTGTTAAAGGGGCAACACACAATCTTCAAATCCAGGTTAAAAACTGTTGTGTTTAGCTGTGCATACAACTTCACTATTTTTATGTACTATGATTATTTATGATTTTAATGCCTTATATTGTTCAGCACTTTGAGTTGCCTTGTGTATGGACTGTGCTATACAAATAACTTCTCTTGCCTGTCCTAGCCTTACACACTTTTGAGAACTGGGGAGTGGAGACTTCTGCTCAGGGTCAGAAGAGCAGTTTCTGTTGTCATAACAATAAAAAATTGAAAAAAACGTTTCAAATTTATTTCACATTTCTCAACCAAACGTCTCCTTGAATACATGACGTGTGCTAGATGACATGTAGCTATGGCTCTAGTTCATAAATAATAATGCTATAATAATAATTATATCTATAATAATATCTCTAATATGGGGCCGGTTATTTAAAAGTACTGGAGGTGGAGACAATCAATCTACAGTGAACTCAAAGCTATAAAAATATATATAATTGTAGTGGTCAAAATGTACCTCCAGCCTCTAGATGTCACTAGTGCTGGATATTGGCACACCTGTGTGTATTTAAGGCAGATAACTAGTGCAGCAGGTGTTGCATGTGTGAGGAGGAACAGTCTTTTGACCGTGTTATTGAGCACATGGAGATAAAAAACTTAATTTTGTGCATATTTTTGAGAATTGGACACATTTTTGAACCAGGAAACACGCGTTTGAAATCCCACCAAACATTGCAACCTAGCCACTGAGCCTCTACAATAATGATCAGCCATCCCGTAATAAAATTAGCAATTAAATAAACTACTATTTGTCAATTATAAATCCCTAAATTACAACAATATTAAATGAACACGGATTTGAACGCAGGACTTGAATCTTTTCACATCTTCAGCATTTTACTGCTGTGTATGAACAGTTGTAAGTCATAAAAAGTCCATTCATGGGTTGGCTGAGTGCTCCTCCAAACAAACGCCCTTCCAAATGTATCCAAAAGTATATGGACCGTGGCTGAGTACGGACTCTGGTACCTGGGGGTGGGCTGTCGCTCTGTGGAGGCTTTTCTGTTACTGCAGCCGTCTGAGCAGCACACGTGGGTCAGAACCCGAGCAGCTGCAGGGTTCACTGTGGAAGACACTGGTGTAAGCTGTGCTGCTGGAGTAGGAGTAGTAAGTAGGAGTAGTAATGGGAGCATGAGTAGTGGGAGTAGGAGTAATAGTAGTAATGGGAGTAGTAGGAGAAGTAGTTATACTGTAGTAGGTTTAGTATTGGTAGCAGTAATAGTGGTAGTAAGTGTAGTATTGGTAGTAGTAGAAGTGGTAGTAGAAGGGGTAGTAGTAGTTATTGTAGATTTAGTATGGGTAGTGTTAGTGGTGTAGTAACAGTAGTAGAAGAAGAAGAAAGCAGTAGTGCAAAAGCGTATGCAATTATTCAATCGTTTATAGAAGTAAAAAATGATTTGAATTGGATTTACATTGAAGTGAATATAATAATAACATAATCTGATTTATGTCTGAAAAATTCAACTTGGTGGAAAAGCTATATCTATAAAATCTGGGGAAACTAACTTTATAATGTTCACTCCTTGAAGAAAGCAATGTAAATGATTCTGTTTTTTTCTGATTTTCCAAGATGTAGGAGCACTAATTACACAAATAACTTGGTTTTATGATTTTTTTAACCCCTAGATTTTAAGTAAAGACCTCTACTACATGGTTGAGATGCAGCTTGATGGTAAAAGTGCTTAAAACCAAGTGAGACGCCCCAAAGAGGTAGATTTCAGGCTTAAGCTTCAAGTAGATACAGTGATTCATAAAGTGATCTACCAAATGTAATACGTGAGATGTGAGTGAGTTATCCCAGTTTGAACGCATAACAACCCTACTACCAATCCAGTAAGTTTAATTAAAAATCCAGTAAGATAAATGAATAATCAGACGCAGTGACTGGTTGAAGGGGCAGACCTGCGATGAGCTGCTGTTTGAGAAGCGGCAGGAGCTGGTCGTGGAGGCGGATCCTTCTAAGAGCGTCGGCCAATGAGGACTTGAGCAGCGTGATCTCGTCCTCGTGGCTTCGCAGACGCAGCTCCATCGAGGACGTCCGGTCAGAGAACTCTGCGCTGTCTGCGGACACATCCTCTGGAACCACACAAAAACACACAAACGTCTTCTTGTGTCGTACACATTTATCAACGCTGATGGACATTGGTCATCTGCCCTTTATGGACCATTACCAACGCGTTTTCTGTTTTATTCTCTGTTCTGTTCAACTTAAATTCAAATTCAACGGTTTTGTTAAGTCCTCCGAGATAACTATTGTTGTAATTTAGAGCTATACAAGAATAAACTGAATAAATGAATGAATAAATAGATAAATGAAAAAGTAATGAATAAAAAATGAACAAATAAATGAATGAACAAATTAAGGTACGCGTATCTCACTTTGAGAATAGATACACTTTGAGGATAGATAGATAACTTTATTTGCAGACTCAACATCCAGACCAAGATCAATGTAGAAGATTCATCATTTTCAAACAAAAAAAAGTCACCAAATAACTTGACAATAGCACAACTGTGTAGTCAAAAAATAATAATTTTAAAAAGATAAACTATAATCCAGTCCATTCAATAGTTTTTCTTTCTTCGCTTTGCATCTGCTTCAGTAGAAAGTGCATTACATAAGAAACGATTAAGCCCTAACTTTCATTAACTGTAACTGTAACAGCTTTTCTCATGTGATCTCTCTTCTCATGCTTTGTGCTCGTAAATCTCGCTGCAGATCTAAATATTTTCAGTGTGACTCACGGCCTGCGAACTTCCTTAAAGCAGCATTGGATTCTGGACCAGCAACAAAAGTAACGAGCCATTCTGTGACAAGTATTAAAACTAAAAATGCACACAATGTTCAGGAAGCTTGCAAGCACTTTTTTTGCGTCTCTGGGAAGGACAAAACTCTTCTACCAAGCTGCAATTTTGGGATAATGGTGACTTTTATAAGACCAAAATAAGAGCATGGAACCACAGTGGCCAATGTTTGCCTCAGCCGGCACTCGGGGCAGTGATGTAAGGCTATTTGGAAGCGGTGATTCACGTTGGAGCCGGCACAATATGTTCACGAGAAGAAGGAATTTCATCATCGACCAAAACAAACTATTGCAAAAATATCTGGCTCTTGTCCAAGCTGTACTGGAGGAAATGTTTTGCAAAGAAGAAGTCGACTTAAGGAAAAGAAATGTGTCAAACAAGCAGCGGTAAAAATGTAAGGGCAATAAATAACAGGTTTTCAGACTCCATGCATTGAAAACCAGAAAGTCTGTTAAGCTTAAAGCTGCGGGACCTGAGATAAGAGAAGGCAAAGCAAGGCAAGTTTGTTTGTAAAGCACAGTTCATACAAAAGGCTTAACAAAACAAGATAGAAACAATCACAAAAGGCATTCAAATCATAAATAATAATAGTACATTCAAAAGAGTGAAGATACAATCCTTCAGTTGTCTGCACAGCTAAACAGATCTGTTTTTGAACATTGTCAGGGAAGAAGCTTGTCTCACATTTTAAGGAAGATTGTTTCAGATTTTAGCAGCATGAATCTGAAATCTGCCTCCCAATGTTTAGTCCTGACTCTGGGACCAGCAGGAGGCCAGTCCCTGTGCTCCTCAGAGTCCGACTTGGTTCATATGGAACCAACACTTCACAAATGTACTTTGGTGCGAGGCCATGGAGAGACTTGTACACAAGCAGAGTAGCTTTAGAGAGATCCTTTAATCGTCCCACACGGGGGAAATTCCGGTGTTGCAGCAGCACACATACCAAACACACATACAGGACAGTAGTAAGAGCACAAAAGTAGCACATGAAGTCGCTGTAAATACTTCTTAAAGTTGGCTTTACGGGCCGAATTATAGGCCTGTAATACACTCTATCTATAGGAGCAATAAAAACACAAAAACTGTATGTAAAGTAATGTTAAAGGTATTTATAGTGAAGGTAAACCAAGCCTCTGGCTTATTCGCAGAACATTGACATTGCACAATCAGTGTGGGAGGTAAACTAAACCCTGAAATTGCAGATTTCTTTCCTAATCACGGAAACGTCAACATTCCAGTCGTGATTTCTCAAAGTGGTGGACGTAAAAACGAACCGAGTATAAACAACACACATGGTCCCGACCCAGTCCTGGTGCTGCCTCATCAGTCAGCGAGAAGAAGAAGAAGAAGAGAGAAAAGAGCCTTTATTTGCTAATGATGTTGGCTCTTTGAACACCAGACCATTCTAATTTCAGACTGTGATGGACGTGCTGGGAGCAGACCACTACATTTGTCTCAAACTTCAAAAGCAATTCTATTACAGCACAAAAATGGCTTGTTATTTGAATGGCCTGAAATGCATAAACAGTCACACACGCCCTTGAAACATGACTCATGAGCCGTTTACTAGTATTTCATCTCGTATTTCTTTTGTATCGGGGAGATGCATGCCTCACCGGACCCTTGCAAAAAGAGGCTAGTCGAGACAAGACCGCCGCTGCTATGGAAGAGGGAAGCTCAAAACACAATGTGATAAAACCATTTCCCAACACGCAGTTAGTCAGATAGTGTGGACCGGATCTGCAGGAAAACCAAAGACAACACAATTCATTACATTAGTGCAGAATTTCATAATAGTAATACGCCATAGTGATGTCTACATAATACGGATTAGCAGGAAGGATTGCAGACATATTTGCAGACACAGGTTAAAGATGCAGTCAGTAATTTTTTCCAGACGCATTTTTTAAAATATTGTGGGAAAACCTCCCTAAACCCTAAAAGTAGTAGCCTGGCCTTAGCCATCCGTACAATCCGCTCAATCATCATTTCACTGCATGTAACGTCTGGGTCTGGTCCCTGTGTTAGCGATTACAATCGGTTGAATTTCGACCAACCATTCAGAGCGCGCGGGAGGCGGGTGTTGTAGTTAGTGGTGAGTGATGTCAAGAGTTTGCGTCGAACGGGAAGGTCGTAGTTTGGCAATGGCGAAAAATGCGATAGTAAAGTAATCCGGTCTGGTTCTATCAAGAAATTGAAGCCGGAGCAAGAGGGATGTTTAGCAAATGTAATCGCTAGAAGAAATTGTGGCGCTACTCCCCACAGGCTCCGTTAGCGGTAAAGGAGATGGTTAGGCTAAATTCTAAATTCAAACAACACACTCGGGCGCACTACATACGTCACGGTAAACTCAGATCCAATCGTTTCAATCTGCAAAAGGAGTTAACCCCTCCCACCTGTAAACGGAGCTCAAAGGAGCACCTCCAGACCTTAGTACGAAATGTAATTTGTACTAAGGTGTGGTACGACCAGGCTATAGAAGTAGTCGAGTTATCATGTGTTTTCAAATAGTAATGGAATTGACCAGCTGCCTGTAGTCCCCAAAAATGAATAAAAAATGTTTTGGAGTGGACCGATAAAAATAAACCAATGGGATTCGTTCATTCCCAACGAATCCCATTGGGCGGCACGGTGGCTGAGTGGATAGCACTCTCGCCTCTCAGCAAGAAGGTCCTGGGTTCGAATCCCGGTTGGACCAGGGCCTTTCTGAGTGGAGTTGGCATGTTCTCCCCGTGTCTGCGTAGGTTTCCTCCGGGTGCTCCGGTTTCCCCTACCACTAAAAATATGTACAATAGGTCTGGCATGTGCCTCCTGTACTGGCACCCCCACTCCCAAAAATAACAATTGTAAACCGCTTTGAGACTCCGATGTGCAGTGAAAAGGCGATATATAAATAAAGATTACTACTACTACTTACTTACCCAACTAACCAATGGGATGCATTTACCCCCTTCAACCTCTTCCTGTTTCTCGCGGGCACACCGGAGTTATTGGATTTTCTAAAAACCTAAAAGGGTTGAACAGAATTTGCCAACTTCACGTTTCCGACCAACTCTCATTGTTGTGACAAAGAAAAGAAAATGCTGGATGTTTGGTTTGGTGGAGAGGCGAGGGGAGGGGGGAGTGGTTTTGAGTTGGTGCTATGGCTAAGCTAACAAAATCGCTTACTGCACCTTTAAGTCGGTCTGTGATTATAATTACGGTCTACTTTTACTGTAATAGAGAGAGTTTTGTTAATTTTTTTGGAATTGGATTTTTTTTTAGCTGGGGGGGGTTTGAGTAAGTGACTTTTATGGCTAAATATTGCTGTAAAGTGATGGTTTTTAAGCTGGAGAGAAAATTCTATTGATAAGTATCTTAAACAGGTCTTATATTGTAGTAGTGGTAATAGTAGTAGTAAGAATTTATTTAAAAATGTATGCAAAAGAAAACACTATAAACAAGATACAAAATAAAAACAAGACACAGAATTAATAGAAATAAACTGTTTGAAAAAGAGCCTGAACGAAGCAGACGAGTATTTGGCTCCAACCCCTCTCACTCATTCAACACAACCCACATAATCACACACAACATGACAACACACAGGCCCAAACACACTCTGACCACACACACCTCATTCTTATTCTGAAATGGGGAAATCGAAGCCTGACGTCACTTTGCTGCTATGTTGTAATTTTCTGAAGCAATAAATCACCCTTTAACATTTGTGATTGTGACCAGCCCGGATAGAGGTGTGGAAGGTTCCTCACTGCCTCATCGACAACACATTTAGACTATTTAGACTACTCTCAGTATATTTCATTTGTAAGTAAGTAGTAAGTAAGTATTTATTTATATACCGCCTTTTCACTGCAGATCTGAGTCTCAAAGCGGTTTACAATTGTTAATTTTTGGGCATTAGTCTCTCACTCCACACAGAGATGGGAGCGGGGTCGCCAGTACAGGAGGCGCATGCTAGAACTATTGGACATATTTTTAGTGGTAGGGGAAACCGGAGTACCCGGAGGAAACCTACGCAGACACGGGGAGAACATGCAAACTCCACTCAGAAAGGCCCTGGTCCGACCGGGATTCGAACCCAGGACCTTCTTGCTGAGAGGCGAGAGTGCTATCGACTCAGCCACCGTGCCGCCCAATTTGTAAATATTTGCGGGCCATATATGAGGCCATCCAGTTATAACTCAAACTTTTACATTAAAATTAGGAATTAGGGTGAATTAGGATGTAAAGTGGTGGATTGTGACTGTTTGTGAATGCTTTTGTGAATAAAAAAACATGACAAAACACAAAAAATATATGACTGTATATTCAGGTATGATGAAATAAAGAGAAGAATTTGCAAGAAGGAAGTCCTTTGTTATTCTGGAACAACTTCTTAGAACTAGGCAAAGCAGATTACTAGTTTGTCACTTCCTGTTAGTACTAATACAATAAAAATCATTCTGAATACACATTCTGAGAATTAACCAACTCTGATTCTGAGGAACTGCTCTAGGCCTGGAGTCAAGACTAAACATGAGGAGGCAGTGTTTTCAGATTTATGCAGCTAAAATCTCAGTTTTCCTGAAAATGTGAGACAGGTTTTTTGAGGGATTGTATCTTCACTCTTGATTATTTATGATTGTATTGCCTTGTGTGATTGTTTCATTGTTTTGTTCAGCACTTTGACTTGCCTTGAGTATGAACTGTGCTATACAAATAAACATGCCTTGCCTTGTCTTGGATCTGCCCTAATTTCAAGACCTGTTTTAGACCTGGTATAAACAACAGTCCTATACTTTACTCCAATCAAATTGTGTTTTACTAAATCTACTAAATGTTGGTCTCTCAGGAAGGCGCCTCAAAACAGGAAGCACAAGTTTTCCTTTTAGACCAACTCCAAAAGACCGCGTTTACAACTGAATTCACCCTGAGGGAAAACTATTACTCCCATAAGCTACACACACACACACACACACACACACACACACACACATACACACATACAGGTCAATAAAAGAAAAGCATGGGATTAAGAGTGTGTTAAAACTGGGCGCTGAGAGAGGCCATCATTCCAGACATTAGTGCTCAAGACACAGGATTACAGAAGTATATTTAGACTACAGTAGACGCAGTACTCCAAGGGCTTTCATATACGTTACTGGAACTAGTGTTGTTGCAATACTAAAATTCATAGTCTTCCTCAATTCTCGATTTCAAAACTAATGAGACTAATCAACTATTTTTAAATAAATAAATAAATACAAAAAAACTAATGGTGATGATTTAAAGCCATTTTTTTTCGTCAATAAACTGTAATTTACAACATGGATACTATATTACTGTATTATCATTATGTTTGTTTAAATAGCACATTTTACAGACCTAGGTCACCCAAGACGCTTTAAAATGTACAGAGTTCAGATTATGTGTTACAGCAGGGCTGTAAAAAAGTTATTAGAATTTTTTTGTGGGATTGAATTCAAAGAATGATTTAGTTGGTCGATCAAGGTTTCCATTGTTTTATTTGTAGAAAGTTTTATTTGTAGCTTATTTTTTGCATCTGTGCGTATTTTACATATTTATTTGTTACGTTTTGGATTTACTGTTGCCCAAATATTATTACCATTATTATAATAGTATGATTTTCAAGACTACAACCACAAAAGGAATAACTTTACCCCTATAAGGAAGACCCTTTTACCATGAGGCATAGTCAGCAATGTCAGGAGTGGGTGGATACATTAAGCGGGGACCATCAACAGAGACGAGGGGGCCTTCACCTTGCCGCACACTTGGGACTCACTTCTCCAGGGACAAGAGAGGGGCACAGTCAGTCTGATGGATCTGTCAGACTGACAGTATCAATAGCTGATAAGAGACACACCATCTCGTGCAAGTCTACAGGCCAAACATGTGGTGATAAAGCAGTACTGGCTTCTTTACACTCTTAGTCTTATTAAAAAGGAGCGTTGTGCAGAAACAACATTCAACCTGTTAGAACTGCAACACATAATTCAGATGAACCCAGAGGGAGTCGGAGTTGAACCAGTGTCAAGGATTCTGCGCACTCCACACAGAGAGCCTTTGTTTGGATATTACCAATGAATTAAGATTCACTAGACTCAAATAATTGTTTTGCTATGACATAAGCAAGTTAAAGATCCAGTAAACATTTAGGTCTGACCACTTCCGATCGCTCAATCAAGCCTCCAACATCATGGGCTAGAGCAGGCTGTCAAAGTCAGGCCCGTAAGACAAATTCCGGTCCGTGAGAAAATCCTCTCAGTGGCCCCTGAAAGGATTTTTGAGTATCATTATTACAGTAACTTGCAGCATTGATGGTAAAATGACAATCTGAAGAATCTGTTCTAAAATGTTTACATGTAATGAGAAGTGAAGTTGAGGCCAGACTTTTTTATTATTACACCTCTTTGTGACATTTGGCCCAATTGTGATTGAATTCAAACCTACAAGAAAATGACATCCAAACTTATGTTAAATACAATTAACACTACAACATGTAAAAATAAAAACAACAGTTTAATAATAATTAAAAATATGATCAAAGTAAATCTGGCCCCAAACAGCTCTTTTGTTTTCAAACTTGGCCCTCGACCAAACAATAGTTTGACACTCCTGGGGTTAGAGGTTGGAGAGGATCGAGCATCTATTTTTGCAGTGCATACAACTAATAATATTTTGTACTATTTTTTGCTTTTATCTCCCTTTTTAACCCGACTTTTTAATGAGAGTTTTAAAGCTCATACTTTTATTCTGCTCTGTTTTAATGTGAAATAAGTGTATGTTTATTGACTTTTTAACTCATTGACTGCCGTTGACGTATTTGTCTGAAAGCGGTGATTTCTGTCAAACTTCCCTCTGTTCGATTGCGGTTCACAGGAGAACCAAACTAGCTAGAAACAAACTTATTTTTGATAATGAAAGTAGACAGTCACTCTTTCAGAAGCTTGTTTTATATTTCACATAGTCATAGCACAACATATTCTGTGGGTCTTGAAAATCGGTGAAATGATCAAAAACGGCTGGCAGTCCATGAGCCTTGTACACGATTGTGCTATACATGTTATTTAGAGATCCTTTATTTGTCTCACAGTGGGGAAATTTCAGAACTTTCAAATAAATGATTGACTGATTGAAGCCATTTTTAGTTCACCTTTATTTAACCAGGAAAATCCCATTGAGATTCAAAGGTCTCTGATGCTATTGACAGGAGAGCACAATACACAGACTGTTTTTCCATAATGAACTCACTGACCTCCACACGGATCACATCGGTGTTTACTTTGTGGCTGCACCGTTTGCATCTGCGTCCAATTTCAAAACGACCAAAGACACAAGTTGCAAAAAAAGCTACTTCTATCCCGAACATAAAGCAAGCTGTAGCGTGTGTTTTTCCCGCTCTCCTCGACTTGGGTTTTCTTATAGTACGGAGCTCAATGGGCCGAGGCCGCGTGAGTCACATTTTGGCAGTGTCTCTGTAAAAGCAGGAATTTTGAGTTGGATCAAATTCACTGCAACTGTTCGAAGTAATGTTGATACACGGCGTAGTGAGGAGTGGAATAGATGACCAGACAACAGTAGTGCATGGGATCGTGACTCACTGGTCACTACCCAGGAAAACAGACACATGCAGATTGTGGGAATGGCAGCAGTGCAATCTGAAATTACCATGTCACTAAACTACTGACATGGTTTAGATTTTTTATTTTTTGTCTAGCTCCTGTAATAGAGTAATGTGAATGTGTTTAAACTGCTCGGAAATTAAATAAGTAAATAAACAAAAAGAAGTAGACTAGGTTTAATAGACTGGTCTGTGGATATTCTCGAACACTGCTCAAGCAACTAATTTTTATTTCCCCCCAGATTTATGACAGGAGTGGGAATTTACAAAATGTTTCTTCCCACTCCTTTTCAAGTTTGAATAATGTCCAATAATGTAAATTAATTGTAAAAGTAATTTTGGGTTGGGGCACTGGCAACATGCTTTCCAGAATATATTTTTTCAATTCCTACTCTAATTTTTATAGTCTCTATTATATTAGATCAAATAGAACGATACATTACTAAATTAAACAACAGCAACAATAATTTAGACTGTTTTGAAGAAATAAATTATTACAATATGAAATAGTTCTATTTTGGGGGGTCCCGGACAGAAAAGTCGGTAGGTAAACTTTTACCGGCCCCGGAAATTACTTGTAGTTATTATGATTAACCTGCAGCATTGATGATGAGAGGTTAATATGGCAACTATACATTAAAGATGACAAATGAATATTAAATTAAATTATATATCAAAATTACAGTTATTTTTTTGTCAAAATAGTATCATAATGTAAACAAAAATATAAAGAAAAACCTGCAGTGGCAAAAAATGAGCTTTAAACAAATCACTACAAAAGAAAATACAGCTGAAAACACAGAGAATCAATTATGGAACTGTGCGTTCTTTTCCAAAATGTGACGACTTTGGATTTGGATTTGGCAACATCTTCCTGCAGATAAACCTCTAAAACCATTTGATTCAGTGACACAGAGACACACACAGGATTAGGACTCTGAATGTGTTAATAGGCCAAAGATGTTTGCTAAGTCAGGACCCTCTTTGGAACTCTCCGGCCTCCAGCAGCAGCGGTCATATTCCACAGAGAGAATGTGGCCAGAGCAGCTCCACTCTGAGGGCTATGGAGAGGGTCCAGGAGGAGGAGGAGAGCTGTGGAGAGGGTCCAGGAGGAGGAGGAGGAGAGCTGTGGAGAGGGTCCAGGAGGAGGAGGAGGAGGAGAGCTGTGGAGAGGGTCCAGGAGGAGGAGGAGGAGGAGAGCTGTGGAGAGGGTCCAGGAGGAGGAGAGCTGTGGAGAGGGTCCAGGAGGAGGAGGAGGAGAGCTGTGGAGAGGGTCCAGGAGGAGGAGGAGGAGAGCTGTGGAGAGGGTCCAGGAGGAGGAGGAGGAGAGCTGTGGAGAGGGTCCAGGAGGAGGAGGAGGAGAGCTGTGGAGAGGGTCCAGGAGGAGGAGGAGGAGGAGAGCTGTGGAGAGGGTCCAGGAGGAGGAGGAGGAGAGCTGTGGAGAGGGTCCAGGAGGAGGAGGAGGAGGAGAGCTGTGGAGAGGGTCCAGGAGGAGGAGGAGGAGAGCTGTGGAGAGGGTCCAGGAGGAGGAGGAGGAGAGCTGTGGAGAGGGTCCAGGAGGAGGAGGAGGAGAGCTGTGGAGAGGGTCCAGGAGGAAGAGAAGGAGGAGGAGGAGGGGGCGCTCTGATGAAATGTCTCTCAGTCTGAAGACATCGTGTCAACAGACCGACGAGCCAGCTGTGCTTTCCACAACTCATCAAATTAGTCTAGTTTTACACTTCGCACACAATTTAGGGGTTTTGTCAATCTCCAGTAACATTTTTCACACACTTTAAAGACTGAGATCATCTATTTATCCCACAGTAGGGAAATTTCAGTGTTGAGGACCACACAGTGGATGTAAGTGAACAAAAATGTTGAATATAAATAAAATAAAATCTCTAGCGTTAACATAATAAAGAAGCAGGTATAATATTTTTAGCTTTAGCATAATAAAGAAGCTAGTCTAAAATCTCTAGCTTTAGCATAATAAAGAAGCCCGTCTAAAATCTCTAGCTTTAGCATAATAAAGAAGCCCGTCTAAAATCTCTAGCTTTAATAATAATAATAATAATAATAAATCTTTATTTATAAAGCACTTTTCAAAAACAATGTTTACAAAGTGCTGCACAGCATAATAAACAATACATCAGTCATAATACAAAGTTAAAACAATAAGAATGAATGCAAGAAGACAAGACAAACAGAGGAAACACAAGACCACAAAACAGACAGGACAGACAGTAAAATACAACATTATAAGTTTAAAGCTGACAATTAAAAGCTGTTTTATAAAAGTGGGTTTTAAGAAGAGATTTAAAAGAGGATACTGATGGTGCAAGCCTTATCTCCTCGGGCAGGTCGTTCCAAAGCCGAGGAGCCCGGACAGAAAAGGCTCGATCACCTTTCGTCCGGAGCCTCGACCTTGGAATGGTCAGCAAGGACCTGCCCGAGGATCTAAGGCTGCGGGGGGGCTCGTAGGGGGTTAAAAGTTCATAAATATAGCTTGGTGCCAGACCTAAACGAGCTTTAAAAGTAATCAGTAAAATCTTAAAATCAATTCTAAATCGCACAGGGAGCCAGTGGAGGGACGCTAAAACAGGGGTGATGTGCTCCCTTCTGTTAAAACCAGTGAGAAGTCTGGCTGCTGCGTTCTGAACCAGTTGGAGGCGGGAGAGGGATTTAGCATCAAGACCGGAGAGGAGGGAGTTACAGTAATCGAGGCGGGAGAAGATGAGGGCGTTGACGACTTTATGGAGATCGGGAGGAGTGAGAATGTTTTTAATCTTAGAGATGGTGCGGAGGTGAAAGAAGCAGGATAGCATAATAAAGAAGCTAGTCTAAAATCTCTAGCTTTAGCATAATAAAGAAGCTAGTCTAAAATCTCTAGCTTTAGCATAATAAAGAAGCTAGTCTAAAATCTTTAGCTTTAGCATAATAAATAAGCTAGTATAAAATGTCTAGCTTTAGCATAATAAAGAAGCTAGTATAATATCTTTAGCTTTAGCATAAGAAAGAAGCTAGTATAATATCTTTAGCTTTAGCATAAGAAAGAAGCTAGTCTAACATTTCTAGCTTTAGCATAATAAAGAAGCAAGTATAAAATCTTTAGCTTTGGCATAATAAAGAAGATAGTCTAAAATATCTAGCTTTAGCGTAATAAAGAAGCTAGTCTAATCTCAAGTTTTAGCATAATAAAGAAGCAAGAACTGAGTATAAAATCTAAAGTGTAACTGTTATTTTATCTTGCCAGAGGTCTCCGCTCCATGGGTGATTTTACAGTTTCAATTCTAATATGATTTTAATACCTTTTGGGCGGAAAAATGCAATAAACATTTAGTAGGACTCGGTCTCCTAAATTAGCAAACACTAAACTCAATGCAGAAATCCTAATGAATAAATGCCTCAATAAATACCACAGGAGATGGTGTGCGTTGGCAACAGTTCCTCAAGAGAATTAAAACATAGGGATAATATGCAACGCCATGCCTGTCACACAAGCACACAGTATAAGTCTAATGAATTATGTACTTGTTCTGCAAATATATTTTTCGGTTGGAAGCAGCCAAGTCCAACAGAGAGAGAGACATGTTGTGCTGGTTGTTGTCAAGGTGCACGTTTGTCAAAGACAGACGAGTATTTCACCAGATGAAGGCCCACGTTATTAATAGGCTCTGAATCTGGAATATGAATACGGTCTGGTCTACCTCCCCTGACCCGGTGTGCACCTGCGAAACTACCCGGGTCTCTTTAATAGACTGACGACGTGCTAAAAAATGATGGGCCGCCAAGAACTTCTCAGAAACTCAGAAAGTGAAATGACGTAAAAACTTTAAGAGTGATGTTTGTCGCAATGATTACTGGCAACTTGGCAGATTTAGATGTATAGCACGGTTCATACGCAAGGAAACTGAACAAAACAAGCATTCAAATCATATATAATCACAGTACATTATGAAGAGTAAAGATAAAATCCCTCAGTTGTATGCAGAACTGTTTTTAACCTGGATTTGAAGAAGCCTGTCTCACATTTTCAGGGAGACTGTTCCACATTTTTGCGGTGTGAATCTGAAATGCAGCCTCTTCAGAGTCCCAGCAGGAGGCCAGTCCCTGTGCTCCTCAGAGTCCCAGCAGGAGGCCAGTCCCTGTGCTCCTCAGAGTCCCAGCAGGAGGCCAGTCCCTGTGCTCCTCAGAGTCCCAGCAGGAGGCCAGTCCCTGTGCTCCTCAGAGTCCCAGCAGGAGGCCAGTCCCTGTGCTCCTCAGAGTCCCAGCAGGAGGCCAGTCCCTGTGCTCCTCAGAGTCCCAGCAGGAAGCCAGTCCCTGTGCTCCTCGCCAGTGCAGAGATAGATTAAAATGGCAGGTGATGTGGCCGATAATTTCACTTTTAAAATGAAGGTTTTTGGTCAAATCAATCAGAATCAATACCTGTGTCCTGGATCTCCAGCAGAGTCATGATTTGTTTTGAGGTGAAGATTTGGTGAATGGAACAACTTTGAAAACTGCCTGATGTCTATAATGTTTTTATGTTTTTATTATTTTTGCACATTATTTTTTATTAACAAAACAAAAAGGTAAAGCGCTTGGTGTGACCTTGGTCTGTGAAATGTGAATAATAAATATATTTTACCTTCCTTCCTTCCTTCCTCCCTCACTTACACTGCAAAAAATGCTTAAATAAAATTGCTTGAATCAAGTGGATTTATCTTAATTTGAGCACATTCTGACTGTATTAAAACAAGATTTGCCAATGGAACAAAGCCATTTAGTCCTTTTTCAAGAACTGTGGCTTTATTTTCTCATTCCAAGGGAGACATTTCTTGTAACTTTTCAAAAAATAAGATCATTTTTCTTGTCCCATTGGCCAATCTAGTTCAAAAGCAGTCAGAATGTGCTCAAATTAAGACACATTTAGCCAAACTTGAGCAATTTCGGACTCATTTTTCATCACTTTTTGCAGTTTGCGACTTACATGCAGTGTTGTGTATAAATGACAAGAGAGTTCGTAATGAAATTAAATCCTAAATATATTACACATTATTCGCTGCTCTCTTATCAAATATTATAAAATCATCCTGACACTGAACTAAAATCACAAGATAGTATCCGTATCTATTTGTACTGATTAAACAACAGCATGAATGGGGGTTTCACAGGAGGCTGCAGATCATTCCAGGACACACACACACACACACACACACACACAAGTTTGGTGAATTCATTAAAAGATCAACTATTTTATTTTCCGGCTTCTGAAGCACAAATAGGTCTTTATGGGAAACAGCTGCTGGCCCTGCTTTATCAAACAGCACTCTGACAAACCCACACTCAGAACGAGGTGCTCTAGGAAACATTTCACCTTGTTATTAATAGGACAACTGTCAAACTGTGCTCGCCGCATGTGGCCTCGTAAACATCAAATACGAACATGTATTTTCATTTTTAAAACTGTGCGAATATTGGTTTCTTCTGTCTGTTCATGACACGATTCTGTCAACGCGGCGTCATTAGTGAGTTGTTCTTTACCAAGTTAAACAAGTAAAACAAATACATGAGCCTGATCTGCACAGATGTGTGTATAGAGAATTAAAAACCTCAAAAGGAATCGATGGTCCTTTTTCCTGACATTTCCTGTGTGTGAAGATGCTACATGCATGTTATTAAAGGCCAATATCCTGTGACAATGATGTTAGGTAAATTCAATTGAATAAGATCAGTTCTGACAATTGTTTTCTGTACTTTTAGCTTGTGAGCTATAAACACTAGCAGTCTCTCGCTCTCTGGTCTCTCGCTCTCTGGTCTCTCGGTCTCTCTCTGGTCTCTCTCTGGTCTCTCTCTGGTCTCTCTCTGGTCTCTCTCTGGTCTCTCTCTGGTCTCTCTCTGGTCTCTCTCTGGTCTCTCTCTGGTCTCTCTCTGGTCTCTCTCTGGTCTCTCTCTGGTCTCTCTCTGGTCTCTCTCTGGTCTCTCTCTGGTCTCTCTCTGGTCTCTCTCTGGTCTCTCTCTGGTCTCTCTCTGGTCTCTCTCTGGTCTCTCTCTGGTCTCTCTCTGGTCTCTCTCTGGTCTCTCTCTGGTCTCTCTCTGGTCTCTCTCGGGTCTCTCTCGGGTCTCTCTCGGGTCTCTCTCGGGTCTCTCTCGGGTCTCTCTCGGGTCTCTCTCGGGTCTCTCTCGGGTCTCTCTCGGGTCTCTCTCGGGTCTCTCTCGGGTCTCTCTCGGGTCTCTCTCGGGTCTCTCTCGGGTCTCTCTCGGGTCTCTCTCGGGTCTCTCTCGGGTCTCTCTCGGGTCTCTCTCTGGTCTCTCTATCTAAGTCTAAGTCTGTCTAAAAGTCCTGCTAAAAACTGAGGCAGTCATCAGTTTTGGTCTGGACTTGTGGGACAAAGACAAAGTCAAGGCGCATGAGATGCTGAGACCACCGGAGAGTCTGTGAGCATGACTTCAATCACCGTAAAGTGAGCCATAAACACTAGCGGGGCTCCTGATTACATGTAATGACTGTGAAGATCATTAGTGCATCAAGAGGCACATGGGAACGGCGTGTGGTGCAGCCGGCTCCACAGATGCTTCTCTCTGTGATATTCACGGTTCCCCAGTGTCCCGCCGCTCCATCGCTTTACAACACAAGCAAACACAACATCAGCACATAAGGTGGGACAGCCAATTCTGCGGAAAGGCAACAAAAGCAACATTGTGCAACTGGATTCAATAAAACAGGCCAAGATGTGGGGGCGGAGCGGGCGGGGAGGCATTTCTCTGCTGCTGCATGTTTGCAAAAAGACTTTTTCTAAAGATACAGATGTTACAGACAGTGGACGGACAGATGTAGAGATGTAGTTATTCAATGCTAAATAACTAAATCCATTCATGTAGATCATGTTCATGGGGTGGGAGTCTACAGGTTTCTCTGGTCTCTCTCTCTGGTCTCTCTCTCTGGTCTTTCTGGTCTTTCTGGTCTCTCGCTCTGGTCTCTCTCTCTCTCTCTGGTCTTTCTGGTCTCTCGCTTTAATCTCTCTCTCTCTCTGGTCTTTCTGGTCTCTCGCTCTGGTCTCTCTCTCTCTCTGGTCTTTCTGGTCTCTAGCTCTAGTCTCTCTCTATCTGGTCTCTCTCTGGTCTTTCTGGTCTCTCTGGTCTCTCGCTTTAATCTCTCTCTCTCTCTGGTCTTTCTGGTCTCTCTGGTCTCTCGCTTTAATCTCTCTCTCTCTCTGGTCTTTCTGGTCTCTCTGGTCTCTCGCTTTAATCTCTCTCTCTCTCTGGTCTTTCTGGTCTCTCGCTCTGCTCTCTCTCTGCGCTCTCTCTGCTCTGTCTCTGGTCCCTCTTTCTCTAGTCTCTTTTGCTCTCTCTCTCTGGTATATGTAATGAATATATATTTTCACATGTATGTATATACTGCAAGTGCACAAGGCAACATAACAATGTACAAAGTAACTCCATAAACTAAGCAATGTAAATATTGTCAATACCTATGAATGATAGAAGGGTTTGCATGAAGATAAAGCAATAACCACCCCATTGCTACCAAGTATTGACATAATAATAGATATTGTAGTGAGCTATAGTTGTGTCAACATTAAAAATCACACACAGTATGAGTGACTGCATTGTTTGTGATATGAGTTTGAGAAAATATGCAAAGAATCTGATAGATTCTGTGGTGTTTACAGTTTATGCTGGGCTCTGAGCACTGGCAGCTGTTCTAACAAGAATAAATCCTGGGCTCAAAGAGGAGGAAGCTGTGGTAAGAAAAGACAAATACAGAAAATGCTATAGCAGAGCAGAGCAGACAGACACCCCTGCTGAGACTCAGAACAGGTCTGACTCTGCATCAAAAGACCCACCAAAACATGCAAGATATTCTGCAAGTGCAACATGAGGAGCCCCATTCTCCAGTGTCAAAGAGAACGCACTGCGGCGGGATTAAATTATAAGACATCATGAGCTAAATATGTGTTATTAAAGTCTCAATCCAAAACCACACAGAGTGCAATTGAGATGATGTTGTCACCTGCGTTTGCAATTGAAACTATTGCTGAAACCCAAACCATGCCTTATTCTCTGCTGAATTTACAACGTCCAGCGTAAGAAAAGTTGAATCAAAAAGTTATGCAAGTTACACGATTGATACATTCAACAGACATTATTGTATCCTCACCTAAACTGGTGGTGGAAGAATCCATGATCCACAGAGATAAAGAGAGAGTTCAGATAACCCCGCGGTCCTCTGCTGTGTTTTCCATGTTGAGAGAGAGGAGTGTCACTGGCTTCACACGCGTACGTCAAGCTGCTACATTCAACAAGAGCAGGTCCGGGTAAATCTGGACTATCTGAAGCTAAAAGAAGAGTTTAAGAAGCGGGTAAACTACTTCAAAGGCAATCCGTGCGCGCCAAAGCAGACCAGAAACCAGAGGAGGAGAAGACGAGAGCGAAAATGTGGTTGAAACTCGCAAAGTGGGATGATGTTGATGACTGGTGTTCTCCGGAAGTGCAATGTTCAAAATAGTGTTCTCATATATGTAGAAGTCCAGAAATGTATAGATCTAGCTGCAAAACCTGGAAAGTAAAATGTGTCAATACAATTATTTACCAGAAAGAAATATTGTTTGACTGCTTTTTGACTTGAACTTTACCGGACTTTGTCGCCATCTTGTGGCAAGGCTCTGTAGTACATATTTATACCAAGGCAGATTTCGGAAATATGTTATTTTTGAAATATATGATGATGAAAACAATCCTTAAAAATCTAATACGTTTGATTTTACCTTTATGTAGGTAAAATTCCATACCCACTGCTCTAAATGTTCCAACAACCTACATTTGTTGTCTTCAAGTCTTCATTCTTACAAACACTCTAATGCACCCTATATGCAGGGTTTCATTTATTATGTCTGTATGTGAGTATTACAAATAAATCACATACATAGAGGCATACAAAACATTACAAAACATTTCAAATATTTTGTAATCGTATTTATTTTTTGGAAGAAGAAATTACCTTAGGCTCAATACAATTTATTACTTTACACAATATATTGTATTATGGTAAATTTAATACGCCCTTGCACCTTGGGAACGATGACCCAAAATAAATTCTAGTATAATGTTGTATGTAGTATTGTACATACAGTTGTGATAAATATCAAGTCTTGGCGGCTCAAAATATTAAAGCAAAAAGGAAATAAGCTCTAGAGCCAGCTGCAATATGTATGCATAACTCATACACTTAGGTAAACGGAACCAACGTCGGGGAAGCATTACTGTGTAACACCGCGCATTTCAACATGGAGCCGACCCGAAGGAGATTCTTATGAAGGAGACTAAACTTTTCGCACTATTTCGTTATTACATGTTTGTGCAGGTGAGGTCCTGACTGGATCATGAAGTGTGTCCGCTGCCTGCTCCAGCACAACCTCAGGTGGACAGGACCGAGCAACGCTGTCCCCCGGGTTCAGACCCTCCAGACCCTGCAGACAACACCCCAGCAGAAACAAGTATGTTGATTAGGATTAGGTCAGCAATTAAGTTTAGGGCTACAGATAGAAACCATACAAAACAACTCTGTATGTATACAACATAAAAACATGTGCCACTTGTTACCATCATAGGCTACACAAGGGTTCCCCCAGACATAATATGAGAAATTATAGCAAGTACATTATTATGTGTTGTTTGAGACCTATTGATTATTCTGGCCGAAAGATTGGTGGGCATCTAAATGGTCTAACATAGTGACATAAACTGGAATTTGTCCTGCTATAAACTGTGACAATCAATGGTTTTTGTGGGTCAAAAACAAGGTCAAGGGTAAATAATCAAGGATGAAATTGTTTTATTTGAAATTAGTGATTCAATTCCTCTAAAAAAACTGGTACACACTTGACACAGTCAGGAAGATATTCAAACTGTGACAGAAAGACCCCACTTCCATCACTGTGTCGACTGAGAGAACAAATGTCCACAATAATTGTAAAGCGCTTTGTGATTCTGGTCTGTGAAAGGCTTAGATAGTATGAAGTATTGTACATTGTTATGCACTTATCCGTGGCTCACATTTGAGTCAATAAAAACCTTGAAACATGCAAAAACTGGGACAAATCAAGGGGTTTGTATGAATTGTCGTGACATCTGGGACAACAATTTCCAACCTATGCCTAAATTATGAACAGTAGACAATCCAAATTCGTCAAAACACACCTTTTATTTTAGTTTTTTTTTCCCCTCAGGGATCAAGGTATTTCCACCAGAGTCGCACAGTCCTCAAAAATCAACCCACTTCTCCTGTAGACTTCGTACAAGACAAAGGAAAGAAGTCGGTAGTCCAAGATGACCTGTTTGAACGCGTGGCCAAAAAAACCAAAACCAAAGCCACGTTTAACCGTGTGGTGGACGTTTTCACCAAGCAAGACGTGAGGAGGCGAGGGCACGTGGAGTTTATCTACGCCGCGCTGAAGAAGATGCCGGAGTTTGGAGTGGAGAGAGACATCACTGTGTACAACAAGCTGCTGGATGTGTTTCCCAAAGAGGTGTTTATTCCAAGGAACTTCATTCAGACCATGTTCAACCACTATCCGCGGCAACAGGAGTGCGGAGTGCAGCTACTGGAGCAGATGGAGAACTATGGTGAGAGAAAAGTGTTAAAGCTGAAGCAACTTTCAAACCTCTAACATGTAAATAATGTAATCACATCGGTGTAATCCAACTAGTTCCTCTCTCTAAAACAGTTTGGCTATCTTACTAGTTTTCACATGCATGTATGTTTGTCCTCTTTCAAACAAAAAAGTGTAAAAAGAGGCGACTTCCCTCAACTCAGGCAATAAGCTCTCAGCCCAAAGTGTCAAATAGCGACTCTCAAGGCTCTTTCTTAGGCGTATGCTTAAGATGACACGTTTTCTAATGACATAAAGACACCGTGTTGTGGTCTCATTCAGTCTCACTTTCTGTTGGGACAAACATCATTATATTATTCATTAAACAAATGCAAATTAGGTACCTCAACAGTGGATAATATTGGGATAATCATAAATATGTTTAATCTATGAAATGATAATATTAATAAAATGTTTTATTTCTTAGGCACCTTTCGCCTCACATACAAGTAAAACGTACATTTTTAAAACAGTTAAAATACAAAACTAAAAGCCGCATAAACAGAGGATAGTGTGAGTGCTCAGTGCAAAATAAATAGTTGATAGTGATATAATTAACATATAGGAGTGATTTGCCATCCTGCGTGGTTCCATTTGAGCTCCTAGAACTCACTGCAATAGAAACTAAGTTTTTGCCATTTATTTCAGGCGTCATGCCCAACGTCGAGACTAAAGTGCTCCTGCTGCAGATCTTCGGGGAGAAGGGTCACGCTGTGAGGAAATACCAGCGCATCATGTACTGGTTTCCCAAATTCAAACACGCAAACCCTTACCCCGTCCCCCACCAGCTGCCGGAGGACCCTGTGGATCTGGCCAAGTTCAGCCTGAAGCGCATCGCCGCCGACCTGGACGCTAAAATAACAGTCTACCAGGTGAAACTTTTGAAGTAGTAATCATGTTTTTTTTTTTTTTGTATTTGTTATTTTAGAGTTTTCATAGTTTATACAGAATATTTAGAGAACAAGGAGTGATCAATCAATATAAGGTTATTTATTTAAAGAAAAAACTCAATCAAAATTAGCAATTATTCACATTTTTGTATAAAATGTTGTCTCTTTGCATTAGTGTATGTTACCCAATAATCAAGCCAACCGTGTGTCATTCAAATAGGCCATCAGCTCTAATACATTTCTAAAGATATTTCCCACCATTGTGTCAAAATTGGTATGGCAAGGCAAGTTTATTTATATAGCACAATTCATACACAAGGCAATTCAAAGTGCTGAACAAAATAATAAAGCATTAAAATCATAAATAATCACAGAACATTAAAAATAAATATCCATCCATCCATCCATTTTCTACCCTTTAATCCATTTCTGGGTCGGGGGGGTGGCAGTCAGAGATGCCACCCAAGTCTCATAGCACCAGCCCCTCACTGACCCTCTGCAGGTGGTGAGTCCACAGGAGGACGGCTGCTCTCTGAGAGTGAGCATAGCCTTGATCTTTCAGTGGGGGCTTTGGGCAAAGTGGGGTTAAGTGTCTTGCCCAAGGACACAACGACAGCAGTCATCACTGGGAGTCGGTGGAGAAGGTGTAGAGGTGGGAATTGAACCCACGACCTTCAGGCCTGAAGGCCAATGCTCTACCAACTGAGCTACTGTCGGAAAAGAAATATAAAAATATAAAATCCCTCAGTTGTATGCACAGCTAAACAGAACTGTCTTTAACCTGGTTTTAAACATTGTCAGGGATATGTTGTTGTATGTCCAGGGATAACAATTTCTTTTCTAATAGCTTTTTGCTAGCAATAAGCTAGGCACTGGACAGACTGACACTAATTTGAGGGTTATTTAAACATGAGACTGAGATTGTTTTATGTTGTAGATGCCCTGTACAGACGTGTCTGAGAGTGGACAAGAAATAACGTTCCCTCATATTGTAGGTGAGTCAAGTACCGCTATTTTTTAAATTGTGTATATGTTTGCAGATGGATGCCGTTAAACAGTAATGTTGTGTCTTGCAGGGGTTCAGAGTCCCAGTCAAATGGAGCTTCTGGCCAAACATAACCCCAAAAGACCGCTTTTTGTTGAAGGCCCTTTTCCCTTATGGCTGAGAAAGACCTGCGTGTTTTACTACATATTACGAGCAGACCCCACCCCACCCGAAGAAAAGGTGAGACTATAGGTCACCAGAGAGCGAGACCGGAGAGAGATCAGAAAGAGAGAGATCAGAAAGAGAGAGACCGGAGAGAGAGAGACCGGAGAGAGAGAGGCCGGAGAGAGGGAGACCGGAGAGGGAGACCGGAGAGGGAGACCGGAGAGGGAGACCGGAGAGGGAGACCGGAGAGGGAGACCGGAGAGGGAGACCGGAGAGGGAGACCGGAGAGGGAGACCGGAGAGAGAGAGGCCGGAGAGGGAGACCGGAGAGGGAGACCGGAGAGAGAGAGGCCGGAGAGAGAGAGGCCGGAGAGGGAGACCGGAGAGCGAGACCGGAGAGCCAGACCAGAGAGCCAGACCAGAGAGCCAGACCAGAGAGCCAGACCAGAGAGTCCTCTTAACTAATCACAAAAGTTTTCTTCTGACTTAAATCAGGGGTCTCCAAATCCAGATTGGGTTCGGATAATGGTAACTGTCATGTTATACTAGAGGTTGTATTGAGAGAATACACACGGCACATTAGAGAAGCACACTATAAAAAAGCACGCAACATTGAACACAAAGATTTGCGAAACAGCAAGGCCGCGAAAGGTGTACCGCACTATAGAGAGGGAATAATGTAGTATTAGAAGTCACAAAAAAGTCAGAAAATGCAGTGCAGTCCATGTTACAGCTTTGTGGGCGTCATCCGCAGGTGGAGGAGCCCTATGATCCAGAACGCTGCTTCGACTATCCACTCCAGCTCGACCTGGACTTCGGGAGGGACCTTGGCGATGAGGAGGACTTTGACGTGGAAGACTGTAAGATATTTTATGGTTGTGTTTCGGGGGGCACGTGTAGTTCATGTTTAAAATGGTATTGACGTGGCGTATCTGTGTCCAATGAGATAAACATGTTGATATATTTCTTGGACTTGGAGAAAGAGGAAGACTATAGGCTGCTTCGCCATGTTCAGAATAATGTAAATAATTGTAGCTTTTTGATGGGAGTGACATTGCTGACCTAAAAGTGTTGATCTGTATGTAATCGCGGTTGTGTAGGCTTGAACAGTTGTGTTTTTGTGCAGTGGACGAGGGCCCCGTCTTCGCCATGTGCATGACCAACCAGGGAGACCAGGCCACGCTCAACCAGTGGCTCTCCGGCCTCCAGGAGACCAACCCCATCCTGGGTCAGATCCCCACGCTTTTCAGACTGGACTCCGGCTCTCGGGAGCTGCAGGCCTCTCCGGATTCAAGGCCGGGTCCAGAGCCAAAGTCGGAGCAGCAGCAGCAGCAGGAGTCACACGCAGAGACTGAGGAGGAGGAAGAACCACAGCGGAGGCGCGGTGTGTGAAGAGCGAATCACAACCACAGACTATCACCGTGGAATATGGTCCTCTACATGAACTATCATGGAAACATGAGAAGGCAGAAGAGGCTTATGTTCAGAAGAATAACTAGAGACAACAAATAAATTATTGTACTTCCTGGAGTGTGGAGGTTATTTGATGAGCTTCTATGAAATGCACAAAATATATTTCCTCAAATCTATTTATTTATTTCATTATATTTGTGGATTCTGATTCTGATTATTTTATTTATTCCACCAGGGGCAAATTGTTTGAGCAGTATGGCATAAAGAAACATAAAAATGGGTTAATTTGATAGGGACAAGAATGTTTCACATGATACACAACATTATTTTTAGCCAGGGCTGATTCTCAATACATAGAGCTTTGAGGATAGGGTTGAAGATGGTGGAGAGAATGTCTATAGTAAAAACTAGGACACACAGAGGTTAAGGTGTGGTTTAAAATGTTAAGAGAAATTAAATATATTGAATAAAACTTGAACAATCATTGCTCATTCATAACCTACTCCTCACTCAAACAGACATATTCTGCAAAATGTACTTTTAAAGCTATATTTATCAACACTGTTCTCTCATCATAAACAGACTTAGATTTGTTTCTTGATCAATCCACGCTAATATCAGGAACTTCTGCCTCAGTCTTGTAATAGTACAATAGTTTTGGCAATTTCCCGGTAAAATTACATTCTTTATGATCATGCGATGGTGGGTTGATCTGTGTTTGCAGTCAGTAATTGTTAAATTTCGAAAAATTATACTCCTCCCTCTGCTGGTAGCGTAGGGATAGTGCAGGCTATAGCATTATTTCCCTAGATCCTTTTTTTTTACCCTAGATACTTGATTCACCTAGCCTGATCGTACCACACCTTAGTACAAATTACATTTCGTACTAAGGTCTGGAGGTGCTCCATTGAGCTCCGTTTACAGGTGGGAGAGGTTAACTTCTTTTGCAGATTGAAACGATTGGATCTGAGTTTACTGTGACGTATGTAATGCGCCCGAGTGAGTCGTTAGCATTTAGCCTAGCCATCTCCTTTACCGCTAACAGAGCCCGTGGGGAGTAGGGCTACAATTTTTTCCAGCGATTACATTTGCTAAACATTCCTCTTGCTCCGGCTTCAATTTTTTGATAGAACCAGACCGGATTACTTTACTATCGCATTTTTCGCCATTGCCAAACTACAACCTTCTCGTTCGACGCAGACTCTTGACATCACCCACAACTAACTACAACACCCGCCTCCCGCGCTCTCTGATTGGTTGGTCGAAATTCAACCGATTGTAATCGCTAACACAGGGACCAGACTCAGACGTTACATGCAGTGAAATGATGATTGAACGGAGTGTACGGATGGCTAAGGCCAGGCTATGATTCACCTTATATTTTCTACTAAAAGTATAATTTCACATTCTAAAACTTAAAATGAGTAGTTTCATTTTTAATAGTCATAATGCATAATATTTCTGCTTTAACTGAGACTTTTCAAGCACATGTGCAATTCATTATAATTAACTTAAATTTACATTTTATGCCAAACAATGTATTATATTGCGCTCTGCTGGTGGTGGACATCTAATTGGTTAAAAACAGACACTAAAAAAAAAAATGGAGATTTAATCCTAAGATAAAGTGAAATAACAGCAGGGTCTCAGGACAGAGGAACATTTATTTACATTTATAGACATTTGGGATCCGCCCCTAATGCCTTCTATGTGTTTGTTATTGCATTTGTATGGTCCTGTGTATGAACCATTTGATTCTCTGAGCTGTTGCTGGCGAATCGACAACTTTATTAACTACTCCGAGACGACTGCTGTTGTGATTTAGCGCTGTACAAAAATAAAATAAATTGAATAAAAACTATGCACAAACAACAGTTTCAGTAAAAAGGTTTATTCTTGAAAAGGCATCAAACATTATTTTAAACAAGACACGTACATTCGGAGGCATCTCGCTGGATTCAAACGCCCGTGTGGCTTTGCAGGTTCTTAAAAATGTATTAATGCTTTGTGCTCAAACTATTACCATTCCCGTATTTTTATTTATTTTTTTACCGATCCATAAAGAGCCAAATAAATCCGACATGAACGAACAACCACCAACTCATGCAAAACGCTTTTGGATGCCACATATTTACAAACAACAGAAGCATCTCTAAGACAGAACGTGAGATCAATTCAACTGCACATCGAGAATCAATAAATAATATAAATAGCAAAAGAAAAACACATTTGGCTTAACCACAAAAGAAAAAAGTGTTCGTGTTTTTTATTCACAATTTCACATATTCGAAGGTATGAAAGGTAATATTACACGAGATACAAAAAGTGAAGTCATAAAAATTGGATTGACCTTTGTGAATGGCTACAAACGTTTTTTTTTCCGAGGTTTGATGCTAAAGATCTCGTCAATGTTTTCTTTGCGATGTAAATCAAGTCGTGCTATAAAAAAGATATTGTGTAAATACGTTTATTGTGTTTCTTTGCTGGCGCTGGTGCAGATTGTTTAAAAAATAAATTTAAAATAAAGCAGCAAAATCATGGACCTCAGCATTTGGAATGTTCTTATGGATGACGGCAACTAAAACGACTAATTAAATCAGTTTGAAATACAGCAACCCAAATAGATGTAGTTGTGTGTAGTAGGGGTGTCAAAGCAAGTCTTCCAAGAGCCCGTGGGACTGCAGGTTTTCATTCCAACCAAGCAGAAGCACATCAGACTCCACCCATTTTCTTAAGTGAGTCCAGTCCATAGATCTATAATAATATCTGGATAGGGTATATTACTAGCTTAGAGCTGAAGGACCCACATGCTCGGGGGATTCTCGCGGTACTGCAGACTAAATCCAACTAAATTCATGTGGCCTATCCAGAAGTTTCCCACTCAATGTACACTAAAACAGCTCAACCTCAGCTGACAGAGAACCTGCAGGTTTCATAAAGGTCAGATTTTGTGGGATTTTAGTGTCCCTTGTCATCCTTCTTTTTAAATCCATCGCTTTTCTTTAAATCTGCACTAAATCACTTTTCGAATGTGAGCACTGGCCTCGCTCTTTCTGTTCCTCTCCCCACACTCACGAAGCTATCGCCCCCAAAAACCCCCCCTCCCCCTTTGCCTGTGCTCACATGCTAATTGCATACAGAGCTCACATCTCACAACATGGATCGCACATTTGAACAAGGATGGCGTGACCATAGAATGATAGAACCGGGAAGCGCGGAGGAACGAGACTTTCTTTTGGATGGCTGTTTCGCTGTGTAAGCAGTAACCGGGAACGAAGACACGGGAAGTTTCAGCCTCCACTGCTTGTTTACCTCAGCTGTCTGTGCTAACCACAGACCTGTAGATGTTCTCAAGAAAGTGGGGGCCAGTGGTCCGCTGTGATTGGTCACAATCTGGTCCCGAAACAAATTCTCTTCTTGTTGTACGAAAACTCAATCTAAAAAAAATGACACCCCAGCACAAATCTGCGCTACTTTTTCTTCAAAAGGACGTAAATCCCAATGCACTGCATGGATATGGATTGAATTTTGGTAATGAATTAGGGCTGCAACTAACGACTATTTTAATAGTCGACTAGTCACTGACTATTGAAACGATTAGTCGACTAATTGGATTATTATTATTTTTTTCTTATATTTAGCTTGAAGTTGCTTTAATTATGTGGAAAATGATAAACACAAGAAAGATGGGTACTTCAATGAAAAATGCATCTTTTATTCTACTTTGCTGCTGGTTCATACAAAAGTAAATAAAAATGTCTTATCTACGTCCAATTTGGCACAGTGCTTGGTCAGTATAGACCATTGCTTCTCAATTATTGTTTGCCAGGCTGCCCTTAGAGGCAAATATTTTGCGCCCTCCTCCTTACATCTTTTAAGCTAAAAAAATCCGATCTCAGCCCAAAAAGTAAAATATTGACCAACATGGTTCTCTCTTAATTATGCAAAAAAACAAGACTTCTTGTGGGGTTTTTTTGTAAGGGAAATTTAGGTACCCCAGCTTTAATGTAGTTAGTTTTAGTTTCTGGGCTACAGGAGGAGACACAGGAGGAGACACAGGGGACACTTACAGAGGCCCACAGCGGTGGATTTATCGCGTTCACAGGTTCACAGGCCGCGCGCTACACTGTAGGTCATCCACTGCGCATGTGTATGAAGGCCAAATAACATGAAAATAGATCATGTTTAAAGCAGAGAAAAGTCAAAAAGCGTAATATGGGACCTTTAACCTGAAGAATTGAGATTATGGGTGGAGTCTGGTTTGCTCCTGCTTGGTTGGAATGAAAACCTGCCTCCACATCGGTCCTTTCTGCAACCAGTTTGAACCTCCTGGTGTAGTACATACTAATTAGTTTGATAATATTTTTATTTAATTTTAATTGACTAAGATTTGGCAGAATGCAAAACCCTGTGAAAAAACCTCACAATAATATTGAAAGAAGGTAATAAATAAGTACGGCCGTGGCTGCGGACTGGGGTCTTCTCTTTCAGTTCATGTGAGCATCTGAAACCAAACAGACGTTAGACCTAAAGTACGACATACACGCTTTAAATGATCCAACAGTGTTGGTTAGGGGTCAACCGATTTGGATTTTTCAGGGCATATACCGATGCCGTTAATATTTTAAATTACATCTACAAGATTTTACTCCAGATAACAGGACACGTGTATCTGTTTGACCTTTTCTGAATGTATTTGCCATTTGCAGTAAAACTACATTGGAAAAACTGTGCAAGACTACCCCAATGTGCACGAACATTTATTTTAGTTTATTATACGGCTCCTCACAGCAGCAGTAGAATGCTCCATTGATTTGAATGTAATTTCAAAACGTTCTACCGGTCATTATTTTCTATAACTGACCTCTCAAAACAATAATGACCGCTGCCCATGGCAACGCACTCTGCTTGTATTTCAGATGCCTGGATAACTCTGCAAGTAGTTCCGGCCACTCCGGAGCTAGCCACGCTCAATAAACGCAAATGCCAATCAATCAACGCAATGAAATGTTAATCGGAGAATACATTATAATATACAGTCTTAATACAAGTGCACGGAAGTTTTCAGAAATTCCAGATGGCTAGGCTAAAACACTGATGTAATGCGAGAAAAGGCGATCCCGAAAAACCCGGAAGTAGATACCGGCACATTTTAGGACACATTTGCAGAGGATCGAATTATGGATTTAGGTTAGGTTTATGTATGGGTCACTCACCGCTGATGTTCAGAATTCTTTGTTCAGTTTTCATGGAGTTCCAGGGAGTTCTAGTTTGGAAGTTGCTAGCCTAACTGTTGCTAGCATAGCCACGGGAAAGCCTTTGGGAACTATTTCATTTTCTGTCATTTAATAAACCTTTCGGCATTCCTAAAAGTGGACTGAAGTTTATGTTGTGTGTTCTGTTGGTATAAAGCCGTATAATAAGCGGGATGACCTGCGTAATATACGTTATCCCTTACATAGTTTATGTTTCATTTAAAGCTTATAAACAGGAATCAATATTTACATAGTATTTACATATTATAAATGATCCAAACACATAATTAAGAGTTTCCTTTGTTCACTTCTGTGAAGTCAGTGTAGTCAATGTCCATGATTTATGTTAACGGTTTTCAAGCAGATCATCCAATCAGAGAATTTTATATATAAAAAACTAAATTCACATTGGTTGGCATTGGTTCCTTCAAATGTAGAAATGTTATTTGTTCTGACCCTTTTAATTCTCTAAATCTAAAATAGCTCCCACTGCACAGACAAGACCTCCTAGGTAATTTGTCGGGTTATTTAGGTTTCTTGACTAATCAGACACATACAGAAGGCACATACACAGAATAGTAGGACTGATTTCAACATGTACACTAGACCAGTGGTTCCCAAAGTGGGGGTCCCGACCCCCCGGGGGGTCGCGGGAACCCCTGGGGGGGTCGCAAGATGATTTCCACACAAACAAACAAAAATTTTTTTTTTTTTTGAGCAAATATAAAGCCCTTAAATATTTATTTAGCATTTGATTTGATTCAAAAGGACTACTTTTTTTTAAATTGTGTTTGGAGACTATAATATATTTTAATAACGTTAGTAATTTTGTCCCAGTCATTGCAGCGTCAATCAAAATCATCACGTAACACAGCTCACATCATGCGCAGCGACAAAGCGTGTCCTGCTGTTGTTTGCTAAAACTAAAGGTGTTTGGAGGCTACAAATAAATAATACCTGCTTTAAAATGAAACGTGGTTAATATCCACAACAGAAAAACCCGGAGGGGGAGAAAAGTCACTTCTATCAGGGGCTGATGGTGCGAAGAGAGGGAGAGAGGGCAAAGGAGGGAGAGAGGGCAGCGGAGGGAGAGAGGGCAGAGGAGGGAGAGAGGGCAGCGGAGGGAGGGAGGACAGCGGTAGAACAGCGCGTTAAAGAGGCCCGGCTTTTCGGAGTCAAAGGTAAAGAAGCCGCGGGGATGAACCGCATAAAGTAACAGCAGAAAGCGGCCGCCCGCTTTTAATGTGCGGACCTCTTTACCGCTGACTCCGGAAAGCCGGCCCACTTTACCGCGGTAGGAGAACAGTGAGGGCGAGCCGCAAGAAATGCGCTCCACTTCTGCTGAGGAGGGAGCCCACCAAGCCCATCACTGTGTCACTACATGAGTAAAAATATGGGGGGGGGTCGCGAGTTAGCAGGGCATTTATGATGGGGGTCGCGGGCTAAAAACTTTGGGAACCCCTGCACTAGACTAGTAAATGTTTTTGAGTCGAGTTGTATCGTTGTTTTGACCAGTAGGCTGAACTAGACTAAAATTTGGACTTGTAAAATATGACATATATTGTGATGGAATATGGATGATCGGTCGACCCCTGGTAATGGAGAAGCTAATACAGTTGGTGCCCAGTTCTAGCTCCACCCACCTGCCGCGGAAGAGCTGTTCTGCTGGAGCTGGTTGGTGAAGAAGCGCTCCCTCTGGAAAACCTGCTCGTCCCAGGCCTGGAGGATCCTCTGCCTCTCCCCGGCCTCCAAGCTCAGGGTGTGGGGGTGGGCCTCCTCGATGTGGCCCCGGACCCCCTCCAGGCTGTGGCCGTACTGCAGCTCCCCACACACCATGCACACCAGCAGCTGGTTCAGGGGGTCGTGGTCCATGAGGTAGTGGTTCCTCCAGAAGTCTGTGGTCAGGGCGCCCTCCTCGCAGCCCACTGCCGCCTCCTCTTCCTCCACCTCCTCAGGAAAGTCCTCTGCAAAGGAGAGGGTCTTATTAGAACGTGTGTGTGTGGGAGAGAAATTGTCTGCCTGACAGGTCAAAAAGATACTAGCTTGTTTCATTGACATCTCTTCAAAATAAACTCAAATCAAGGGAATCCCCAATTTCTTATTTTCTCTCCTTTTTCTTGAAAATAAAATAAATATTTGCATTCTTTCTCAGTGTGCTAATTGCGACCATGAGAATTTCAATTATTTTGCGATTTTGCCATGATGCAGCCCTCGTGGACCACACTACTGAAAGTATTCCTCACCTATTGGCAAGCAGTAACTTGGGAAAGAGAAGGAGCCGTCTGCTGCATCCGGATCACTAAAAAATACACTCACATTAATATATATGAAATACATAACTTCAAACTTCTTCATGCTGCACATACTTTATCAGGTCTTCTGGTTCCACAAGCGGGTTCATCCACTCATTTGACTCCTGGAGAAATAACATTAACATTTTTATGTTACATTGAAAGTATTGGACTGATCAGTGATCTTAATACATGGTTGTATGAGACTTCAGTGGGCTTACCGCTTCACATTGCTCTTGTTGGGGCTCCTGTGGCGTGTACTGGGGCTGGTTTTGGGAGCAGCTGGGGTGAGGGCCTCTGTCCTTGTGCTGAAATGCTCTTCTGGCTCTCTGCTCCTTCTTCTTGATCCTCCAGTATTCTCTCTTCCTCTTGTGGAAGTCCTCCTCGGACTCCCCACTTACACGTTTGGGCGGGGCGATGCTGCCAACTCCTCGTGAGGCAATAATATGAGCATTATCTGGCTTTGGTGGACATGGAACTGTTGTGGACCTCAGGGTGCGGCTGAAGTTCTGACCGAGGGTTTGGGCAGGTTGTGCGTTGATGGAGAGAAGGTTATCGGGAGGCTGTAAAGCAGGGAATCCTGAAATATTCACATGTGCGTTTTCAATCCCTCTGGTAGAGCCATAGCCAGGATCTCTGCTGCACACCGGTGACTTGACCCTCAGAGTGCCCTGGGGGCCAGCGTTGGCCACTGTGGGGCTCACCAGGAGCACAGACGGCATGCCGGCCACTGCAGACTGTGTCGGCCTGGGCAGCAGGGCTGGTTTTATCGTGGCGCGCTTGTTTAACATGAAACTTGAAGACTGAAAAAGAAAAGTTTGTGTTACGTCAAGATTTACAATGTGATTCTGAAGACAGCACCTGTCCCATCTATTTTCATCACTTGTCTCTTTTCACCGGTCTCTTGTCCTTAGCCTCAATCCTGCCTCAGCCTGCGCCTGTGTGAGAGCTGGGAGGATGAAGCTACTACAGTGTATGTAAGGGAACCTCTTAAAGCCTTTATTTATGCTGCTTGGTGTCAAATACCAGAGCTCATTTGTACCTTCAGCCAAGAGCCAATATTTCAGCTTTAAACTGGACTTTATTCTAATATTTAATAATATTAAAGAAGACATACAGTACTTCCAGCTGTCATACAGGTATTGTGACTCAATACACCATGTTCATCTTGAGTGCATTTTCATAACATTGTGATACTTTACTCACAAAAACTAAAGGTTGGAAGGACAGATGAACGTCTGTCCATTACCGGATTATGACTCTTACGACCTACGACAAATGCCATAGTACGACTACAGATGTGCGTTACCTGAACAGTTCTGTAGGAGCCCACATTGCTGAGGCTCTTCTGTCTGGCCTTCACCCGGGCCCTCTGCTGTCTCTTGATCAGCTTCCAGTACTCCCTCTTTTGCTCTAAGGTCATGTGAACTTGTGAACACTTTTCCCTGAAGTGATTTATGTCCAGACTCTCCGTTTGAGTGTCAACAGGAGGATGGTGTAGTTTGGGGGGCTCAGGAGAACAGCAGTGTTGGTGACCTGCTTTTTCAGCACAATCAGGAGCCTCCATTTTGGGGTTTACCAAGAAAGACTGAGCTTCAGGTGTGTTGTTGGGAAGACTAAGGGGAATTGTAGACTCCGTTATTTGGGCCACATCTTTTTGCTCAAATGATACATGCTCAAAAATCTTTGTATCAGCCTCACTGCCTTCTGTGTCCAACATTACATGAGTGGTAATTGGTGCGCAAACATCGTCCAGTGACACATCTGGCTTTATGTCCTGGTTCTCATTTTCATCCTCCATTTTAATTCCAGTCTGCGTTTGACAGTCTGAAACACTGCTAAGCGATTCCTCCAGGAGTTTCTTCATGGAGGCCACAGCCAGCAGAGTGGTAGCCTGGTTATCAGCACTCAGACCTGGGTCAGAGTCGGCCTGAGATGGGGGTGGCGTTTGGGACATTTGGGCTTTGAGCTCTGGACAGATGGCTTCATTCAAATTTAGGTCAAATGCTGGAATTAAATCATTCTCTTGTTTCATCTCATTTACATAAGCCATATTGTTGTTTGCAATGCCTCCAAACTGTTTTGGGAAGCGCTTGCTAAGTGGTACGGCTAGTTTTTGTGCTTTCCTCCGCAGTAAAACGGCGCTAGCTCGAGCTGGCGAGTGGCCTTGCCGGAGTAGCATGGTGCGGGCGGCCCGTTGTTCTCTCTTCTTCACCCTCCAGTACTCCCTCTTCTTCGCCATCTTCTCCTCCTCCGTCAGCCCGGGATCTAGATAACACTTGCTCAGAGATGGCACTTTGCACGACACCTCCATCTTCATGACGCAGCCTCCAGTAGGTGAACGGTTCTTGGGCGACGCAGGGGTTAAAGTGAGATGAGATCCTTGTGCGTGTGTCGAACTGCCACAAGCTGGACTTGGAGGTTTATCGGTCAGTATTTGGCAAGACTCATAAGATTGGTGAAAAGGCAAAACAGGACTTTCTAAGGGCGCGATGTGTTTACTTGTTTGTGGATTTGTGCTACACGAACCAATATCATCTTGTGGTATCCTTCTCTGTGCTGGCGTGTTCACGGAAACCTGTGGAACGTTGATTGTGACAGTTCCGTCCTCTTTGATGAATCCGCCGATGGTCTCTGACGCATGCATGACGGACTGGGCCCTCGCCCTCCTCATGTCCTCCAGTATTTTCTGGTAGCTCTTTAGCCTTCGCTGCAGATCGTCCTTCTCTCTCATTCTCAACTTGACATCCACAGGCATTTTGGCACGCTGTATCCGCTTCTTCATGCGCCAGTACTCGCGTCTTTTGGCTACGACTTGTTCGGGGGTGTCGCTGGGGTCCGCCGTCGGGATGCCCTTGATTCCCCAGAGATAGGCCATGGACGAGGGCTTCAGCTTCAGCAGCTTTTGCTTGAAATTGTTGGGTCTGGCTGCTCGCATCACTCCAGACAGGTGGAAGGGGCTCGTACTGTTCCGGATTGGCTCGAACGGCCTCTTCACGACAATGAACGGAGGCTGGGTCTTGAATGCAGTTGCCGCGTTGTTTTCTGGAATCGTTGCATTCCCCATAGATCGCGATTGCATCAAACTTTGTGACAGATTGTTCAGCGATAAGCCGTTACTCGTGACCTGCCTCTGAACGGGTTGTGCTTTGTTTATGGTTTTACCGAGCCGAACCGCCAGCCTGGCCCTTTGCTCCCGCTTTCGTATCCGCCACAGTTCTCTCCGCTTGGCCGCCTTCTCTTCCTCGGTCTCTGCTTTAGCTGGACTCTCATTTGTCGGCTTGTGCTGCTGCTGGATGACCAAGGCACTCTGAGCTTGTAATTGGACTGTGCTTTTACAGACTGACGGGATGTTATTGAGCGGTTTGGGCTGAATTAGGACCGGCGCAGGTGGATGCTGGCTCGCTTTAGGGACGAGAGGTACCTGTATAGCCACGTGGGGACGGGAAGCAGCTACAGAAAAGGAACTGCTGCTGTTTAAGTGAGGGATCGACGTGGAGCTGACGGATCCGTTTTTCGGGGGCATGCATTGTACTGTGATGCTGCCTGCGTTTGTAAAATTGTTTCGCAACTGTTGTTTTTGACATTGTAACGCAGCCAAACCGCCTGATCCTTGGTTTCTCAGCTGCAAAGAGCCCACATTATTAGGCAATTGATTTGGTCCATTTCCATTCTGCGACGGCAAGGAAGAAGCATGGGCTGGTGGGTTGAAATGTGGTTTGGTCGACTTTTGCTTCTTCTCGGACCGCCTCGCCCTCTGCTCCCTCTTCTTATTTCTCCAGTACTCTCTCCTCTGAGCCAACGTGGCATCGTCGAACTCTGAAACCGGCGTGTAGCGATGCTGTCCCGTGGAATTGTTGCCTCCCGCGGAATCGCCTTTATCCTTTATTGTGAGCATGTTTGTACTTCCAGCGTGAACAACCCATAGGTTCTGCTCAAGCTCCAACTTTGCACTTTTCCAGCTAGGATTGCTTCATGCCGTAAATCCAGAAGTACGAAGTCCCCCACTTGGTCTCTGGGGTTGGATCTCACAGTCATAGCATCACTGACCTAAAAAAAGAAGCAAAGAAATACATCAACTGGATGCATTCTAATGGAAAAGTACAGAGTTGGTTTGGGAACGCCTCAGGATTTCCCCTGTCTCAGTGTAGTATGATGTCATTATAACACTGTGATGTCATGCTCAGTATTGCCCATAAATTAAGTTCCGGCAAATTCTCTGGAGAAAGTAAAATCGTTACAATAGCATTGGTTGTGTTTGTGCCAGAGTTCTACATAGTGAAAAATAAGTACACACACATAGTAAAATTCAACTCTTCCCTCAGATAGCATTGAGACTTGTTTTGAAATGTTTTTTCTACTACATGTATTCCTATATTATTTCATGTTATAAAACAAAAATGTTTAAGTCTCACAATGATTTTAATGGAAGAAATAGGGTATTAATAGTTCTTGTTTGCATCTCTGTGAATCCTGCTACATGTAATTAACAATTAAGAAAGAAATAGTTTATTACATCAGGTCAATGTCTCACACTGTCCACTTTCAAACTGCATCTTAAACAGTGGAGGAAAGAAAGCAAAGTCTGGGAGCATTTTCAACTCTCTGCTAGTTATATATGTAATGTTTGTAAATTTATTTTGTTACTTCTGTTACCTGCCAAGGAAAAACAGATGGAAATAATCTTTTCTGCTATAACCTGGCATATTTGTTCATTTAAATGTATAAATAAGTCCCGGCCCCCGACCGCCCTTTCCACCTGGCAGTCTCCAGTTCTACAGCCTCAGTCTTGGTACTACAGCCCCAGTCCTCGGTCTACATCGTGTCAGTTCGTGAGAGCGGATCCCTCTCTCAATATTTTCCCACTGTTTTATTTTTGTTTGTTTTTTTTCGTGCTGATGCAGGAGGGTCTAAGGACAGTGATGACCCGGGACATTTATGGACATTTATTAACATTTATGGGCATTGGTCATCCCAGTCCCTATGGAGCAGTGGCTCCTATGCATTCGTTATTATTGTATTTCCTGTCTTTGAACTGTTCTATTCTGTGACCTGAGATGACTGCTGTTGTGATTTAGGACAATACATTAACAAATATTTTAAATCATTAAAACATGAGTAAACTCTCCCACACATGCAATTTTACATGTTTCTAGATTAGAATCACGTATTGAGCACGTATGCATATTCATCAGACCATACTATTCACAACCAGGCCATTTCGACCCAGATTTCACGTACAACCCTCTCTACTGCAGTGGAGTAACCAGTGCTAACCACGTAACCACATTATTTTACAGCTAGAGTATGCATAAAAACACTACTTCCGCTTGCCTGCATGCAGTCCGGAAAGGAAGAAGGCCTACACTGTCTCTTTAAATCTGTCCCCTTCTCCTACAATCTTGAATCGCTTGCATTTGTATTGTTTATTCCTGCTCATTTATAAGAAAGAGGACGTTTCGAAACCCCTCTGACGCATACCACGAGGAATACGGGCGAAAATAGGAACATTTCTGTGCGTAAAGTGTGTCTCTCGCAGCTGCACAATGGACAGACGCTTCCCCTGTTGTCCACACGTTATGGAGCCTGCTTCAAGGACTCGATCCCCGACAGAGCAGTCCCACAACACGGCGTTTGCAGACGGAGGAGAAAGCATGCGAGTTCGTTACCTTGACTTTGCTCTAACTTCCCGGGACAGTTAGTTATTTTCAGCGGCGTGTGGACATGATTTGGCCGGGACTCTGCGGCGGTAGTTCCCAGGTCTACGGTCTCTCTCTCTCTCTCGGAGCTGCCTTGACAACGTAAAGTACCAGGATGTGAGCGTGTAGGACAGAGGACAGAGCAGGAACACGCCCCCCGCCCCTTCAGCGACCACTCTACGAGAAACTCAAGGCGACAGCGCGAATACGTGTGTGTGTGTGTCTCTGTGTGTGTGTATGATCTGATCTGTGATCTGTGGCCATCCGGCTCCAGCTGCTCCGCGCGGGCAGCCTGGCCACGTGCGAGACGGGCCCCGTGCCCAGCGAATGTCAATAAAAAAATTAAAATAAAAATCATATAGATTATTATTATTATTATTTAGGTGTAATTTGTTGTTATTATTATTATTGTTGTTATTATTAATTAATATTATTGTTATTATTTTATCATCTATCTTTATTATTATTTTATTATTTATTTTTATTACTGTTATTACTATTACCTAGTTCCACAGTGGGGAAATTTCAGTGTTGCATGACCAGTTACAGAACAGTAGGCATGAGGAGGACACAAGATAAGTGAATATTAAGTAACTCTATACTTTAAAACGAATACTTAAATGTATACTCTAGACCAGACCAGGGCAAAGTGCGGCCCGGGTGCAACATTTGGCCCGATTGACTTTTCCATGTGGCCCCTTCCCAGTTGTAACCCTCATACCAGTCAGTTTCTTAATAATCAGTAGTTCATACTTGTACTAATATGTGCAAACCATGGCATCTTACACATTCATTTGGTTCTTATTAATAAATCCAAAATGTTATTAGTAATAGTAAAAGTAGTAATAAAAGCCCAGTATAGATATATCATTGATTTTTATGTTTTTACATTTTAACACTAAAGTAGTTTCTTGCTAAAAAAGAAAAAATGGGTCCAGCCCTCCATAGGGCAATAACTATGGCCCCTGAAGAAATTAATTGCCCACCCCTGCTCTAGTGCAAAGAAATATAGACTGGTATATACATCTGTAGCTATACATACAAGTATTAACACAATTATACTAGTGTTTATTGTTATGATTATGATAAATCATTATGTTATTATAACTTTGGAATATTCATGTAATTGTTGGTGTCATTAACATTATTATTATGATTATAAGCCTGCATTCATTATCAGAAGCTCATCGGAGCTCGCAGGAGATGCACAGAGAGCATTAAATATCCCTCAAATAAAACGTGTCCAGAATCTTCTGATTGATTTGAGCTTTTTATTGTCCCGAGTGTGTGACTCACTGACAAAAGTGTTGACTATTCATGGCTTTCTGCTAAAAATAAACATCAGGCGGTTATTGGTCTGTGATATTAATATGTGTAAAAAATATGTGTTGTGCAGATTCAAAATAAATGAATGGATTTGTTTTAATTAGTAATTACTTCACAATTCACATTGTGAGAATGGTGATGGGTCCCATCACCATCACAAGTGACATCATGTTCAAACATGAGAAAATGAATAAAGATAAGATAATCTCACAGTGGAGAAATTTACATAGACTGCTAGTATTTAGGCCGACTATTTGTGTGAATGTGTGACGTCAGTTGAGTGATGACCCCCAACAACCCCAAGTGTTTTGCAAAGGGAATGTATGAAATCAAATGCAGCGATAATAATAACCCTGCATTTGGTTTTAGAAAGATCTCACATGCAATATTCATTCACTCCACACAGTGGTGGCAGCTAAGTGTAGCCACAGCTGCCCTGAGTTAGAGTCAGGTAAGTGTGGCTGCCAATCTGTGTCAATGACCCTTCAGACCAACACCAATCATGCACACACAGTACAGTGGGGAGCAGTTATCATTTTTACCAGGGGCCCAAATTGTGAAAGGGCCAGACCTTTTTTCATGCATTACTATTCATTGTCATTTGGCAAGAAATTAGATTTGATTTAGAATAAAAAAAATAAAATAAAACTATTAAAACCAACAAAAAAAACTTTATTTCTGTTGATCTTCAAATATGAAATGCAGCTCATCCCATGTATATTAACAACAAAGTCTGGGCCAGATGGATATGACAACAGACCGTCTGTGGCCCCCGGGCCGCACTTGGCCCAGGTCTGCACTCATACTCTGTGGGGGAAGTGTCTGGAATGTCCAATGAAAGAAGCAGGTGTTCCACTGGCCCAACTACATGTCAGGTTTATGGAGAGGTGATACAGTTAATGCTCTATTGTGGAACATCAGGCGTTTCCAGGGCGACACCAGCAGCACCATCAGAAGGCTCTCAGGGCAGTTAAAGGTCAGTGATGAGTGACTCATCATCTTCATATTTTGATATGATGGATTAGTTGTGGGGAAATAATCATGTCAACAACAAACAGAGAAACCACACACTGTGCTGTAGGCTACATTTAAGTTTTTTGTTTAGAATTATGTCATAAAAACAGGATTTAGCTTAACCTGGTTAACTTTCATTTATCTTTAACCCAAGACAGGACACTTCCTGGTATCATTGTGCTAATGCTAATGTTTAATGAGAGCAAAGAGTCCTGAAAGGATGCGTGTAGAACTGCTGTGGTAACAGTCGCAGAGTAGTGCTAAAGCGCACTGAGCTCTGCCCACAGTGACAGAGGGGCCCCTTCATGGCCCCTCACGGCCCCTCATGCAGCCTGCTGTCATTGCAGCGTGAGGCCCTCGCGCGCAGCAGACCCGCCTCGTGTTTAACCGACTCTTCACCGACTCTTCACCGCACAAACCCGAGGCTCAGTCCAAACTGTCAGAGGAAGATCAGCTTTATGTGAGCCGCTTATCCACCGCTCACTGCCCCCCGGGGTGGGTGTGCGCTGTGGTCGCTGTACTGTCTCTTTAAATTTACCCAGGAGCCCCTTAAGGAGCCCCAGGGGCCCCTAGTGCGGCTCCCCACCCTGAAGACAAGCAGGAGCCTTAAAATACATGAGGAGGCCTGCGGAACACTGGCGCACAGACACTGCGTGTGAGAAAAGTGAAGTTGGCTCCTGCTGCTGAGGGGACTGGCTCCTGCTGCTGAGGGGACTGGCTCCTGCTGCTGTGAGGACTGGCTCCTGCTGCTGAGGGGTCTGGCTCCTGCTGCTGTGAGGGGACATCGTGGAGGCGCCTGGGCACCGCAGAGGTGGCTCGACACGTTCCAGGGGTAATGACATGTCCCGCTCCAGTGCTATGCTGCAGTAGACACGGAGGGACTCCGGCACCGTGCGCTGCTGGCCGGCAGTAATGGAAGAGGCAGACCCGGGAGAACCAGGACCCGTGGATCTCCGCTGCACCGAGCACCCAGAGCTGCTCTCATTAATACTACGCGGGGACGAGGAAGCGACGCGAGAGGACAGTGACTTAGGAGGTAAACTGTTGTTGTTCATGTCAGTATTTTCAACTGCACATTGTTCCATATTCTGAGTGTGCGGCTGTCAAGGCACAACCATTGTCTGTCAGTTAATCCGCGACAGGGACAATGCCATGGAGCAGCATGGCCCCTAGTCTGGCTCCTATAAACAAAGGCTCAACAGCACGCAGGCAGCAGGAGCCATGGAGCAGGACTGCCCCCTAGCGGCGCACGTCAGAGTCAACGTAACCCCACATTGATTATTGAGTCTAATGACCCACATTCTGTGCTCACGCATATTGAGAAACATGATGGCAAACTGTTCTGATGGTGTGCTATGACTCTTTGTTCTTTCAGTTAATCCGCAGGATTAAAACAACACAAAGCCTGTTGAACCATGTCCTAAATGCATAATCATCTAAATCTGGTGTTTCAGATGGAGAGCATCTCGCTAATGGCCATTCAGAGGCTGCTCTGACCACAGCGGGGAAATCACCAGCCACTAGTTACTGGAGCATCACAGAGGGTCGGGACCACCCACTCCTCCTGACCATTTCTCCAGGTAAAGTCAGGGCCCCGCGGGGCTCCAGACAGCCTATACCCCGCATCCCAGGTCGGGACCACCGGCGCTACTACCACGAGTATTGGCGTGGTGAGTACCTGATGGACTTTGATAACGACCGGCAGAGCATGGTGTGTATGGTCTGTGGCAGCTCTCTGGCCACGCTCAAGCTTAGCACCATAAAAAGGCACATCCGGCAGAAGCACCCCGAGTCTCTGCTCTGGAGCTCTGCGGACAAAGAGGTGATCCGCTCGGGCTGGGACAGCCACCTGAGTGTGTCCGGGGACCAGACCTTCAGCTCTGAAGAGACCCCAGCTCCAGAGGAGGAGCAGCTGCTGTGCAGTCAGCCTGCTGCTGGTGAGTTTGCTGTGCTACACTCCTCTCACACTAGGTGGCTCTCTCACTATGTGCTTCACGCTCTCGCTGATGTAACTGTGGTGAACAGGCATAAACTATTAACCCAGAACAAACCTGCTGCCCTGGACATAATGTAATGGTACAACACTCATAGTATGACGTCCACATGTGACATCATTAAACCAGTGTCAGTGATGACCTTTGGTCACTGTTGCGATTCTCCTAAATGTGTTTTATTGTGTTATTGTTATTGTTACCAGCGTTGGTGGATGGTGTGACACAGGACAGCCCCCAGCAGTCGTCTCTGCAGTGTCCCAGCCCATCTCCCTGTCCTGTGGAAGAGGCCCAGCTCGAGCAGCAGGACGACATGGGCGAGCCGCTGGCCCAGACGCTGGAGCGGTACCTGAACGACTCTCTGCACGCCTGGTTCAGACAGGAGTTCCTCATGAAGTATGACGGTGAGGCTGGGCGGCTGCAGTGCATGGTGTGTGGGGCTGAGCTGCCCTCTCTTCACCTGGAACACATCAAGAGACACGTGCTGGACACTCACCCCAGCTCCCTGGTCTACAGCGCTGAGGAGAGGCACTGTGTCCTGCAGGCCTGGGCCGAAGTGCACGGTGAGAGCACACTCTCTGACTCTGTGTGAACAGGCTTTTTAAAGAATATTTCCATCCTGTGTAATTTTTGCAAAGTCACTGTTGAATAAACTTTTCAATTAAAAACCATTCATAACTATTTCCAACCATAGTGATTGAGAATCTATGCATGCTCTGTTGACAGAGGAATTACAAAACTCTATCGCATCAGAAACAAGTCAGACGACCAAAGAACCTTCTGAGGACCCCTTTCCTCAGGAGGAGAAGAGCCTGTTGCTGGGGCCCGGCCTGCAGCAGGAGGGGGACGGCAGCTCAGCTCAGGACACTTGTCTTATCGGAGAGGACGGGGAAATTGGAGCTGCACAAATAACTTCAACCCCTCGCAAACGCGGCCGCAAACCCAGAAAGGCGCGGTTACGTGGGGGGAACCCGTGGAGGCTGCGGCTAGACTACCTGGTGGCGTACGGGCCGCAGGGGAAGGGCACGTACTGCATGGTGTGCTCTGAGATCTTACACGAGACCAAGGTGAGCAGTTTCCGACGCCACATCCAAGAGACTCACCCTGAGACCACCACGCTGAGCCAGGACGAGCGTGAGGCCATGGCTGCAGCCTGGACTAAAGACTACTCCACAGACGGCCAGGAGGGGGACGAGGGTAAGCCACACTCACAATCTCTAATGGAAGCAAATCAATACAAATGCCAACTTTCTCCAGTGGTTCCCAACTGGTTATGATTTTGGAGCCACATTTTTACTGCTTAATTTCCTAAAATTGCTACAAAGCTTCAATTGTTTGCAAATAAACAATACGTTTTTTCTGCCCGTGAACCACCATTTGGAAACCACATTTTACATGATAGATTGTTTTCTTAATTGCATGATATTTTAGCAATCTTTTATTCCTAGATCAACTACAGAGGTTATCAAGCTCTGGTACGGGTACCAATGGTGGTACGCCTGGTGTCTCTGCTGGTACGAGGCAGTGAAATCTTTGTAAGATTCAATTCGAACATATCATTACCAAACGACTGCTTTATGTAGATGAACTATTTTTTATATCATATTTATTTACATAGCACATTTAAAAACAACCAGAGGTGACCAAAGTGCTGGGCAGACAATATATAGTCAAAATAAAAGAAGCAAAAGGAACACTAGACTTTTTGTGAGGTACATTTTGATATTAACAGCTGAAGCAAAACAACATGAATTATGGTAATTTAAGTATTTATTGTGAAAAAATGTAACCCACTGTTTAGTAATAATGATCATTTTCCACATTTGCCCTAATTTGAACATCGAGCTGTTTCTTTATTTGGACTCCTCCGTCTACAGATATAGTAACTAGATCACCACCCTCTTGTATCCAGGGATTAGATCAGAAATTAGCTTAGAGCTTTTGCAGAGGATAAAATTCAACATCATTCTCTAACGAGTTTACGTTTAGTTTAGTTTAGTTTTTTTAAGGACCATGTGCAATTACATTAATGGCCACAAGTTAAATCTTTACTCATGCCTCAGTGAGAATTTCAATGTCATAGTTGCACACATTACAGCAGAATAGAAGGAGAAACAAGAGCACTCAGATTACGGACACAAACAGGATCTATGATTTAAAATAAGTCAGAATCAGAATTGTTTTTTTTTTGCCATTGTGAGTAGCAGGAAGTCACAAACTAGAAAATTGTTTTGGCTCTCTGTGCAAGCAAGTTATAAAAAGTAAAAATAGAATAAGGCATGTATAAAAAGAAATACAGAATTGATATAACATTTATTAAAATGACTATATACAAGTGCACCAAGTAACTTAAAGGTATATAGGAAGATGTTCCCAAATTTTAGGAAATGGCCCTCCACTTTTTGAAAAAACTGTCTTATTGGACGAGCACGTAACACCAGAATGATTGATAATTAGGAGGACCAACAGTCTTGATGATCCACCCGGAAGTAGAACATCCTCCTATGTACCTTTAACTTAAATTCCTAAACATACAACTGTAAAACTACTTCTTTCCTGCAGCCTCTTTCTCATCCTTTCTCTCTTCTGTCACAGCGGAGATTATTCAGGCCAGCGGCGGTGTCCTGGATCCAGATGGGACGAACGAGGACGGCTCCCCTGACGGCAAGCGGGTGAAGGCAGAGGAGGCGGGGGGGGAGGAGGAGGCGCAGGGAGGAGGTTCGCCCAAGGTGCCCCCCCTCCGACAGACCCACTACCCCGGCAAAGACCAGCGGCGCAACTACCAGAGCCGCTGGAGGGCCGACTTCCTCATGGACTACGACTGTCGCAGGCACGGTCTCATCTGCATGGTCTGCGGCGCCACGCTCGCCACGCTCAAAGTCAGCACCATCAAACGCCACATCCAGCAGGTGCACCCCCACTCCCTGCTGTTCAGCCCCGAGCAGCTGCAGCAGGTCCTGGACACGTACAACCAAAGCGCCCTGGCCCAGACCAACACCGAGGACGCCGTGTCTTTGGACCACGTCTACAGTGGAACATAACAACCCCCCTCCTCCCCAAAAAAAGCTCTCATCAGGAGAACACATATGCACTTATAGCCCTCACAGTGGCGTCCAGGCTCACTTAAGTCCTGCACTGCAAAGAATGATGAAATAGTAATAATTTATTGATTTGACAATGATTGCCAGTGGGACAAAGCCATTTAATCTAATTTACAAGAACTGTTCCTTTATTTTTTCATTCCAAGAGAGACATGTTTCTTGTATCTTTTTAAAACAAGATCATTTTGCTTTGTCCCACTGGCAAATCTTGCTTTAAGGCAGTCAGAATGTACTAAAATTAGGATACATTTAGCCAAATGAGAAATTTGACTCATTTTTCATCATTTTTTGCAGTGTGTTTCCACCAGCCCTACTTGGCCCCACTCAGCTCGGCTCGGCTCTGCTTTACCTGGTTGCGTTTCCATTACATTTTAGTATTTAGTATACCGTATCCTAGAAACCTTCGACAGTAATGGGGAGTAATTGTCTCTTCATTACCGTCAGCTGGAGAGGCCTCACGTTTTAAGTCATTTGTGATTTAAAATTATAATTATGAATCTGTTATTAAACCATAGGAAGGTTTAGTACAGTTTTGAGACAAACCTTGGTAACCATGGCCTCCAGCAGCACTCAATTCTATTACATTTAGTTTTGTATTTCCCTAAATCACAACAGCAGACTTTGTTGTCGATTCAATAACAACAGATCAGAGAATCTGGCCAATCACTGTCAGTTAGAACACTTTAGCTCGGTCTGGATAAACCAATCAGGTTTCACAAAAGTACTGTGTGTGCCGGTTAACCAGGGCCGGTGGAAACGCTACCAATCGAGGTAGAGTTGAGCCGAGTTGAGTAGAGTCGGGCCAAGTAGGGCTGGTGGAAATGGGGTTTTATTAAAGGATTTTTTTAGTCTTTATGTGACAGAAGATCGGAAACAGGGTTAAAAGCACTAGAGAAAGAACAAATCGACCCACATTATGCTCTAGGTTACTCTCAATTTTGAAGCCATGGTGAGGTTGCGTTTTATACAGAACACAAAACAACAACCGTCTGAGTCCGCTGTGAAATCAAATATAGTTGTACTTTTTGTTCCACTTTCAAAAACGGGAACACGAGGGTAATACAATCACCATCTGCAGCCCACTGTGAAAGAGAATATTGCCGCAAAGGAAGTGGTCGATATTATTCAACAGGGGCCAGAGGAGCAGCACTGCTACATCGGCCTGTACTTTCACACGAGAGACTTTTGACAAGAACGATACAATATTTTTACTTGGCGCAGGCAGGGATGAGTTTTCGGAGATTTATGGCACCGATCGTGGCCATATTTCTCATTCGCGGCTCCTCGTTCGTCACTGGCGAATGCTGACCAGCCCAAAGTGCTCCCAGATCCCATTACTTAGTACCGTAAATAATATATTTGCCTCTCAAAGATTTTTGGTCACTATACCACGCCATTTACAACAGATGCATTTAATGTTATTTTCTATTTATTCAAAAAGATGCAAAAATATTTGTTTTTAGTTTTGATGTTGATCTGGTGTCCAATGGGGTTCCAGATCCTGTGGTCTCTCTCTCTCTCTCTCTCTCTCTCTCTCAGGAAGTTTTTTGAAATTGTTTTTGTTTTCTAGAATTAGCTAAAGACAACGCAGCACTTTGTCCCCTGAATCTAGTCGTAGAGGCGAGCTTACCTTGTGACCTACAACTGAATGATGCTATTGCAGAAGACAATGATTGGCTGTGAAAGGCCAGAAACACATGCACTGCAAAAAGTGAGAACATTTGAGTTACGATTGGCTTGAATCGAGTAGTTTTTATGTTTATTCGAGTACAATTTGACTGTCTTTAAAGCAAGATTTACCAAGATTTGCTTCATTTTCTCATTCCAAGGGAGACTTTTCTTGTATCTTTTTTAAAATAAGGTATGTTTGCTTTGTCCCATTGGAAAATCTTGTTTTAGGGCAGTCAGAATGTACTCAAATATAGAGCCATTTTTACTTATTTTTCATTGCTTTTTGCATTGTACTCCTTATGTTTACATGCGTTTTGGTTCATTTCTCACCACTGCAGAGCCCCTGTGCATATGTGACTTTGTACAAGCACTTTTTTATACTTATTCTGTTGGTACATGTCAAACACGTCCCAACGGCCATTTTTCTTCGACACCAGTTCCGTTCCACTCTTCATGCATCGTACGACATTTATGCAAAAAGCCTCAATATTTAAGCTGAACTCAGGGATGAACTGAACACAATGAATTCAAAGCCAGAAGACTCATTTATTACATCGCAGAGAATTGGGGATAAATATATTTGGAAACGACCAAAACTCAGCACCTTAAGCTACAATACTGTTATGTATTGTAATAAGAAAAGAAGAAAGAAATCACATTGTAATGCTCTTTGTTCCTCATTTTTCACACAAACACATTGCTGCATGAATTCTAATTTATTAGTTCTCTAGTTTCAATAAAGAAATGTACAAAGTATTTCTTGGTGTCACATTCTTCATGGACAAATGTATTTACCTGATGTAGATAATGTCTTGTCCCAGGTAATCAATGAAAAAGTTGTATCATAGTTTATTTATATTCCAAGTATACACATTTATTCAATCAAATGTATTTTTGTATAGACCTAAATCACAACAGCTGTAGTCTCAGAGGACTTTATGACATTTGCCCACAACAGATCAGAGAATCAAACCGTTGGAACACAGGAACAGCATTATCAAACACATTCTTTAGGGAGCAGGAGGACCACTGTCTGGAAATATTAATATCTTGGATCATTACGGTTTTCTACATTAGAAAAAAACCTGGGAAAATAATGTGAGAAACCTTGTGGAGGCCCATATGGAGAGAGGGATTCATTCTTGACAGATACAGGCTGTAGATCCAGGACTGAGGAGGCTCCAAGACGAGGAGGGGGAGCTTATTTTAAAGACAGTGAAGATTGGGGCATTTAAGGACATTTATGGGCAGTGGTCATTCGCCCCCTATGGACCAATGGCTCATTTGATTCCTTGATCTACCGTTGAGGAATTGGAAACTTTTTTTCCTCTGAGTTCTCTGCCACCACTACTGTTGTGATTTAGGGCTGTGTACACAAATACATTTATATATATTTTGTGTAATATTTGTTATACTATATAGTGTTGGACATGCAGAACTACCACCTACTGGGACTACAGACCTACAGTTCTTACCTCAGCAGTGGCAGTAGAGGAATGACCAGGACCAGTGGAGCGTCTCGACTTGAGAAGTGATGAGGAGGAGGTCCATCCCTCTTCAGCTGGAGGTCGGCCTGGAAATGAATGCGTGTGCTATTTCTGACTAAACTCAGCCATTTTTGGTCTGCTCTTCCTTCCCCCGGAGTCTCATAACCGCTGTAATATCTGAGAATGTGAATACTAATACTGAGCCCTTTGTTATTAGTGCATCATTGAACCAGAAAAAGCATTTCAGACAGACTGGTTTATAGGAAATGCATGTGTTCTCCAGAAATAGCAATCTACTTTGGTGAATCTTTTCTGTTATAGATTAGGTTTGTGCATTTTCTACATTTCTTACGATGTCATAAAACTAACTAGTCTCTCATCCTCAAAACATTTTAGTTCTCTCACTAGTTTTCACATGCACATATTTTTGGCCTCTGTCACATCTTTAAATCAGCTTTTTCAGACAGAAAAGCTAAAAATTGGAACACCATATTTTCCCCAACCAATCAGGTCTCAGCCCCAAGTGGCAAATAGTGACTCACAGGGCTGGCAAATAGCATGTTTTCTAATTAGTGGAATCCAGCATGTGTGTGTGTGTTCACATTCTTTTTTTTTAACAAGACTCTTTCTGTTGGAACAAACAACATGGATTATTTATGAAAAAGGAAAGTTAGGTAACCCAGCTTTAAGTCCGTCACAGAGGGTGCATTCACGCCTCAACATCTGGATCCAGTTTGGACTCAGTCAGAACCAGCGCAGAAGCAGACATTCGCTTGAGAGAAATGAACGCATAATGAAAGCTCTTGTCCTGGTGTAATTTGTATATTGCAGTGTGAAATAAAAGGGAAAATCCACCTCTGATTATTAGAGGCTTACACAGAATGATTAAAAATGTCATTACTTTGAAAAGCAAAGATTTGTATACTAAGATAAAATTGCATGTGAGACCCATTACGGCAGGCGTGTGCAAACTTTTAACAAAGAACTTGGAACTGACTTTTGACTATAATTGGTCAATTTTGAGATTATAAATGAGGTATAACATGAGCATTTATTCATATATAACATCTGTGAGCTGAGGTTAGTTGAATAGCTTTCTCAATAGCTACATCCATGCCATAGACACATTTTTGTGCCATATAAAAAAAAAACAATTTTCAGTGCATACAAATAAATGGATTATAAAAAAGCCCTGAGCTTTACAATGAGGTATAACATGCCTGTTTTGGAGAAGCAGAAGTTGGCTAGATAACACTATGAACTTGTGTTTATAATGTCAAAGGTATTTTGGGTTAGCAAGATAGAGGGCCACATAGATTGACGCAGCGGGCCGCAATTGACCCTCGGGCCTTGGTTTGGACATGTCTGCATAATGGCATTGGAAGTACTTATGCAAAGCCCAAGTCATTCACAATTAAAGCAAACATGCGGCAAGGCGGAGGGTAATCTGCACTTAAGCACATTTATTCAATATTTAGTACAACAAGAGATTCCATTATGTAATTCCAACACTGTTTGAATTGAGGTTGCAAAGCACGCCAACTTTGAAGAACTAGTGTTGTCTAAATTTAGCTCGGTTATCTCCTTCCCACCCAAAATATTATGGTGTTTTCCCAGCAGCAGTTTATGCACAAATACTCCAACAAAACATGGTCCTTTGATGCGTTTTTATTATTTTCACTTTGACATCAGTACAGAGACCACACACCTTTTTTCAAATTTTCTTTTTTTGTGTCTTGCAACAACTTTCCCAAAGCGTAAATTCTTTAAAAACAAAACAAAAAAAGTCATAGCTAATACAAAACAGCAGATATTAGTGAACTCCATCTAGATAACCAGTAAGTCAAAATAAGACTTGCAAAGACAGAAAAGTCACACGCACTCCAAGCACACAATGGAGACAAAGGGGGAAAGGCCAAGAGGGGAAAGGAAAGGCATGCTTCAGATGGTTACGATTATGTAAGTTTTTTTTTTTAACAACAGCCCAGTTGCTCTGCAGAAAGCCTTCAAACTGTGCCCTTTTGCATGCTGGTTACAACACAGCAGCTGTAGCAGTGAGGCCCAGACCTTAGACGCAAGCCTCCAGGTAAGGTCACAGTTTACAAAAATAGCATCTCTTTTTGAGCAGATTTTAATTGCACTCCTGGCTGTGGTTATGTGGCATGCGAAAACACACGTCTGCAACGCGTGTGCCACCACTGGTTTCTGATTGAACGATCCTTCTTCATGACCATGGTAAGGAAGCCTGCATAATGTGAAGCCCTTTGAATGGCAACAAAGTCAATATTTTAGCATTTTATTTTCAGTCCATGAACAAGAAATCAACATTCTTTCCCAATTTCTAACAATGTCATGTTTTAGCTCTCTTATTCAAACAAAAGCACTGTGATTACACTATTTCTAATGCATAGTGTTGCTAACATGTATAAGTTGTTGCACAGTAGTCTCATAATGTACGATGTATGGCAGAGTAAAGTTGTTATAGTATTAATTTAGACCTATAAAGCCATTCCTATCCATGTCTGCGTCTGTCAGTGCGGTGTACTAGTTGGAAACGAGGAGCATGCACAGAAGGGAATGCTGTGAGGACTATAGGGTTAGGGTTAAGGTTAGGGACTTTTGGACAAATGAAATGGAGTGGGCATTCTCTATACTGATCTCTGGACACATGTGGAGCTGCTGTAAGTAGTGCTGTGTGACTTTACTCAAAAACACCACTGGAACGACCACAATAATTATATAGAACGGAACTTCAGAATATGATACAAAGCCTATATCAAAGGGGAACCATCCTCAACTATGGCATGCGCTTGATGGGGAATACAAAAAAGTAAAAAGGGGTTTTCCAGATGAAAATGCAACCCAAAAAACTGCTACGTTCCCAGCTACACCTAATTCAAAAATGTGTGTTAAAACGGTCCCGCTCCCGATGTGGTGATGCCAAATTATAGGAATAAATTAACTCAAAAATAAATGAGTAAATGAAGTACAGCTGTATCAAAATAGCCAGTTGTGAAAGCCAACATGGACAGACAGCAGGTGTGACATGAGGGAGTGTGCCTTCTCAAACAAACAGGCCATAATAGAAAACAAAACAAAAAAACTGCTTGTTCAAAATGTATGCTAACAGACACTACGCCACGCTAGTATAAGAGTGAAAGCAGATATTATTCAGCGAGTAGAGAAGATTCAAAGCATTTACAGGTGAATGTTAGACCTCAACTCTGGCTGCCGTTTGAGCTGGGGTACAAAAAGCAAGGCTAATGTGTTTAAATACAGCAGAGCCTTTGTCAATGGTGTTTATATACAAAGAGAGGGTGAACTAGACCAAATTATCACAGCTGGCTCAGTGTGTTCCAGTCCTTTTATTAATATCATTTCAACCTGCTCAAGGGGTTTTAGAAAACAAAACATCAGTGCATTGCAGAAATCCTTTTCTTTTTTTACACAATCGCCTGTAAAAAGAGGAACGAAAAACAAAACAACAAAACAGGCCGATCGGTAATAACAGCGAGCCCAAAACCTGGCTTCCGACATGAACCCAAAACTGCAAAGAGCAAGAGCAGGAAAAAGACTAGTCACATAAGCAGTTACCGTTCATTTTTTTTGTTATTTATTCTTTTTTTTTTGCATTTTAATTTACTCTGGTCTAGCTTACCCAATGAGTCTAACCTTGGAAATGTTAAATCTTAAATACAGACATTCGCTTTGCCCAAGTGTCTTCCTCCATCCCCTGCTCACTGTGCTCAACCGGAACCAGCTCGTGGATTCAGTCTAGTTCACTCCACCTGCCCCACACCACCCCACCCTCACCCTCACCCACCCCTACCTACGAGGAGGGAGTCACTTCGGTCTGCACAGGCACAGTACGTTTGCGCCAGTGTTTAAAGCTGCGCTGTCGCTTTTTTATAATGAGTGGGCAGGAGCTCGGGATTTTTTTGCTACCTAGCGGAGGTTTCAGTGGGACAGAGGGACAGCGGAGTTAGACCCGGGGCAGAGAAAGAGCCGAGGGGCAGGTATGCGTGACGATGTAATGACAATGATGTGATGTTCGATGATTACGGGGTGGAGGAGGGTAATCATTCACTTTTGGTGCGTTTCATGGCGCCGGGAAGTTTCTCTTGCAACCTGCCGACGGACAAGGAAAGATTAGAAATGATTGTGCATTTTTTTTCTTCACCAGAATAAAAAGTAGAAAGAGAAGGTGAATACTGACTTGGCCATGGTCGAGTTGATATGAGTGCGCGCCAGATCGATGTATTGGTCAATCTGGGTCTGGAGGAAACAAAAAACAAAATATTTTCAAGTTGAATATTGGCATTGACATCATTCCCATTTATAGTCTCTGTTCGATAGTCATTGGAGAAATTATATATGTATTCTATGTAACTATACTGTATTCTATGTATTGATCGTTACTCCTCGTTGTATTTGTTCACACACTTTGCAGGACTCTTTCTGTCAGGGCAAATAACATTTATGAAGTGAAAACGTACCCCATCTTTAAATTAGCCTATTTAAGTCACTTGCTAATATCCAATGTAGCTCAAAAACTGTAAAACTTAAGCAGTGCACTAATAAAAATGTATAGTTTTAATGAAGAGAAATTATTGATTTGCTTGTTTTAGAGTAAAAAGAACATTTATGGACATAGTTAATCGGTCATCTGCCCCTTATGCACCAGTGTGTTTTTTATTGTTGCATTTCCTATGTTTAAAACTTAGATACTTTGAACTGAACTTTGTAAAGTCCAAGATAAATACTGTAGTGATTCAGGCTATACAAAAATAAAAAGTGAACGAAGTGCTAGAAGTGCAAATGTTAATGTTTGTGCACAGCCCCTCCCCATCTGTATACTGTGATGATCTCATGTGGGGCAGCTGTGCCTCAAAGGCCTCAGTGTGTGATGAAGACTCAGTGAGATCACAGCGCACGGACCACATGAGGTCAGCGCTCTCACCTTGTTCTTCTCGTAGACGGGGGGCACCGCGAAGAGGAGGATGTCGGCTGTGGACGGGAAGAGCGACACGTCAGTCTACGGTTTGATCATCTTTACGTACTGCAGGGGGGGGTCAAACCGGTCCTCAAAAGGGTCCAGTCTCCACCCATTTCCTCAAGCGAGTCCAGTCTTAACCTGAAGACTTGAGGGAACGAGTGGAGACAGATTTGCTCCTGCTTAGTTGGAATTTAGACATAATTTATTACATGTTTATTTTAAAAAGGGACAGAACAAGAAGCATTGTTACAAATAACTGATGCCATGTTCATAGGCCACATAGCTAACAGCTAATTTGCAGACCTGGTCCACAAGACATAAAATTACATCACAATACAATATTCTAGATCTCTGAACCTCCAGGCCATGGATCAGAGCAGTGATGGTTTGAGCCGGTGTTAATATTACATGTCTGTCTTTTGTGTACTTTCCAATGTAGCAGCCTGTGAGCCATTACAAATTAATCTTGAATCTTGAATAAAAACCTGCAGCCACACCGGCCCCTTCTGCAACCAGCTTGACACCCGCTGACATGATGGAAACAAAACGGAAACAAAACATCTTGGCACCCACGAATTACAAGAATTTTACTTCACTCACCGGGCGGAACACAGGAAGACTAGCTAATTAACTTGTGGAAGATGATAGGGATCCAAATTGTACACATACAAAATGTGTTAAAACTATACATATGACAGTTCAGTCCAAGTCTGAAATGGTTTTTTTTCATCATTTAGTTTTACCTTATCTAAAATGTTAATGTGTATGATTTTATGCCTGTGTTAAGATTTCTAAATAAACTTGATTGATTGATAAATAAGAATGAGGGTGTATTATATGTATTCAATCATCGTGGGGCTCGACTGGCTCTGACCTAATTAAAGCCTATTCAGAGTTGACCACTGAGACCCCAATTGGAGAAGTGTGCGCCTTGCTGTCGGTGCAGTGCGGATCACTCATGTTCACTGTGGCCTCATTCCTCAGTAAAACTACAAGTATGTCTAACTCTGCTGTGGGAAATGAGGACTCTTGTCATCTCTCATCATGTGACTTTGCAGACGCCCCACGGTCCTCACCCAGGATGAGGATGGTGATGCCGTTAAAGACCGCGCCGACGTAGGTTAGCAACCACATGACGACGGCCAACTGCAGAGAAGACAGACAGGACAGAAATGGTCAAACCTTTTGCACAGTAAGTAAGTGTTTATTTCAAACTCCTATTTCTCATACAGCAGAACAAAACAAACAAGATACAGATGAAAAGGGGTTGGATGAAGCAAAGACACACAAACACAGGCCTGAAACATTGTCCATTCACCTTCCCTTTTCTCGTTTCATGCTGAGAGCATCACACACTCTCCTTCATGTACTTCTCTGCTACTTTTTTAAAATATATGTATAAATATATAGTATGTTTAGGGATCTGCTTCAATGTGCTGTTATATATTACCACTCCCTTACAAATGTGTGAGGACACACACAGACACACACCCATGACCCGCCCTTAAGGAGCTGTCAGAGTGGTCACTGCTGGATTCACCTGTTCGTTTCGTTGCACCTGTTCAGGGCGAGGCAGAACGCCATCTGAATTCAAATACTTATGTGTAAACGTGTCGATTCTTCCATGGATCACGAGAGCTTGTGAATGGGAGGTTTCTGAACCAAAATAGTTTTAGGGCAAGCACTCACCTTAAGGGAGTCAACCAGGTCCTCGACGAGGAAGAGGCGGCTCAACTGCTTCAGTGCTCGGTTGATGTAGGTCAGACTGGAGTCCACATGCTTGCGGAAAGTCTCAGGAGGAATGCTGACATCCTTTTCTATGAGCGACCTGCGGAAGGAGCAGGACATTAGCAACACAAAAGCAATACTAGCGAGGCTTGAAAATCTATCAATGATTAAATGATGTATAATAAGTTAACATTAGCCATTGAAGAGGGACTCATTGCACATACATTTCAATTACACAATTCAAAAACATCAGCTGAAGAGGCACAAATGGGTAAAAATGTAAACTATTCAAAATAAGAACAAGTAGATCTGAGAAAGTGAATATTGATTAAAGGTAAAACTGTGGAGAGAACACTGCAGTACTTTGGGTTAGTTTAAACAGTGAAATATCAACATGAGCAGAAAATCCAATTAGGTTTGGACGCCCTTAGAGCAAGTTCAGATTTTCAGAAGAATCTCCTGACACAAATTATCTTAATTCAATTTGACAGATAAAGACCAGAAGAGGATTTTATGTACTTGTTATTTTAGTTTATTATAATAGTTCCTCTGGATTTGATTGGGCTGTCCATAAATAACAAAGTCAATGGCACTTTGATGGAGTCATCAAATCAGTACGCCAACATCAGTTGTTTGATTTATTTAGGTGCGAGTGTGAATGGTTGGTTGATTGTCAGAGGGGCCGATGACCAGAGGTGTGGACTCGAGTCATGTGACTTGGACTCGAGTCAGACTCGAGTCATGATTTTGATGACTTTAGACTCGACTTGACCAAATATAAAAAGACTTGCAACTCGACTTGGACTTTAACATCAATGACTCTGACTTTCACTTGGACTTGCGCCAATTGACTTGCAAAGACTTGCGTAACCCGGGCCATTTTTACCTTTCTCCGCATCTCTCTTTCTATCTATGCCGTCTCTGAAGAAACAAAGCCTCGCGGTAGTTGTAGCGCTCGCGCGAGAGTTCGAACGTGAGTTCCAGGCAGTTCGCGCAGCAACACTTCCCTAAACAAGCGGACTGCATTCACCGGTGGGTGTGTTGTCTAGGGGAGCTGGAAATGAGCGAGCTGCAGGTATTTATCGCGACCTAACGTCATATTTTGTTCTACAAACCGTAATTGATATGCTTTCACTACAGGCGCCTCATACAATTGAATCGACGCAGTTGTCACACTGTGTGCCGTGTTTTAAAGAGGAACTGGTGAGTCAAACTAGCGCTAGCCTGCGCTGCTCTGTTAGCTATTTCTTATATTTTTCTGTGTGGGCGCCGAGGCCTATTATTATGAGTATGTTTTTGCTGTGCTCCTCCTGATAAAGTTTGCATACATTAGATAGTTGTTTTGATTATGTGCACTAAGCTAGATTAATATTTCCACTATTGTTTATGGTTCATTGATATGAGAATCAGTACTTTGACTGATTGAATTAATTTATATGAGACATTTTATTATGTAATGATATATTGGTAATTATGAGATATTACTAATGCTGGCCCAGTTCATACAGGCCAGGTTCCTTCCCCTCCATTGGTCCCTTCAGTCCTTTGGAACAATAACCACTATGGACATTAAACTGATTATATAGATACAGGTCCTAGCCCAATACTCATATTCATATATGCTGCACTTGCTACTTCCCATTAAAAACCCCAAAGATAAAAAGTATGTTGACACGGACTGCTCTGATTTTATGTGTGGTCTGTGCATGTGTAACTGAGCCTGCATCTGGCACAACATAGTTTTGATTTACCAGCAGCCAACCACATGGAACAAACTGTTAGTCCATGGATCAGAGACCAACGAGAATGCACCAGCAAAACGATTCCTAAGTAGGTGGAGACCAACAAGAAACAAATCGCGGTCAAAAAGACTCGAGAGGACTCGAAAGTCAAACCGTAGGACTTGGGACTGACTTGAGATTTGTTGGCCTTTGACTTGGACTCGACTCGGGACTTGCCTGTCTTGACTCGTGACTTGACTCGGGACTTGAGGGCAATGAATTGAGACTGACTTGTGACTTGCTAAACAATGACTTTGTCCCACCTCTGCCGATGACACAGACCAGTTGCTTCGCTTCTGTCAGTGTACCCCAGGGCAGCTGTGGCTACAATACAATCACCAGAGTGAAAGAATTACATGTGAAGCGCCTGAGTGTCCAGAAAAAACACTAAATAAAACCGATGCATTATCATGATTATCATTTAGATTCAATTCAGACTACTTTATTTATCACCACCAGGGGCATTTCATTTGAGCACCCTCAGGAATTAAAACATTTTTCTTTTTTTTTAACAGGAAATTTGGACTTGACACATTGTGATGTGACCGTGGCGATACAATGTGTGATAAAAAAAACCCCATCTCAAAACACATACTTGAAGGGGTGGCCATCGCTGGACTTCTGCACGGCCTGGACCACAGACTTGTAGATGCGGAAGGTGATGGTGACGCAGAGCAGAGCCAGGAGGAGGTAGGAGGCCACACTGATGACGCTGAAGGCTGCCAGCGACAGCAGCAGCAGCATGGACACTCCAAACACCACCCCCGACTTCTTGGGGTCCCGCCAGTGAATCAGGTCCTTCACTACACAGAGCAAAAAGAAAAGTGAATGAAGCACATGTGGAAGAAAAACCCACAAGTAAAAGGTAATTACACTAGCGGTTGATATAGGCAGAGGCAAATATATCATACATTACAAAACGCATACAGTCTTCATATTATTAATTACAGTATGCTATCTTTGTGCTAAGGGACTGACCGGCTGAAAAATTATTTTCAGCCACATTTATCAACATTTATAGACATAGCCATGGTTCATAAAGGGCAGATGACCTATGTGTTTTTTTTTTAATCATTGCATTTCTTCTGTTTTAACCGTTTGATTCTCTGATCTGTGTCTGCGAATTCGACGGTTTTGTAAAGTCCTCCAAGATAACTACTGTTGTGATATAGAGCTAAACAAGAATACATTGAATGGAATCATCCCTTTACTTTTTGGTCTGAAAAAGCTGATCTAAAATCCGTGATTGAGGCCAAAATTATCAATAAACTCGTGATGTCCCAAACTTTGATAGCTGGAATGTGGTTTGATGGTTTTAAATTACACAAGACAGTAGATAGTTTGATTGAGTTTAGAAAGCGCAAGCTATAAGCCCTGGTATCTGCCCCAGTCAGGTGGTGGCCATGAACATAATACAGTATGTGCCTGTATCCTGGAGCTGAACGCTGGCCCGATGAATGGCCCGGCTGTAGAGCGTGTTCTGAAGTCGTGCATGCAGAAGTGATGGGCTGTATAGAAGGCAGAGAGGTTATGTAACAAGCTGGTTGGAGCGCCACTCCTTCCCTCCTTCTCAGAGCGGTGGTGGGACGAGGGGGTTTTGCAAAAGCCGAGTGCAGTGGTGGTGGAGGCACGTGGGGTGGTGCCTCGGGGCCCGTCAGCTGAAGCTCATGACTGTATAGGCCCCAGTCGCACCACACGCCACTGTTGCTTTACCCTCTGTACACATAACCGCTATAAAACTTTTTTGGGATGTCACGGATACTGCTCCGACCTGACAACTTGAATTTACTATGTTTTAAAGAGAGCAGGCTTCTCAAGCTACGACAAGTATAGTGTTCGTATGCAGATGCTAATTAAGACCGGCATGAGGCCAAATCTGAAGCTCATATGTCTCCAAAATGCAATGACTGCGCATAAAAGTATGTGTTAATACAAGTAGGTTAAAAGCACTTGAGTCAATGGCATTCTTCATGACTGAGGGATATACGAGACCTTTCACCCATTTAAAAAAAATAAAAAATCTCACGGCTCAAAATACTGGAGTTTTAAAAGTTAGTTGATCATCATTTACTATGAATATATATATGTAATGTACAGAGAGTAAATAATTACTTAATCATTTGAATGCACATTTAGGTTGAGATATGGTGACGGCAGACGAATCAAAGAGAAATATGTACAAACTGAACTATTGAATAAACATTGAAATCAATGATTATGTTTGTGCCGATTAATGTGTCAATGTATTGTCCACCTCTCGCTGTTGACATATTTTCCCTATCCACAGCATAACAACCTCTCCTGTACCTCCATGGCAACTGGCACACCCACTGAAATATCACCTAAACCAACAGCACCTGCCTAATAACCCACAGAGGAGAGAACACTGCAGCTGAGCATAGAAATAGTATCCGCTCCTCAATCCTGGACCGGAGCGCAACAGGGAAACTAGTCCTTTCCAGGCGCACTGAATTAACAGGACGACTGCTAATTTACATGTTCAGTTCCATTGTGTATGTAGAGGTGCTGCTACAGGCCCGGAGAAGGTATGCAGTCACATTGATCCACTGTGTATAGATGGCACATAGGGGCGATGTGTGCGGAAGAGAGATCAGGTTGTAGAGGAGGCGGGGGCCGACTCAGTCCCGACTCCAGTAAGACAACCCTGCATTAAGAGCTTACTGCAAACGGGCTGATAATTGTGAATGTCGTACCAAAATACCTCATTGTTTTCTGAGGAGAACAAGAGGTGTGTGTTGTTAGGTTCTTATGTTGAACTAAACATGTGGAGTTTTGAGATTGTGTTTATTTGCTGAATGAAGATGCAGAAGGAAACTTGACACCAGTGACTCGGCATTGAGCCTTAAGAGTCCTTGTAAACCAACCCTTGAGCGCCATAATTAAACCACCAACAACTGTCACATATGAAAAGTGAAACAACAGTGTGTAGATTGGATGACAGAGACATAAGCGTAAAAAAATATACGTTTATCTAATGTTAAGTCTTGCTGCTGAAATTACAAATCAGAATGTTAAGACTGATTTGTCTTAACATTCTGGTATACAGACATAATAAAAAGATTAATTATAAAATATTCACTCAATTTTGTAACGCTGACCTTTTCTAAAATTACTAAAACTAAAATATTGAACTTTTCCCACAATATTTAAATGTTTTGAGCAAGTCTGTATTCTAATCAAAAAATGAAAAAAGAAAAAGGAATAAAGTTTAAAAAAAAAAAGAAAAATCCAACCATTTTAGTATGTTATTTAGAAACATGCAGCTGGAATACAGGTTGGGGCAGGGATTTCTATAGTTAGCAGGTGGACAGTTTGGAAAGAAGTGGTTACCTGATAAGTGGGTTAGTACAGCAGTCAAGACATGCTCAGCAAGATGATACGCTTCTGCCATCCATTCATCGACGGCTTCTACCTCACGGACGTAGGGGCCGTCAGGGGAAGGATTGGACGGGGAAATTGGGAGCTGGGTATTTGAGGGACAAGGAGATTCTGTGTTGTGCTGTGTAGGTGCAAGACTGGGATCAACTTTGATTGGTTGAGCATTCTGAGGTGGTAGCAGTACCTCTTCCTCTTGACTGCCTCCAAGGTCTTTGAGAGCAGTAATGGTGAGCTTTTCCTGTTCAAGGTCCATAACTGCGGACGCCTGGAGATCCTCTGTCATGTCTGAGGTGGTCTGATCCTCATCTTGGGCTTCTTCGTCCTTCTTTGACATTAGACACTCCCGCATAAACTCCACAAAACTGTCTGCAGGCTCAGGACATGATGGATTGAGGTCATAGGTGTCCTCCTTTGCAGTCGTTGGAGGTTGTTCCGCCTGGCGTGTTTCACTATCAAGGTCTTTGATTTTATTGCAATTGTCATCAAGTTTACTGTATTGCGACCCATTGTCAACATCTGGTTCGTCGTTACTCTTTGGCGCGGTGTAGAATATAGAATATGGATCTTGTGGATACTGCTTTAAAGCAGACTCCTGATTGGTTAAAGTGTTGTCATTGTTCTGTTTAGTAAACGTTTCCCCAACATTACTTTGAGTGGCATTTTTCTGAGTATTGACAATAAAGGGGTTGGTATACGGCGGATCTATGGCCAGATCTGGTTCACTGTCATTGTCAGGGGAGGGTGGAGCATCGTAGTCATAATCAAAGAACTCCCTGTCATAACTGTCATCGTGTGGAAGAGTGGTTGGAGGTTTGTGTGTTTCAAGGGGCAAGTCTGTGTCTTTAGTGACTATTTCATTCATTTTGGGCTTGGTAAAAGATGCAGGATCAGGTGCAGTAATGATGGGATTTACTGCATTAATCATTTGGTCATCCCACTCATCGTCATGGTCAGAAAAGTCTTCAACAGGATCTACATTTGGAAAATCGTCTTTGAATTGTGCTTTGATGAGACTTTCTGATTGAGGCTCTTGTGGACCAACTGCTTTGAGAGATGGTTCATGGGTCTTGTGTTTGGGAGACTCGACAGGAGACGACGATGGTGAGCCTTTATCTGCAAACGGACGCTCAGGAACGTAATCATCAGGGAAAGGAGTTTCTTGAACCTCTACATTTTCATCCTCCTCTGATTCCAGATCCATTTCCTCCTCACTGTAATTGGGGTCATCGGTCTCAATAACGTTGATAGTTGGAACTTGCATAAGCTTCCTCTCAGACTTTGCCGGAGGACTCTCTTCATCTTTAGGTGGATTAGAAGATGTATCCATTTTAGATTCAGACAAATCTGAAGCCTGAACAGGGACCTCATCTTCGATAACTGTATCATCAGACTCCCCTGAGCTGTCCACCTCACCTGCTTCTGGTGGATCTGGATCACGCATTAACTTTGTTTTCTCAGTTTGCGCAGGAGGCAATTTTGACTCAAACTCAACAACCGGTTCTGGTGACACCGACCTCTGTGAGACCACCGAATCATAATTATTTTGTTCTTGGGTACACATGTAGGCTGTAGGCAAGAAGCTCAGGTCAAAATCACACTCCTCCCCATATGGATTCTGGGGAACGGTGGCAACTTCAACGTTTTCATATTTGACAGGAGAGTCCATGAAGGCATCTGGAACACTAGTAAAGGAAGAAACCCCAGATGCACGATCCTCTTTCTCTTGCACAAAGCGAACTGTTTCTGAAACTTCCATAACTTCTGTTGAGTCATCTGAATGAAAGTCTGGCACTGGAGGTATGTGTGCCTTCATCCACTCTTCAGTTTCTTCAAGTTCCTTCAGTTGCTTACATTCTCCGAGAACCTCAAATGGAGAGTCTGGGGATTCTTTGTCTGAAGAGCTTACTTTATTCTGGGAAGTTGTAGATTTGTCATTTTTCTCAAATGCAGCTTTTTGAATTTCGATGGAAGAACGCTTGTCAGTATGACGATCTCTATAGTTTGAATAACCATCACTTCGAAAATCTGGTTCCTTTTTCTTTGCAGCGAGTGCCTCCAGTGCTTTGATGCGCTCTGAAACAGGTGATGTCTTTATCGGAGAGTCGGGTACATCATCTGACTGACTGCCAGAATCTCCAGTTGGTGAGGAAGGAGATTGTGAGAATTGTAGTTCCCCGTTCTTGTCTGAACCTTGAACCCTTTTGTCTGCATCACCAAGTGGGACAGTGAAGAGGGAAGAGGAGGTCACAGATATAACACTCTATTCCCATGCAACTTATTTTGTAGATCAAGCTTTCATGCACTGCAGCATGACAAAATAAATATGAATATGGCAACTCCAATTCTAAAAATAGAGTAGGGGCAATTATAGGGAAATCAATATATAACTAATCAAGATAATGAG